ATAGCAAAAGAGCGGAGTGCTGTTTATTAACCTAATTCAAATCTAATATTTAAAAAAAATCTAAATCTGAAAATTGATGAAATTCGATAAAAATCATTGAAAAAAAAATGAAAATCGTTAAAAAAATTAAGAAAATAAGACATAAATATTTGAAATATGACTTGAAATGAGGTATTTCGTTCTTGGGCAATTCAAAAAATATTTCACAAAACCATAGTTTTCATCGGGCATTGAATTCAGGCAACAGTAATACCGCTATTTCAAAATACTTTGAAAAATCTCAAGCCTCCCTTTCTTTAATGGAAAAATACATTTTTGAAACTTCTTTTTCAGGCTGTATTTGATTGCGTTGTGAACTCCCTAAAGAACGTGTTCAACATCCTCATTGTCTATTTCTTGTTTCAATTCATCTTCGCTGTAATCGCCGTACAACTCTTCAATGGAAAATTCTTTTTCTGTACCGACAAGAATCGAAAATTCGCTCATACCTGCCACGGACAATTCTTCGTCTACGACAACCAAAACGATCCACCGCGAGTGGAGCAAAGAGAATGGCGTCTGCGACCCTTCAACTACGACAACACCATTAACGCGATGCTCACCCTATTCGTAGTAACAACGGGAGAAGGATGGCCCGGCATCCGTCAGAACAGTATGGACACCACATTCGAGGATCAAGGACCCAGCCCATTTTTTCGCGTGGAAGTTGCACTTTTTTATGTGATGTTCTTCATTGTGTTCCCATTCTTCTTTGTCAACATTTTCGTCGCTTTGATTATCATCACGTTCCAAGAGCAAGGAGAGGCTGAATTAAGTGAAGGAGATTTGGACAAGAATCAAAAGCAGTGTATTGATTTCGCGTTGAATGCAAGACCGCGATCGTTGTTTATGCCCGAAGATAAGAATTCAACGAAATATAGGATCTGGAGGCTGGTAACATCACCACCATTTGAGTACTTCATCATGACAATGATTTGTTGTAACACGCTGATTCTAATGATGAAATACTACAACAATCCATTATTCTACGAAGAGATCCTCCGATTGTTCAATACAGCGTTGACAGCAGTTTTCACAGTGGAGAGTATATTGAAAATCTTGGCATTTGGTGTTAGGGTGAGTATAATTTTGTAAAAGTTTGGTTTTTATAATGAATATTTCAGAACTACTTTCGTGATGGCTGGAATCGTTTCGATTTTGTCACCGTCGTGGGTTCTATCACTGATGCTCTTGTCACTGAATTCGGAGGACATTTTGTTTCCCTTGGTTTCCTTCGACTCTTCCGTGCCGCACGTCTTATCCGTTTGCTTCAACAAGGATACACAATCAGAATTCTACTCTGGACGTTCGTTCAAAGTTTCAAAGCCCTTCCCTACGTTTGTCTTCTGATTGGAATGTTGTTCTTCATTTATGCAATCGTTGGAATGCAAGTCTTTGGAAACATCTGGTTGAACGCGGCAACTGAGATCAATCGACACAACAACTTCCAATCATTCTTCAACGCCGTCATCCTCCTCTTCCGATGTGCTACAGGAGAAGGTTGGCAGGATATCATGATGGCTGCAGTTCAAGGAAAAGATTGCGCACGTGCCGGTTCTGCAGAAATCAATTTCGAGAAAGGACAAACCTGTGGAAGCAACGTCTCATACGCCTATTTCACCAGCTTTGTCTTCCTATCCTCTTTCCTTATGCTCAACTTGTTCGTTGCCGTTATTATGGACAATTTTGATTATCTCACAAGAGATTCTTCAATTTTGGGTCCTCATCACCTCGACGAGTTTATCAGAGTCTGGGCTGATTATGATCCAGCTGCAACGTAAGTGATAGAAACTACAGTAGAGTCGGAAAGATTTACAAAAAACGAATTTTTCTGTTGATTTTCGGTAATTTTGATTTCTTGGAGCTTGGCTATCAAGTTTCAGATCACTTTGAAAATTTTAGAGGGAGTAAAACAAACATAGATGGAAAATTTTGCATGAACTGAATTTTTTGTTTAAATTCCTAGTTTTTCAGATAATTTCCGATTTCTGAATGACACTTCTTTTGGTCCGTTTTTGTACTGAAAAAGTGACAAAAATCAAGTGTCTTTCAGAAATCGGCAAATGGCTGGAAAATTAAGAATTTTCAAAAAATAATTCTGTGAATGTAAAGTTCCGAAATTTTCAAAAGGATCGCAAACTTGACCGCCGAGCTCCAGACTCCTCAAAATAGTCGAAATGGCCGAGAATCAACGGAAACATAGATTTCTGTATATCTTATAGACGGTGCTGTACTTGAGTCTTATTCTAACTGGGTCTGTTTCAGGGGTCGAATCCACTATACAGAGATGTATGAGATGCTCCGAATTATGGCACCACCTGTCGGTTTCGGAAAGAAATGTCCTTACCGCCTAGCGTACAAACATCTGATTCGAATGAACATGCCTGTTGCTGAAGATGGAACAGTTCATTTTACAACAACACTCTTTGCACTGATTCGTGAAAGTTTGAGCATCAAAATGAGACCAGTTGAGGAAATGGACGAGGCCGATGAGGAGCTAAGGCTGACTCTGAAGAAAATCTGGCCACTGAAGGCTAAGAAAAATATGGTTGATTTGGTTGTTCCTCCAAATCATGGTATTTAGTGTTACCTTGAAAAATTAGAAATCATTTTTTCAGAACTGTGTTTCCAAAAACTGACCGTTGGAAAAATCTACGCCGGACTGCTCATTCTGGAAAACTATCGCGCTCGAAAAAGCGGGACGGAGGTATGTGAGGTCATCGTTCATTTACTCAAGCTTTCAATTCCTGCTCACTTACAGATTTTTGTTTAAGTGTAAGAGAAATTGGCGAAATCTTTGCCAAAAATAGAGTTTTTTTTTCCGTGTGAAAACTAGAAACATTTTGATTCGAAGTTCCGTAGATCTAGCAAATTTTCGAGTGTAGAGCGGAGGCTTGAAATGAGGTGAAATTAGCTAGAGGCAGTCAAACGACAGCGTGCCGCCGAGCTGCTACGCAAACGACGAAATGCGCTGTTTCACTGGTTCTCGAAAGATTCCAACGAGTCGCAGGTTCAATAATCCCCTAGAAAACCTATAAGAAATCTCCTTTTTGGACTTTTTTCCTAAATACTTTTTTTCTAGAATTTTTCTTCCAGCACTGTTTGAAAGTTTGCCCTGATTGAACAAAAAAAAATAGCATGTCTTTTCCAAACCACCGTAGCAATTGTTACACCCAAGAGCAGTGTTGACTTTGAACTTTTAGATCGGTGGACAAGGATTGTTCGGAGGCGGTCTACGATCCCTGGTTGCCGCTGCCAAAGCGGCCGAATCACAACATTCTTCTCACACTCCACAACCGCCCGAGGAGACGACACCAATTATCACTCACCCACAGCAATATTCGACGGCGCCGACGATGAGTGTACAAGGGTCATCTTCACAGCAGCAGCAGCAGCAGGGACAAGCAGGAACGAGTGGTTCTGTTGGTGGTGGTCAAGTAATGCTTCAGATGGAGCTTGATAAAGAGCCTGGAATTATTCAGCGCCCGTACTCACTATTCAACAGTTTCGTCGACACCATCAAATCGGGAAAAGCCGACGGCGACCTGACACCTGTGCAATATCAGAGTGTTGATCAGCAACAGTAAGCACCTTTTTGTATCACCGCTTTTTGCAGTGAGCTGTAAAAAATTCACTGTGTTTTTAAATCACTGACAGGTTGAAGATAATTGAAGTATCTATTACTTTTTAAGTACGTATAACTGTTCAGATACTCTAATAGGACAAAAATCAATATTTTCATGGGTACCTAAGTTGCCGCATTTCCTCTAATATTTGAAATCAATTATCTAGGTCACTTCAAAAGATATCAGAAACATTTCAACGATAAACTATTCATCATAAATAACCAATATGCTATCAGTTGGCAGACTTTTGATGTATTTCAAGAGAATTGTGACAATTTGGCTCAGCTCTAATGGTTTGGGTGGCCTCTATTAGAGAGAATACAGTATATTCCATATCCTTCTTCGACACCGTTCAACATACCTTAATTGCTCAAATAGAAGCCATCCGATTACGTGCACTTTGAGCTCAATTATCCTGGTCCATTCAAAAACTATCTAAAATTTTCCGACTGATAAATTAATTATCTCAATATCGCAAAGATTTTATTAGATGACAGATTTTTGATATCTCTGATAAAAATTGAGATAATTGAGCTCAAAAGTGTACGTAATTGTGGTATGTAGGGCACAAACCTATATTTCCCTTTTGAGCTTATTTATCTCAATTTTTGTAAGAGGTATCAAAACACTACAAACCACAAAAATGTTGGAAATGTTATCACAAACATTTTATCAGTTGACAGATTTTTGCTATCTATCAGAGAAACCGAGATAAATGAGGACAAATTAGAAGTTTACAATGGCGCTATAGAACATAAATTTTGAATGTGTTTCATTTATTTTTTCGACGCTTCTCTAGTATTCACAACCAATGATTTTAGATATTCCAGCGACAAAATGAACTCAACCGGCAGGCGCCTGTCGGACATGTTCTCCAAGATCCGCCGCGGCAACTCCACCGATCACAATCCACACCAGGTATGCTCTCTAACCCCACCCATTTCAGACAACCACTAATCAAAACCATAGGGATCGTTTCAGTTCTGTCCCTTTTAGATAATCTTGCACAGTGCACACAGTGTCAACCTTTTAGCGTTCCATTATACTGTATATTTTTCTTTCCAAACGTTTCTTTCCGTGTGATTCCGTGTCCAGTGTCCCAGAAAAAACGGTCCGGTCTCTTCTGAACGTGTATTTCTTTATGTGTATACTAATTCTAAAAAATCCATGTCCTGTGCATTCACAAAGGTAACACTGTGTTCTCTTTCACATTCTATCCACTATTGCCTTTAACAGAGAAAACTGAAAAAAACTACTTTTCAAAAATTATAGATGTACCTAACAAGTCATCCCCTATCTAATAATCCACTCAAACCTCTTTGTAGAACTATTCGCACCGCTTCGGTTACAGTCGCAATAGAGGTTCTCGATATGATGAGGTTTGTAGAATATTATGAAAAGTCGAACGCCCAGCCCAAGCTTGAGTAAATTTATATATTTTTACCCATTCCTTACCCTTATTTGTCAATAATTGCGCGTTCAGTTTCTCTAACCCATGTGTGCATTTTTTTTAAACTTTTTCCCCCGATGTATATTTTTTTTGCTGCAATAATAGTACTGCACGATATTAGGCATAATTTTGCTGCTTGTAGAAAAAAATTGATTTTTTTTTCATTTTTCTGCATGCCTCTTCTTGCTTGTTATTGGTTTTTATCTGTGTTTTCTTCTACCGGCAGCATAAAATTTTGAAAAAATTGAAAAAAAATCATGCATGAGGTGTCAATTTGAAATTTTTCTTACGAATTGAACCTTAATCATCCAATTTGAAAAAGTATTAGAATCTTTATTTTTGAAGAATAATTCGTGGAGATGTCTGTGATAATTACGAATAATTTCAGTCAATTTTCAGTGAACATTTCTCTAATTTTTATCAAAATTTATTTTGTCAGTTACTCGGAAATTCCTCAATTTTTTTCTAGCGGGTTGGCGAGTTGTTAAGTTAGAAAATTTTGTTAACGGAAATGCTATAACCCAAGCTCTACCTATATGTGCATTTTGAGCTCAATTATCTTGATTTCTATGTGAGATATCAATTATTTTTCAACTGATGCAATATTTCTCGAAATATTATCAACATTTTATCAGTTGATAATTTTTTGATATCTTCTGAAGGAACCGAGATAATTGAGCTTAAAGTTTACTCATAGGGTATGCTTGTATTAAAGCATTTACAGTATCCTAAACAATTTTGGGTTTTCAAAACATGTTTCGAATTTTGAATTTCCGAAAAATTCAAACTTTCTGCATGATTTTCCTCTCATTGTTTTTTTCCGTATTTTCTAACGCCTCAAACTAAAACCAATTCAGCAAAAAATGTGTTTAAATCATTGTGCATTTGTTCCTAGACTTCTTATCCTTTGCATCCTTATTTTCTTCTAGAACAGTTCTATCATTCTTTTTCAGACCGAGCATTTGTTGGCTCAAGACAATCGCTCTCCATCTTCACCTCGGTATAGGAGCATGGCCCGTGCCTCGCCACCTAGTCCCGCCGAACGATATGGTAGTGGTCATCCACCCAGATATCGCACAGGTAAGTATGCAAAACGGATGACGGGGTTGAATCCACACCAAGGAAGATTGTAATCTACTCAGTTTCGCCGTTTTCCCTTCTCTCTACCCGCAAAAAAAATGCCATTCTGATACTTATCGGACTGACCCGCTTTTTATGTCCGATGCGTGTAGCCGATTCGATAAGAGGGTTCTCCTAATTTGCCGAGAATTGGGAAAACAAAGGGAGAAGACCTAGGGGCATGTTTTCGCTTCTTAAACACACATATATTTCAGAATCGCCACCATCATCGAGATCGGAATATCAGATGTCGATTCGCGACCCGATAATTAGGCGTAATCGTTATAACACAATGGAACACTCACGATCCTCTCACGACCCTCAATATCTACACCATCATCATCAAGATCATTACCAACAGAGTCATCCGCAACACTCCCATCATCCACAACATCTTCAACATTCTCATCACAAAATGTATCAGAATCATAATCAGTATTCGAGAAGCCCAATATACTCGGATGATTCTAGTGTCGCTGAAAGTTATAGACGGGAAAGGGAAATGAGAAGATATCAAGGTAAACGAGAATTTCAGAAACCCATCCCTGATTACATCTTCTCAGATTCCACACCTCAAGACGTCAGCGAGGACGACGACCCAATGCCCACCGCTGTTCGAGCACGCCGATTACCTCTGATTTCCACCATGCCCACACATTATGAGTCTGCTTTCCAACCATCATATAACCAGCATTTGAATGATTCCTATGGTATTATCGTGTTTCACTCGCTCGATTTAATCAAGGTTTTAGGTCTAGGTACCGGGTACCAACGTGATTATCACACTAGCCATCCGCACCACTCGCACCATTCGCAATCACACCAGCAACAACAGCAGCAACATCATCAGCCAATGTACAGCACGTCACCACTAATCTCACCGAGATCCAGTCATAGCTACTATACGCCGAGGAGCTCACAGTACTACGAAATTCCATCGCCGAGTCCCGATGTGAGTTTTGGTAGAGTAGTAAAATGTTTAGAAACGTCAATATTGTCCAGAATTTGTCAGTATAATGCTCCAAGTTGGGCAACCAAAACTAGAGTTTAGACTACAACGTTTAAGATTTTTCTTGTAAAATTCTGATTTTTTGAGATTGAAGATTCTGTTTAATATTTCAAATTCATTAACTTTTTTCAAAAAATTTTTAAAGCGTTTCTTTATCAGCTTTTATTGTAGGTTTAAGATGCCAATATAAAATTGTCGGTCCATTATAAGAATTACACCCTTTTCCAAACGGATGAAAAAATCAACCACAAGAATGCTACTTGAACTTTGAGCTCAATTATTTCGGTTTCTACAAGAGATGTCAACAATCTGGGAACTAGTAAAACGTTTCATCATTATTTTATCAATGGACAACTTTTTGATATCCATCATAGGAACCGAAATAAAAAACTTCAAAGTGCAGGATAAAAGTGCAGTTCTATCAAAGTAAAAGTGGTACTTTTAGACATTGTTTTAATGTAAAAAATTACATTTCAAGAATAGTGTTGTGACCTATTTTAAGGAAAAATAGCCCTGTGCCTAGAATCTCACGAAACTGCCAAACTACAGTAGCCCTTTCCACTTCTTTCAGATCTACCCATCCTATCGTGCGTCGGCCTCGCCTCGCCGGTACCCCACCAGTACCGTCGTCGTTGCCCCGGACCGTGAAGGCTCAAGTGCTCGTGTCATCCAGGCTCAACCTGGCTCCATTCCACTCTCTGACTCGGAAACCGAAGATGATCCTCGATGGGCTATTGTCTAAGCCATCCCTGCTCGCAAGGGAGGCTTCTTCCACCAACCAAAAAAATCGACACCACCTTTCTTATTACCTATTCTTCTATTTTCTATCTATTCCATTCCTGTAAAGTACTGTTCCGCCCGTTTCCAGCCATTCGTTTAAAAAATACCACCAACAATGCCTTGCCTTCACACTCACCATCTCCATTGAAAAAACCACACACTTGCCGCCTTATGATCGTTCGTTTTGACTTTGCGATGTCGCCTGCCTTCTCGACCGTGTCCCCTTATAGTTGCCTTTTTCTTCTTCTAGCTTTAACTTCCATTTTGTTTTTCAGATACTTACTGCGTAAGTTACTTGTTTTCACTGAACGCCTTGCTTGTGCTTTCTCTAAAACCCCCGATTCCTCAAACTGACTTATCATTAACACGCTCAACTCGTATTTGCACTTAGGTTTTTTTTTAATTTGCCAAATTCTACTTTTTTGAAACATGACATAGCTTTTGATATTCGAGTATTATCAGTTTGCGAACATCACTTCTTTTCAGAAAAGATTCAAAACTTGAAGCTTATTTTTGAATCTCATGATGCTCCCAAACTGATAATCAATTCTTGAGCTTCATTTATTCTCAACAAAAGGGTATTTTTCATGTCTTGCATATTGTCATATACCTTTCTTCATCAAATCTGTTAGTTCTAATTTTCACTTGACATGTTTTACTTCTCTTCTTAATGTCTTAAGGTTCTTTCTTCTTCTTCAACTACCTTTTTTCCTTTTTTTTCTGAAAAACCGTTGAATTTTTCATGGGTTATTAAAGTTTTACTTCTTTCACCGCAAGACAACTCAGGATTTCAAAATTTTGTTGAATTACCGGTCGTTTTCACATTAACCAACACATTTTTTCATTCAAATTTCATATTATATTTTTCATACGAAATTTTGTTTTTTTTACAACAGAAAAATTTGTATAAGACAGATCCAAAATTAAAATATGTGAAATTTATGCCGATATTCCAAACATTTTGAAATTCAACCCAATGGTTTTATTTTACCTTTCTAATCCAGTCATTTTCATGTGATTCTAGCCATTTTTTCATTGTTTAACTTCTCTATTTTATTTTCTACGCAATAAAAAATTAAAAACCCAAAGTTTTTTGTCCTTGTATGTCTTGATTTCCCAGAAATCAAAAACCGGTTGTTGTCATTTATTCTGGAATCGGGAATTAAATCAACACTGGCAAAACTCGCAGGCGGTGGTTTTTATGTCATCTGATGATACAACCGCCATCTGAAGAAAAAGAAGTGAAGGAAAACGGCAAACAGAAAACTTTGTTGCCTTGTTAAGGGAAAGTTTTTTTTAATTATTTCTTTGGGCTTCTGTATTTTTTTGAGGGGGAAAATAAAGACGTAAAAATGATCTTTTTTTGGATTACTGTATTTTGTTCAAATTGTGGAAATATTGAGAATCTTATACTTCTGCTATGAGTTGAAGCTTCTTCGAAAATTGGAAAAATGCAGTAAATCCATAATTTTAAAAGAAATGCGAGAAATTCTTCAAAATTTCGAAAAAAATTTTTATGAAATTATGTTTCAAAAATTATTAATTTGAATATAGTAGTACTCCGAAAAACCAGTTTTCTCAGTTTCAATTGTTTTGAGCTTAATTGCCGTCACCCTAATCAACCATCACCTTTGAGCTTATATATCTAATTATCTGGAAATGATATCAAAAAGTAGTCAACTGACAAAATGTTTGTCTTACTATTCCCAATATTTTATCGGTTTAACAATTTTTGATATCTCTCACAGAAATTGAGATAATTGAGCTCAATATTTAAGCATAATTTGAACGCAGATAGGAGGCCCCGCAATAGGTCAACTTTGAGCCAATATATCTCATTCCCTGTAAAACATATCGAAAAGTGGTTAATTGGAAAAATATGTATTATAATATTAGAAATATTTTGTCTGTTAACCACTTTTTGATATATTTTACAGGAATCTAGAAAATTTAGCTCAAATTTGAAATTGAAGGAAAAAAAGGTCATTCTGTTAGAATGTTTACGGTTGCCGATTCTAAAACTATCACATTTTACTGAAACCTGAAAACTCTACTTTTAAAAATTACATGCTTAGTTTTCTTCTAATTCTCTTTAGGTGTGTAGTTTCATTACCGAAATTAAATAACTTATACACAATCAGCCTAAAATCACATTTTCAGTTTCAAAGAAAAACTGAAAAATCTTTTCCCTTCACAGTTCAGAACCAGTACTGTATACCCGAGGCAAGTGTCCACTGTCATTTTCGCTTTTATCACCTCATGTTGGCTGTTTCCGGATGAGACAGCCGTCTAGCTAGGTGTGAATCCTCAGCACTTCCTTTCACACATGCTTTCCTTCCACTTTCTCACTATATGAACAATCATTGATGTTTGTATGAACAACGAGTGAATAAGGAGCGAACAAGCGGTTGTTGAAGGTGTGAAACCACACAGATCACCAGAATAGCCACAAAAAATAGTGAGATCGGAATTTCTCAAAACACGTTGTCACTTTTTTTTCAGTAATAATAAATCGAGATACTATTTTTTTTTGTTTCTATTTGTCTTAAATTACCGACAGACCACCCCAAACGCACTTTCGACCAGTCGTAAATCTCTTTCCCTTCCTCGCCCGAATCACTCCTGGAATTTCCTTCTTGCCTCCGCATCCCTCCGATTTCGTACAGAATGGAAATCGACCGCCGAGATCACTATCAGGCGTAAGAATCAGACACTTTCTGCGCGAAAAATAGGCCCTAGTTCGGATGTGTGTCGATACACACAGCCGAAAATGGTCAAATGTGAATTTCACGCACGTCTTCTGTTTCCCTCCGAAGAGGTGGAGTGAGAGTGTTGAAAAGAGAATGAGCTGAAGGAATTCGGCTGGGTGTAATGACCATGAGAAGTGTTGAGGATGATGGATCGGTTTTTCTTCTTTCTCCAGTACATCTCACCTTTTTTCTCTCTTCTCGTTGAAGATAATCATCTGTTCCTCTCACTCTTTTTTTGGCTGACACTAATGATCTATTGGTGTTAATGGGGGGAGAGAATTGTTGTGTTAATAGGAGTGGCCATGCCACCTTCATGGTTATCACTTGGGTGATTTCTTATCAGTCATTAATCTTATAAGAATTAACTGTTTGTCATAAAACTAATTAATTATGAGAGTAACCTAGGAATGAAATTTGAAAAAAAAGGAATTTCTGGATGCCATTCACATTTGGTTGTCATGAAATAATGATTTTGGTGAAAACATCAACCGTTTTCTCGGAGGAAGTACGACAACTTGTAGACTTTAATTTACCAATTTTATTGTTTTTGTTTTCAATTCAAGTTATCTTTTATCAGTAATATTAAAAAACAAGCTTTTATCATTTTCAAGGTTTTAAAGAATTTACTGTATTTCTTCTAATACAAGCCATTCGAATCCGTCCACTTTAAACTCCATTATCTGAGTTTTTATGAAAATATTGAAAATTTGTCAATTGACAAATTGTTTGTCATAATATCACCAATGGTTTATCAGATGACAAATTTTTGATATCTTTCGCAGAAATCCAGATAATTGAGCTCAAAACTGACAAAACTGGCGGTGTAAGTAGGCTTTTATTAGAAGAATACGGTAATTCCAGATTTCATACTTTTCTGCGGACATTATCAGTTTACCAAAGTTTTCAGAAAACCCGCACTATTTTTTTATTATTATCGGTTCTTTGTCAAATCCACCGACATGTTTCCCAAGTCATAACCAATTCAGAGTCCTTTGATGAATAACCATCACGTCTGTTAACAAGATGCACACTTTTACAATCAACCACTGCCAACATTTACAACAATTTTGCGCGGTCCCCTTTTACTACTAAATCATCATAAAACATCATCGTTCCACCTTGCGCGAGTTGTTGCAAACAATAACAACCGTTGCCTGTGGTTGGTGTTGCGTCATCCATAATGCATACATTTAGTTGCCGTCCGACGTCTCCAGACTATTCGGCTTCCAACAATTATCACATTTTCCGGGCTATTCATACCCGACCATCCATTGCTTGTCTCTTTTTCCCTCGGCTTCTCATTCTAAAAGCTATAATTGTGACTAATTGTACACATACAACAAAGTCACTCATATACATTGGCATCCGAAGCCATCGGCAAACTTCTCGGAACCGTCCCCTCGGTTTAGATTGTCCTTCCCATGCCATCTTCGGCCATTCGACACCTCAAAACCATTCATTTTCGAATCCTCTTTTATTCATCTCGTCTATTGCCCCTCGTTTTTTTTTGTCTTCTATCGGTTGCCATCTTTCTTCCGACCACCCATGGAAAACAATGATGCGCCTAATAATTATAGAAGGTTCGGGTCATAATTGCCCCTTATAACCGCTACCTTTCGTTTACCAACTGTCGAAATTGGAATAGAAAAAGCGTCTGGGAAACGGAAGGGGATTCATTTCATTTTAAATTGAATCATTCCATTTACCTTTCCATTCCATAAATCAAAAAAGGCGTCCGAAGTGAAAATGAAACAAGGGAAAAAAGAGGGAATCGGTCACGGGTTGTCCGCGAAACTCACTTTAACGAGTACTTTCTCATTTTGAGGTCATTCATAACAAAAAAACATGGACAGTTTGAAAAAGTAAACAAAACGGTCACTTGAATTGTGGTAGCGCCATAAATTTTAGAGAATAACTTTGTTATCTTGAGGAAAGATCTGTAATACGGTTCCTTAATTAAAATTCGATGTTTTTCAAATTTGTGTTGACGACAGAAAGGAAAGATGCAAAATTTGAGATACCGATCAGATAATTTACAGTCCGAAAAAAATAACATGACCGTTTGCGAGAACGCGGAACAAAGAAAATTTCTTTTAAAGAAAAGATACCGTAATCTTTAAAAAAATGTTTGATTTCAGGTTTTTTAGTTTTCAAAAACGCATATTTGGATTTTTTGAAGTTTCTGATTTTTCTGAAAAAGAGATAACCTAGAAACTGAGTAGATAATCTTTTGAGCAGTCAACTTTGGCTTAATTAAATTTGGTTACTGTAGGAGGTTTGAAAAAAAAGTTTTTGCAAAAACTAAACCGTCACGTTTGAGCTCACATATCTCGATTCCTCTAAGAGATTTGAAAGTTTTGTCAACTGATAAAATATTAGTAATAATATGGTAAATTATTTATCAGTTGACAAAGTTTTGACATCTTTCACAGGAATCTAGACAATTGAGCTCAAAGTTGATGTTGTCGGTATTTGTTAGGATAAACGGTATTTTTCAGATGATGGCGAATCAAAGTCAGTTAGCGAATTTTAATATGTAAGGTTTTTCAATTTGTCCGGAAAAATGCTAACTTGCAGTTTTAGCTCTAACTTGAAACTGTAAGCTCTCATTTTTAGTTTTCAGGGCTGTAAGATAATTTTTCAGTTGTTCTTTTTTCTAGAAAATATCACGTTGGCAGTTGTGGTCCCTAGTTTTTCTCTTGCATGACCACTCTCATAATTTGACCCCTCCCAATCCTTCTGTTATCAGTCATAATTACGACCTGTCGTCCCATCCATCCACCAAATGCCGTCAGACCCGCTGAATGCTGCCACAGAACAGTCCCCCCTCTCGCGTCTCTACCAGTCATCCTCTATTTTTCGAATGAGCCTCTTATCTCGTGGTGGTCCCTCTCTTCCTGCATCTCCCCCTCAACGGATAGTCCTTACACGGCGAGGTAGAAAGGGCACACGTCTCTTTTCTTTTTCTTCTTCCCCCCCCCCCCCCCCCCCCCCCACCTCTATCCTTTTCCGTTCGCCCCGCCCACCATCTCACCCCCGCGCAGTTCGTTTCATTGTGTGTATGTGTTCTCTTCTTCCACCAAAGGCGCATTCGTCCCTTACTCCCTCCCTCGGCATTTGCATGCGATCGTATTTTTTTTCGAACGTACCAAAGCATGAAGATTTGATTTGATTTTTTTCTTACGATTTTGAATTTGTATCTCTTCTTTCACAACCTCACTTTTTGATTGAATCGTATATTTTTTCTTCAAAGTCTTAAAATTTTCCAGACCATGGGATTACCAATAGTTACTCTTTTAACACTGCTCGGGTTGAGCTCAGGTAAGTATTTGAAAAAACTGTATTGTTCCAAATTCTCTGTTTTCTAGCTCAAATGATGTCACAAGTGATGGTGGCTCAAGTGAAAATTACCGATGCTCCATACCCAGTTTCCAATGCCGAACAGCTCAATCAAGTCGTGTGGACCGTGCACGGAACACCTACTAAGGAAGCGATTTTCTGCGTTTCCGAGGCTCCAGTCTCCCAGCTCCGATTCGTGTGCACCGATTGTATGGAGAAGAATATTACCGACATGGTTAATGTGCTCAATTCGGCACAGGATATCACCCGTCGAGTTGGATTTCCGGTGAGTGGTAGGCTTAGTGAAACCTTAGCGCCCAAAATATTCCCATATTCCATGGCCTTCAGTTTTCTTAGCGCCCAAAATATTCCCATATTCCATGGCCTTCTCTTTCCTCATTTCGCCTTCTTCTTCTTCTTCTTCTTCTTCTTCTTCTTCTTCTTCCTTTTCCTCTTCAAATCCTCTATAATCTAATCTGTGTGTGATTCTTGTTTCCTTTTGCTTTTGGCATAATCTCAAATCGATTCAAGTCAGTGTCACCCCTCTCAACAAGTGACTAATGGGGGGTAAATCTTCAAAAAAAGAAAAGAAACTTTCTGACATCACCTTACACTTTCCCTCTTACTACCGTACCGACCCGAAGACATTCATAAATCATACCCGTTAAGCTGTTAACGACTTCCAAAAGTCGCTAATATATACTTTGAGAGGATTTAGTAGATAACGAGGAATGCATCTATCCGACTAGGAAGGAAAAGTAACAAGAATCTGAGAATTAAGCCTATCTGCCGCAAAAGGTCAAGGCCCCATTGAGGCGGCATGAAACATACAGACAAAGGTCTTACGCTTCCCTCATGTCTGTTTGGTCATTTTTATGCTTCAGTAAAGTAGGATTATGCCCACTGCCTGGTGGTCCGTACTAATCTGGAGGGGCTTCCGAATATAACGGAAAGCAGCGAGCGACAAAAACAGTAATTTTTCATTTTCTTTATTGATTCTGATGATTCTCCTGATGCTGCTTTTGATACATTTTGATTGATCACTTTCCCAATTCGTCACTGTCAGTGCGGTCATCCATTCTCCTCTAGACATCAGATGCTTTGAATTTTTTGGAGGTCATATCCGGTCTCAAAAGCTTCACCTTCCTCATCTAAACACACAGTTTCGATTTCAAGTACCAGTACCTTATGGGAAAGGATAGTATGTTCGTTGTGGTGCATTTATGGGAGGTTTTCGGAAGGCAAAGGTTTCGTTCCATGTTTGCGTAACGGGGGGCCGGGGATGCGCGTGTACATATATTTTCATAACCTTCCGTCTCCGTCCCCCGCTTCCTTCTCAGAGTGCTCAAACATAATATAAGAATGTTATGAGGAACCATCAGGGAAATAGGAATTATGATTTAGTCAGTCTATCTACTGAGTGTCAAAATTTCACGGATCATTTGGCGACATCCCCTCCCACTAATTTGATTAGAAGCGATTAATTGGAACGGAAACCGTTTTAGGCACTTAATCAAAGAGCGAGATCAACGCACTTTGTTATCCAACCCCAAAAAAACATGATGGTGAGGAAAGTAACCTTCTTCGCACACAGAAGCGCAAAGTGATGAAAACGAAAAAAAGTTGTTTGATGTGGCCGACACAGCGAGGGCTTGATAACATGCAAACAGTTCTTGACAATTTAGAAACATCTGAGGAGAGAAGAAGGTCACAACAGCATCGGTTTTTTATCGTTCCCTCTCATCAGGGTTGATGCACCTTTCGAGTGGTGGTGGACCGCAATCAAATGCGATAATCTAGAGGGGTCACATGGAATATTGCGTAATTCCCAGCAATGAGGCTTGCTGATAAGAGTTCTGTGTCCCCATAAATTGTTAGAGCAAACATAAATGTGGTATGGAGCTCGATAGGTTAACAAAAATGTTTTTGTGGATGTGGGAATAGTATTTAGAAATGAATAATGAAATTTTGAAAGACATCCAAGCACCAAAAATCCAGTTACAGTAACGGATGATCAAAAACATAGTTTTCAGACGTTTTTGGCCATTTTGATGATTTTCAGAGCTCGGCTGCCAGGTTTCTAATCACTTTGAAAATTTCGGAGGGTGTGAAACAAGCCTAGATTGGAAACGTTGCATTCACAGATTTTTTTTTTCGGAATTCCAAGTTTTTCAGCTTTTTGCCGATGTCTGAAAAATCTGCTTCTTTCACTTTTTAATCAAAAACACAAGCCAAAATCGGAAACTGGACAGCAGAGCTCCAGAGTCCTGAAAATGGTTAAAATGGCCAAAAGTTAACTGAAACATACGTTTTTGTATATCTTATTGAACGGTGATGTATCTTCTAATCTCTTATAGAGTCGCACCAAAGAGGGGTTAAGTTTAGTGCTTACGGTAGATCAAAAATCATCAATCACAGATTCTCCAACTTTTCATCCAAAACCAAAAAGGTCCATCAAACCCAAAAAAAAGTAAACCCGAGAAAACAGGTCGAAACAAAAGGTGTCACGGCTCGTTTACTTCCTGAAACCGTAACGGATGTATCTAGTTCACCCTGTTTTGTTCGTTTTCAAATCCGATGTCACTTTACGCGTCATTTCTTTGTTATGTGTCGGCCCCACACACACACACACCGCCAGACTTTTTCCTTTTCTGTACTAATGTCCAAATTCGTCTCCAACCACAACTGACACATTCCAATTTCTCTCAATGTCACTCAAAAAAAAAAAGAAATTGAAGGAGAATAGAAAGGAAGCCTGACTCATAATACATTCGAAATTCATTTCAGGCTGTCACACTCAGGGACATTAATGTGAACACTAATTGGTCCGGCGCGACAATCATATGCCAAGCGGCTCTCAATGGAGGTAAGTGGCTCTCGAAAAGCACCTGGACCTTCTCCTCCAGACCCTCGATTACGTAAAATGGGACCGAAGCGCAATATGGTTTCTTTTCTTTAGGTACCGTCGATTCTGCTCCATCTGCAGTTGAAGTGAGATATCTTCGCCAGCCGCACGTCGTCGATTCAAACGGACAATCTCCAGTGTTGATTGGAAACCAAGGATACCGGTAAGTGAGACAACGAGACTGGCTTGAAAGGGAGAGGGAGAACTCGTTTTTTGATGTTGCCGATGAGTGGCGGTTATTAAAAAACCGCTGTACACAACAATGGTGTAAAATAATTAGTGCAATTTGGCGAGACTTGCATCTATACAATCTTTTTTCAAAAGAACTAATTATAGAAGGGTGTCGGATTATTTTTAACCTTTTTTTCAATACCAAAAGCATCTTCCTCTTTTCAGATTCTTTGTGGAATGTGTCCGCAATGCTGAGGGAATCTGTCAACAGAGCGGAAGACGAAAGACACTGAAGTGCAATGTTCAATCCAATCCACCAGCCACACAGTACCGTTGGTTGAAGAATGGAAGTCCAAGGTAAATTTTGCCTTTGGCAACAATCAATCTCATCCAACCACCTGCCCGCACATCCTTCCCATCCAACCCATTAATTTACAGCGGAACAGGCGCCGAAATTACGATTGGAACGGAAATGATCGGGCAATCAATTCAATGTCAAGCCAATAACGGTCTTCACGACGAGTCGAACATGCCACTGTCGCAAGCGGTTCAAATTGATCCTTACTGTACGGCAATCAATTAGATTTTTCTTGTTTTTTTTCAACACTCTAATTTATTTCAGCATCCGCCAAACTTCTGAAGGACAACTTCCAACAATTACAATCATCCTCACCATTCCTTGCTAACAACAGAATCGAAATGAACCAACAAGTGAACTTGGGATGTCAAGTTGAAGGAAATCCACGCCCAATCGTCTACTGGAGAATGAGAAAACAGAATGGCGATGTTGTCGACGCTGCATGCCCACAGGGGCTCGAAGGACAGTACCAGGAAATGGCTCCAGAAGGAGCAAGATCCGCAAACATCGTTCGTCTCACTGCTCTGTGCTCTCTCCGCATTTCCAACTATTCCTATTCGGGACAATACTGGTGTGCCGCTTGCTCCCAAGTCAGCCAAGGAGAGCCAGAATGCTCACCAAGCCTCGAAACCCCAGGAACATCCAGTCTCAACGTTCAAGTTATCGGTGCTCCGAGCAACTCAGATGCTCCTCCAAGCATTGAGCAACGTGGACCAGACGCCACTGTTCTTGTGCATTATTGTGCCGAACCAATGCCTCGTCCACCACGTGAGATCGTGTTCAGCATCGATCAAAACGACCTTCAGGTAAGAGAATCGTAATTAGGAATGCACTATCCTATTCTAATAACTCCTCGGGTCTCCTCCTTTAATGACTTCGGCCTAAATTCGATGCATATGAATAAACAAAACTTAATTCCGCGGAGGAGGTTATGGTTAGAAACTTAAACCAGTAATAAAACTACCGTATTTCCTGCTAAACCAAACTGTCATGTTTAAACTCACATATCTCAATTCCCATCAAAGATATATAATATTTGTGAATTGATAAATTATTTATCATAATATCACCAAATGTTTGAATGTTTCTCATAAGAACCAAGATAATTGAGCTAAAAATTGGCTGTTTAGGAAATGATAGTCCACTGGCCGAACAATCATCATCATTTGACTAACACCGTATTTCATAGATACTCACTCTAACTATCTACTTTGAGGTCAATTATCACGCTTTCTGTGAAAAATATCTGAAATTTGTCAACTAATGAATTATTTGTCATAACATTACCAATATTTCATCAATCAACAAATTTTTGATATCTTCAACAAAAATCGAGATAATTGAGCTCAAAGTTGAGTGGTGCAGAGGAAAATGTCAAAGGATTTTAATAATAATTTCTCTAATTCCAGGTTGGCCAATCATGGGAGAACTTCCACTTCGACTCGGCTGTCACCAACAACACCGTACCCAACTGCTACATTGCTCGTCTCACAATTTCACCAGTCCGCGAAGAGGACCAATACCGTCAAATCGCGCTCAAACTCCAAAACCAGTTCGGATCTAAACAGTACGTTATTTGAATAAGAGGTGCTCTCTCTCTTCTTTATGCCAAATGCACATTCCTATTTACCTATTCAAGTGAGAGAGAGAGAGAGAGTGCCGAGGCATTGTGTACCAAAAAAGAAGGGGTCAAATCCCACGTGAGAGGTCAACCCTGGGCTTTCATTCTAGTAGGATATGCAAATAGAGACAATAAGTCTTATATGAATGGAAGGGGGTTTTCGTTATGGTTATGAAGACGTCAAGTATTTGTGTCTCACTAGGAGAAGTGCGTTATGGGAAAATTATGATGGACTGAACAATAGAATAAAGAAGAATAAATGACACCACGGAGAACTAATGTTTTTTCAGGATACCAGTTGCAATGGATGCGTTGTTAGGGGGCGACAGTACGATGGTTGGTAGAATGTCAACGTTCTGGATTTATATCCTGATTGGAGTGGGAGCACTGCTTGCTGTCATCTGTGTTATCACAATTTGTGTCAGAAGGCGTAAGAGGAAAAAATGAAAAAGCAAACATTGAAAAATCAATTTTCAGGAGGTAAGGATCATCCAGACTACAATGAGCCGAAATCCAAAGCCAAGTGAGTCAACTTACTTGAAAAATCCAAAACCTGCAACTAACCTTCACCTTTTTTTTCAGCCTCAATTCCCGGGAAGAGTTCTTCGATCCATCGCAAGACGGCGGTCCTCGATTGTACGCTCAACACCCACCAGAGGTATGCGATTCAGCGTATGGCGTCTATTTGAGTCGCGAAGCTGTCGTCTGAGTTTTCTGACCTCTCAATATCCACTGATTTCCCTTCATCCCATTGCTAATCCTTCCATTCCTATCAATAGTGATCCTATCGGTTTCCTTCCACCCTTTTCTTGTGATAATTCCTTCTTTTTCTCTACTGACACCATTCTATTTTGCACCATACCTCTCTCTAAACTATATCAAGCCATTTTAGGTAACCTCATACGACCAGGCAGTTCACGATGCTTATATGGCCTACGATCCACGCATGTCAACCGTCTAACACACTAAAACCACTGGCTTTTTGTGTGTTCCTCGCTTTAAAACCGTTTTAATTCCGCTTCTTTTTTCTCGCTCAACTCAAGGCTCTAACTCTGGTGTGCATGCACTACTCAAAGCTTTCAATGTGTTTTCTTATTATTTTGCTCCATTTTTTGCTTTCTTTCTTATCAAACGCTTCAGAAAAAACGGGCCACTGTTGCTGCATTTCACGAGGGTGTTAACTATGCTGAACTCGAACTAAAACGCAGTCATGCACAGCCAACAACCAGCACTATCTCTTTAAGTTCCGTTCATAGTAGACCGCACAGAGGGGGCTCCGCTTCTGTGCAGTCTAGCGTCTAGCTCTATGTCTTTTTACTCCTTATGTGTTACCTTATGTGTTTTTCATATTCTGCCCCTCTTTTTTATTGTCTTTTCCGTGTAACGGTCCAATTCAAATTTTTTGTTTAGCCATCATTTGCAGCTTCGGGTATTTTATGCTATCTCTATCATTTTCCTGTCCTCTCCTCTTTCTTACTTAAGTTACTACATTTGATTTTTTCTCTCTGCTCCATTTGTTTTTATTTCTTTTTCAAAATAGGCATAAATTGTTTCCCAGAAATTTTTTATTGCAAAAAAAATGAAAATGAGAATTGTGAAATTTAAGACTTTTGGAATGATGAAAATACAAAGAAATGAGAATGTCCTGTTCAGGTTTTCAGTTGCACAATTCAAAAAAAAACTTGTGTAGAGGATTTTGTGTTTCAAAATTGAAGATATGGCTGGGTTTAAGACAACGGGTCGGAAATACTTTTTCTTTTTGGATTTTTCTAGATTTTTTTGGGAAATTAGGGAAAATATACAAACACATCCATACCACACGCCAAATCAAATGTCAAAGATTGGGTTCTCGTGAACATGGCGGCTGGCGTGCTTCTCCTTCTTCTCAAGCTCCTCGATGTATTTGCTGGCGTCGACGATTACTGAAAACCAATATTTCATAGAGCTACAGTAATCCTGAAACTTACAGTGATAGTCTGGCGAGTCCAGTGGGACGCCGGTAAAGGCTTGCTTGCGAGCTTTGGCACGGAGGTGTAAGTAGGTGAAAACGAAAACGACGCTGGAAAAGTTGTTCTTGTGGAATATATTATTTCTCATCTTACAAAGCCAAGATTACAGCGTAGAGAGCCAATTGAGCTGGTCTCAACATCATGGAGAGTGTGAATGGTGGGCGGTGCTCATCAATCAGGCGGGATGGTCCCTCGTTGTCCAATTCAACGCTCAAGCGTTCAATAAGATCCCTTCTCTCTTCGATGGTCATGGTTCTGAATGATATATCAATGAATCGAGGCCTATTCCAAAATATTACCTTGGAGCCTTTCTCGGAAAGATTTCGTAAGTCTCTTCGGTGATCTCTTCGGCTTGCACGATTTCGACGCTCTGAAATTCATCAGGATTATCAACCCAATAGTACTTCTCTTACATCTGGAATACGCTTGATAGAATCATCGAGCCAATTCTCATCCTTCCATTCGATCAGGCGGTCATTCGAGTCTTCAGCAGATTCCAAGTCGAATTTCTCTTCGGAAGACTCGAAACTGCGGAGTCTGCGGCGAGTCATCATGAATGGAACGTCCGGGACCTTTCTCGGGAAGGAATCGCCGATATCCTTAAGTTTCACAATTCTGAGTTCCGGCTCTTTGACCTTGTGACCCTTCTTGACCAGGTAGTCTCCGACTTCCTTAGTAATCAGCTGGTCTTCGTTGATGAGCTCTTCGTTGGTGAGCAACTCCTGGTCGGCGGCATACTCGGCATCTTCTTGTGATTGCTCATCGATTTCGTTGATTCGATCTTGGTTGGATTCGAATCCAGAATCATCTCCTTCGGCGATGGTTGGATCAGCAAGTTCCGAGCTTTCTTTTTCTCCACTCTCATATTCTACGCTCTTCTTCTCTCCGCTGTCCTTCTCTTCACTGTACTCCTCTCCACTGTCACGCAATCTACTTTCACGTTCTCCACTATGGCGTTCACTGCTTTCCTCTCCACTCTCCTGCTCCGAACTATCTAAGCTATCCAAACTAGCCCAGGCAAACTCGAAATCGTTGTACGCTTTCTTGAAGTTCTCAAGTTTTTTGCTCTCCTTGACAAAATTGTAACCCCTGTACGCCTTCTTGAAATTCTCAAACTCATTGTTCTCCGAACTATCCTTGAGACTCTCATGCTCTTGACTTTCGCTGGTATCCCCGGATTCCTGGCTCTCCTCTCTTCCATCGACGACGTAGTTGAAACGCTCATCAAGGAATGGTGTCATACCAACAAAGTCCAGATTTGACATGAGACATTTGGTTTGGTACGAGGCGAGAACACTGGAATTGGTGGTATTTTTCAGGATGCTAAGCTGGATGGGTCATACCTGTCCGAGATCTCATCCAGGTTGGGCTTCTTTCCGCACCAGCCGCAAATGGTGTTGGAAAACGCCGAACATTTTTCACTGAATTAATATATCGACAGTTTGAGTTTCAAAGTTTAATTTGCCCGTTGGTTGGTCTGTTGGGTCTTTTTGTTTTAAAACTCAAGCTACAGTACCGTTTCATAAGATATACGAAAACGTATTTTTGCAGTAGATATTGACCATTTTCAGGAGTCTAGAGCTCGGCTTTCAAGTTTTCGATCACCTTGAAACTTATGGAAGGGGGGGGGGTGTAAAACAAACCACGATTGAAAACTTTGCATTCACACAATTCTAAGAAAATTCCCAACTTTTTGCAGCTTTCTGAAAGACACATTTTTCAACGTTTATAGTATAAAAACTTGCAAAAAGAGGGTGTGTTTCAGAAAACATCGAACAGATGAAAAATGGGAATTTTCAAAAAATTCTGTAAATGCGAAGTTTTCAATCTTTGTCTGTTTTAAAACCTCCAAAATTTTCAAAGTGATTGGAAACTTGACAGCCGAGCTCCAGACTCCTGAAAATGATCGGGCAAATAATTCGGAGGGTACAATAATTCGGGGGAACAAGGGGGTACAACGTGATTTAGGGGTACGAAACCAACAATTTGGGGGTACAAACTAAGCCTTTTTCCCGGTATTTTGTACCCCCCGAATTGAAGATTTTGTACCCCTAAATTGCTTTGTACCTTTTTGTACCCCCGAATTGTTGTACCTTCCAAATTATATGCCAAATGATCGAAATGACCAGAAGTCAACCGAAAAACACGTCTTATAGAGCTGTACTGTCTATCTGAAATTCTCCGTTTACAATACAGTACCCCTCATCCCCAACCCTCACTTCCAAGACACCAGAAGTCAAACCATCACTAATCATCATAACCAATTTCAACAAAAAAACCTTTCCAGTGTTTATTTTTAAACCAAACCGTACTAGCTCTTATCACTTTGTTACCCAATAACAAGAAAATATCCATGACACCATATGACACCGATTTTTGGTGAAAAGTGTATAAGTGTGCATGACATGCTTATCAGTTAACTGTCATCAATAGGAAAATCAATAGAGGAAGCTAAATTTTTTGGGACCTTGGACTTACCGTTCGTACATGAAATCACCGCATGGCGTACAGTTGAAGCACGAGTTTTTGAATCTGTATTTGTCCTGAAAAAATGTTATCGATTGAATTAATTAGAAAAACCAAAACAAACTAACCGCTGGACACTTGAGCTCCTTTCCGTAGATTGCGGCAGCTCCCTGTAAATCCCAAAATTCTCTACTGACTCCAAAATTGTATGAATCTTACCCAAGAGACAAGACAGAAGAAGACTAGAAGCTTGAGATCGACTCGCATCGCGTTTCGCATGCACACAACTAACTTCAATTTCACTGCGTCGGCTCTTAAATGAATTCTTATCAGTTTAACAGTTGTGTTTGCATGGCGTGGTCAGTAACAAGCGAAAAGTGAACTTTAAGGAGGAGAAAAATCGAGGAGCTAGATCTAGAGTGGATGAAAATTAAAAAGCTTAGGCAAGCGGTACAAAGGTTGTAGGTCTAATGATAAAAAGTGCAGACAGGGAAGCTTCTGGAAGGCGGAGAAGATCAGAAATAGAGTTTTGAATTGATTAATGGGCAACTGATTGATTGACTCTGTGGTCAGAGAGAAACTCAATAAAATATTATTGCTTCTCGTTGGTTATCAGCTCACTGGGCGCGCTTTTGATGGGCGGTGCAGTGATGTCTTATGATCAGCTGGAAGGAAGTGTTGGAGAAATTATGTGAGGAAATTTCCGAAAGTTGAGAATCTAAAAAATGACAAGTTTCTAACAAGAAACCACGTCATAGTTTATTTTTGAGCAAATAGATATGATAAATGGATCCCATCGAGGCCTAATAGAATGTAATGTACATTGAAAACTATTTTCGCTCTTTCAGCACTAGCCGTGAGCGGCAAATTTTGGGTCAAAGAAAACCTAAATTTTATACACTTTACCACAAAGAAAAACTAAAAGTTTATGAGCTAGTACTTTTTTTGTTCGTCAACTCAAGTTTAAAAGAGACCGCCATGTTTATCGGTTTTATTTTCGAAGGGTATTATTCCTGACCGCCCGCACAGTAACTACTAAAATGAAAAAAAGGAAAAAAAAACTACGGCGTAGCTTCCATGGGTACATCGATGAAGAGAACATCTAGTTCTAAGGGTACATTGGTTCTAAGGGTCATGAGATTTTTCGGTACATTATGCACCCTTTTTCGTTGTACACTTGGATGCTGGGCCAAAAAAATACTCTTGCTGGATCATTGAAACTAAAAGCCAGCTATTGTCGAATCTTTTCCGGAAACGTATCTCGAACATCAGTTGATATGGATAATCCGGAAATGAATCTTCAGATTGCCGGATTTCAGATCGCCCGCATTCAAAACTGATCAACTGCAGGATTTCGGCGATGTGAAAAAAGGATTGTTAAACTTAAAAAGCACGGAGGTTGAATCTCAATATCCTAATTTTGTGTTGAATTAATCATAAATTTAGATGCTTTCTTCTGGGCTCGGTTTTAGAATACATTCCTAGTGATACAGAAATCGATTCATCTGTCCTGTTACACAGTAAATTTTACAAATCAAACTCTACAGTAACCTACTAGCCGAGCTTCTAGAATCCCGAAATTTCTTCTACTGAAGATACGAGTTCACGAGGAAAATAGGAATCAGCAATAGAACTAGGTAAAGCGACTGTTGAGCTCCAACAGTACCCTGGATTTTTCTTTTCAGCTGTGCTTCTTTATAGAGCCATAATACAGTACCTAGCACCGCCTACTTTCCAGCACCGGAGAGGCGGACCTAGAAATGACCGCGCCTCTAAAATTTTATGGCTCCCGAAGGTCACAATCTGTTCACAGAACCCATTTTATTCAGAAAATCTGTATGCATTTGATCATCTTTATAAAAAATAATACGGTTGACAGAAGTTGGCTTCTGAGTTGGCAGAAAAAGAAGAAAGGAGCTTGAGCACAGACAGGGACAGCCAAAATCGCCAATAAGAAGTCAGTACAGCTTTTCTTACACTTACGATACCCCCAATGGGCCTATTAATTTCTAAAAATGTTAAGAATCAAACAAATCGAGGCTCAAACGTTTATGAAAAATTAAGAAAGCAATTCTTTGAAACTAAAGTCAGTTTTGAACAATCACACTATGCATCACACAAACTCTCAAAAAAAGAATGTCGAAACGAAACCTAATTTGATCAGAACTTCAGCTAATTAGGAAAAAAACATTTTCAGCAGTTTGCATTGCTCAGAAGATCAATTGGAGGCTAGCCTTATTGGGAACAGATTGAGCGCTCTGTAGAAAAAATGGAAGGATAAATGGAAAGATAAGCAATTAGAACTTCAAATTCAAATTTTTTGGTTAAACTAAAAGGCGGGGCGAGAGATTTTTCGGAGTTTTTTTTTTGAGTTACAGTATGAAATTGGAATCCCTAAAATTTCACAATACTTTCACTTTCGGAATTTGTTCTTTGGTGAAATCAAATCAGAAGTTAACACTTTTATGGTTAGAAAGGAAAAAAAAAGAGTTCCATGGTCGTAAAAATGGTAGCGTTTTATGAACCAAAAAAATAGTTATTATTTTTTTTCTCATGAAAAAATGGTCTTTAAAAGCGTGTAATGATAACAGCTGAAGCTATTTTTTTTTGAGTACCGTGAATTTAAAACAAAAAAACTAGTGGTTTGATAAGAATTTTGGTGGTCAAAAATTGTGAGATGAGTCGAAAACTCAAAAAAAGAATTCAAAATAAAACTGAGCAAGTTGCATTTTCACGTTACTATCAGAATTGGCAAAAAGAGAGACACACACACACACAAACTCACAGGACACTCTAAAATGACAGCCAAAAAGTTTTGATAAAATGTAAATATTGACTGATGGAAACTGGGCTGTTTGGGTCAGCAAAATGTATCAAAATCTAGACAATGGCAGACCACAGAAAAAGATGAATATGTGTGCCTGTATGCAATGACTGTCTCTGTATCACTTTGTGTGTGAGTCTGCAAAAGAGAGCCACTTCTTGTTTTCGCAATATGTCCTTCCATTCCTCACCAATCTCGCTGGACATAAAAAACAACAGTTTGGATTTCATAATTCAGAACCCCTCGCTCTTTTTAGCGCCCATCACTTGACCCGTGCCAGGACACGCGGAGCCCATAATTATTGTAATTGATTAAAATCAATGGTAAAATCGCCGTCAACAAAGTGCTGGTCTGTGTTTTTTGATAACAGGGAAGCGACGAAAGGAGTTATCAGTGAAAAACTGTCAATCAACTATTCTAAAAAGCAGTGAAATTATGTTATGGCTGAAAGTAGTTGAGAATCGAAAACCATTATGAAAAAAGTGAAAATTGGTTTTGAGACCAGTAACCTAGTACCTCATAGGTTCTACATATTACTTCATTTCAAAGTCTGGAATTTTTCACTAATTTTCGACACGATTACCAACGATTGTAGTTCCCTTTTTTCGGATTACGATAACTAGAGTTGCGGAAAGTTGCAAAATTTGTAACAACGTTTAAACAATATGTAAAAGATTTGTGAAAAATGTATTCAGATATCCGAAAACCTGCGCTTCGAAATACTCCAACTGTTTTCTAACATAACCTCTCCTAAAATATTAGGAAGATCTAATTTTGACGGACATAATAGTCTGGTCCAAAAAACTGGACCAGTTACAAAACTAAGATTATCGGAACATTAAGGAGATGCGCACGATATGGGAAAAGCAAGGGAAATGAAAAGCAGGAAGACTGTGGAGTGATTTGACGGTCAGAGGCCTAGTGACTCATGTTTTTCCAGAAGGATACAAATGGTTTTTGATCACTGACCTCTATTTTTTTGGAAGCTTCGAAAAAATTATTGATCGATGGGACATTCAGAAGTAGCGAAAAATTTGCTGAACCGCCGATAAAATGAGCAATACAGTAGCCCGCGTTACAGTAACCAACAAAAAAATAAAACTAATCCCTGATAGAACTCACAATAGAATTCAGAGTGCAGAAAGTTTAAAATTTCTATGTTTTCTTATATTTTCGAGGCGCATAAAATTTCCTAATTTTGCTAACACCGTTTTCTGAACTTTGAAAACAATCGAAAATAATGTTTTTCATTGAAAAAAATAAAATGAATCAATCATGACTGGAAATGCCTTAATGAACGATTTGAAAAACCGAGAATAGTGAAATCTAGAAATAAAAATAATATGCGAAAATCGAGAGAACTGAGAAGCAGGAAAAGATAGGAGTGATTTGACAGTCGGCAGCCTAGTGACTCATATTGTTCCAGAACAATTCGAATGGTTTTTGATCACTGATCTCGATGGATGCATTCGTGTCGATTTACGAAGCTCCGTCAAAAAACTGATACTGTAAAAAGCAAATTTAATACATGCGAATTAGGTCGAATGTGTTCTGAACCAAAGTTAGAATTTTTCGTAAAATGTGATAGCTAGCATCTCTAGAATCCTGTTTTGAATTGAATGTATTCTTCCAAATGTTCAGGTTTTAATTCTCATTTTGACATTTTTCCATCTGAATATTCGGTTTATCCTTGTGGTGGAGTTTTGGTCTTGATAAGTTCTACGAAAGAATAAAACGAGTATTTTTTTGGAGCGAAATCCGATGTTCCTTGTGCAAAATATTCTGAAAAATTCTCAACAGTTAGTTTCTCAGCAGATTCGTCTAGTCTATTCTAGAAAGGAGGTCCCAAGTTATTACCTACAGTCTCAAAATTATACCTCCGACGACGATCCCACTCCACTCGCCTTCGAAGCACACTGAAATCGAGATTTTACCTACTATCCATTATCAAATGTTTATTTTCTAGAATCCTGGACACTGCTGCTGAAAGTTCCCAAACTCATCTGAAGCAATGAACCACAAAAACCTCTGAAAACGTCTGAAAAGTACCTGCAAAATTACTGCACGTCTTTATTATAATTCAAAGAAAAATTGGAAAAATGTGTGTTCAAATACTTTTGAGAAGAGTTCTATCAGCGGGAAGATAACGATTTTAAAGCTTTAAAAGTTCACCTAGACATGCTGGAAAAATATTTCTGGTGAAAAGATCATCGAGCGGGTTTGGGAATTTTGAAAAATTGCACAGACATGGTATGATTTTTTAGTCAGAGAAGAATATACATAGAGGGGAAAATACTACAAGGGTGTACGGATCAACCGGAAATTCGTTTTTTTTTTGAAGGATGGTGAGAATGACTTAGACGACAGATTTGGGAAAAGGACTTGAGGGGAAATTTTTGAAGAAGAAGAAGAACCGGAACGTTTACAGAACTAGAATTCACATTTGCTCAAAGTGTACAAAGCGAGAAAATGAATATTATAGAGTGAAGGGAATTTTAATACATGAGGGAGTGAAAGTGCAAAGTTAGAAAATGGAACATGGTAATTGTATAATTTGTTGTGTGTGTGTCAGTGAAAATGGCTGAAGTAGCTGGTGAAGTAGTTAGACGGCTGGGTTGGATGTGGATTCTGTTTGAGCCGTTTGAGATGCTGCCTGCTCCAATTCGGTGCATTCATCGAGATATCTAGAATCAGACTTTGATTATTACGACTGCGGATCAGAATAATTGGTTTTGTTGGTATTTGCAAGTCAGTTATAAAGTTGCGTTGTGGCTGAAAATCGGCATTTGGACCCAAATGTTGATACATAGTGGTTTTAAGGATGTGCCACGGGTCGGCTGCGCATTTTTATTAAGAGACTCCTGGGATAGGTAGGATAAGGTGGCCTAGCAGCTGAATCGCTGATCGTATTTTCGAAAGAACGGACTGAAAAGATCCACTGCAATCTACCCACTGCCCCAGTCAACGCCGGCCGACCTAGCTTTGTTTCGGACTATCACCTTAACTGAGAAAATGTTCAATTTCCGTCTATTCTGTTTTCGGTAAAGTGCAATTTCTTAGTTTCCTGTTTTTGCGGGAAACCGGAAATTGGAGATCTGTTTCTATTCTCGCATAACGCATTAGTCTTTTTTTCCGGAAAAAAAAGTGTCACTGCTAATCTACATACCTCTCAAAGTCGACAATCGGGCGAACATCATCCGGACGGCGTCCAGCATCTCGCCACGAACGGAGCGAGCGAGCACATAAAAGACGTTGGTTGTCGATGCGACGCATACGGGTCTTGCGATTGCTGAAAAAAAATTTAAATACGACGTTTTACACTTTTATTTCTTACCTCTGACGAATGCTAGCCATGGCAGCAAGGAAGGAGAGGAGTCCCGAGATGCACACAAGAAAGACTCCCGCGCCAATCGCAACAATGTCATCGGGACGCTGGTCGGAAACATCTGTTTGAGCGACAATGGCAAACGTGCAGCAGCAGAGAGTCAGCATCATATTTGACATCTCTAGAACCGAGTTAGCACGAAGCCAGGAAAGGAATGGAGCCGGCGGCGGAAGAAGACTCATGGTAGCGCAGAGTGCAGACGTGGCAGAGATCACAAAGCATAAAGCGATGAGAATGTAGAAGTAGTTTGCAGTGGTTGGAGTGATGCAATCGACAAGGACTGGAAAAGAAAACAAGTTAGAAATTATACGATTTCTAATTGATACCTCTGGATGGGGTGTGGAAGGCGATGTGCGACTTTCCGTTCTCGTCAATGTATCCTCCGAAGCGGATAGCTTCCCAGAAATCGTGACAGCCTGTAATTATTTGCATTTATGAAGACGAAGCTTTCTCTTTTTGCAAACTAGTAATTGGCATCGTCTTCTCTGAAGCCACTTTCCTCAAAAAAACTCACCAATAGCATGGCAAGGCTCCGCATTCTTCATGTAGATCTGAGCGGCCTGCAGCACATCAATATCAATTGACCCATTTCTAGTGCTCATATCCTCCACGAGAATCCAATCGGTGGACAGCATTGCAAAGACAGCCTGAAAAAATCTTATATTTGATTTTCTCAAAGATTTTAGCTTACCAAGATTGCTGCAACAGTGTGGAACACGGTTGCCGGAATGTTGGCCTCGCGAAGATCCATCCGTGTACAAACGGTGCCAAGTTTGGAGAGGAACATCCTTCTGAAAAGGAAACGATTAAACGAAAGGATTTTGCTAGCCGAAAAAAAGTGGAGAGGAATCTGAACTTCTGGAAATCCAACGAAAAGAAATTGACAAAAATCTGCCGCCGGCTCCGGGGGTCCGCGCGAGCCGGAGGGAAATTGAGAAAAGAGAATCAATAGCGAAAGGCCTCCCGATGAGAGGAAGCGCAGCTTTCCGAAACACACTCTTCCCGTCAAATCGCGGCGAGACCCTCGCGCAGGCACTACGATGGATGTCTGCGTCTCCTACGTTTTCACTATCTCTTTTTTTTCCTCTTTTCTCTTTCGGGGGCTTGGCTTGTTTTCAATTGAAAAAAAGAGAAGAGTAGTGAAAGTTGAAAAACACGGAACAACACGGAACAACACACTGGAAACTTTTTACTGACTGCCCTTTTCTGAGAAAATGTTTTGACGAGAGAGTGAAAACGAAAATCCGAGTAGGCATAAGTGGGAGGGTCTCAAAAAGAAGACATTAAATTGATACACCCGTTTAGAAAGTGAAGATACTGGGATACCAATTGATCGAGAATGAAAAAGAAAATGAAAAAATCGAAACAGATGGAAGTACGCACGACCTTGACCAGTTAATTGGGGGAAGAAAAATCCAGTTTGTTTTCCAACAGAATGTATCGGTCTACCTATACATTTATCAAATGATAATTGGTTCAATAATGGCTATTCTGAAGACGATGTGATTTATATCTTATCTAATTGACTGATAGTGTATGCAAGACATTTTGATTAGAACAATATTAGATGACCAGTCTGAAGCCATATTCAAATGGGAGCTTGAAAATGTACTGAACAATATTTGAAAAACATTCCGAGACTTCCGAGACACAGTGCTAGAATTTATTAACACTATCCATTAGTGTCACTTTTATTCGGAAAACACATTTTTTGAATTTTAGAGCAGCTGCTTTAAGGTTTGAAATGAGATAAAAATGAACTGATTGTACTATTCTATCATTTTTCTACTTTTTAGAATGAGAAAAATCAAAAAATTGAATGTAAACATGAAAATATAGTAGCATTTCTTTTCCATGAGAAAATACCAGAATTTTCCAAACGGAAAACGAATTTCCTTTAATTTCCCCCTTTTCAAGCGATTTTCCGTTAAAAAAAAACGATTTTCCTGGGAAAATGTTCATGAATACGGTCTCATGGCATAATTTCCATTCTTGTCATCCCACTCTTAGTATTTTCCCATGGTGAGATAGCAATCTATCCTTCTATTGTCCTTCCAATGGTCCGTCCTCTTTCCCTTCCTTTGTAACTTCTGTGTGTGTGCGCGCGCGCGAGGTCTAATCGCTGTGCGCGCCTTGCCTCGACGGTTGGCACGTTTCTCGTGCATGACGCGCAACTTAATCTTCGAACACTAAACAAAATGTTTGTGGCTTTCTTTCACGCGGATTTTCTTGATTTTTGATGCAATCAGTCTTATTTTTAATCAATAATAATTAAATCTTCAGGTAATTTATTCGGTGCTCGTCGCGGAAAATGTTTCGCATTGCAACGGTAAGGATTTTTATATTGAATTCGATTTATCGAGCAAAAAGTCAACAGAAATACATAATTAAACAATTCCTCGTTTTTAGAAACGATCAGTCAGCCAGACGTTGAAAGGAGCGCGTCAACAGTCCAGCCAAGCTGCTCCACCACCACCAAAACCCCCAGTTCACCAACCAAAGTAAGTAAAATATCGATTTTACACCTGCAAAACCATGATTACAGGAAATCGGGTGGTGGAAAAGGTCTGGCTCTTGTCGGAGCAACTGTCGCTGGTGCTGGAGGTGTTGTTGGATACTCGTACGTCGACCCAGAGTTCCGTCACAAGGTCGAGGTGACCGTTCCAGGAGCCGAGCAGGTTCTCGAGGCTGTTCTGGGAAAATCTAACTTGGAGTGAGTGAATGTTACCTTGCCTACGGCTCAAAAGAGAGTATTTTTCAGCAAGACCAAGAAAGAGATCAAAGAAGCTGTTGTGGCTGCTGTCCCCAAGAAGAAGGAAGTTCTCCCGCCATTGGAGTTGGCCCCACTGCCACCAGTGCTTCCAAAAGAGCCAGTTCACGTAGATCCAATCGACGTTCGCAAGGATGTCACACCAATCGTTGCAAAGCCTAGCCCAGATGTTGTCGTTGCCAAGAACAAGCGTGAGTTTTTTTTTTCTGATGATTTCTAGTTTGGAAATTTTACCTTCTAATGTTACAGAACTCGAGGATAGACTCAAGATTGCTATTCACTCGGCTGAAGGAAAGGTCCGTATTGCCACTGAGGCCAAGCTGAAGACTATCAACGCCATCAACGAGCACGCCGCTGTCTTGAAACAAACTGTGGATGATGCTAAGAATGCCAACTGGGAGAACGTGACCGCTGCACTTCAGAGAGCTGAAGCAGAAGCTCGTGTGGATAGCGGACAAGAGGTTGATGGAAGAAATTACATCGATAATCTTCGCAAGGTATGTGGAAAGAATTGAGATAAAGGTTCTCGCCTGGTGGTGGACCAAGTGCCGAGACAAAGAGCATTCGTGATCCTTTCTGTTAGCTATCGGCATGCAACTTTTTGTCAGTAACTAAGGTGTTCAGCATTTGGACCAATCTGGATGAAGTTAGAAGTTGCATTATAACGGGTACCCAGAAGATCTTGGTCAGATTTTGGTCTAGGTCGGAAGTGAAAGTTTGGCAGAATAGCTACAAAATGTGTTTTTCAGAAATTGATGCCTTTGCTCCGAATTGACAGCATGGCATGCTCCAGTCTTTAATATATTTAGTTCACTCACAGTTAGTTTACTAGCTGAACCAGACCTAGGCTAACCAAGTCGTTCCTAGACTAAAAGAGCCCTTTTGAAACAGCTTGAAAATCTAAAGATCTTTGAAAACTAAGAAAAGATTTTGAGGAAAAGAAACAAAACGAATAGAAAAAAACAAAATACAGCAAAAATAAAACAGCTAGAAAATATAGATGGGCAAGAATCAAAAACAAACAAATTCCAGATCGTTAACGATGGAAAGAAGGATTCAACCACCGCCACCAATCCCCTCCTCCTCAACGCCCAAGAAACTGCCAACAAGCTTACCCATCAACTCGACGAGATCAATGCTCTGGTTAACAAGGTATCTAGCTCTACTCAAAATCTGATTATTCAAAAGGTTTTTCAGTCCCGCCAAGAGTCCGCGGTCCTCAACCAGTACAAGGACTTGATCGAAAAGTCCCGCCAACAATTTGCGCTGGAAATGAAGAGCATTCTTCCAAACGTTGATGTTCATGCAAAAGTAAGAGTCGGGGAGGAAGTGGGAAAACCCTTCAAAAAGAAAGAGTGGTTCGGTGACAAGAAGGGGAATTGGAAGCCAGAAAAAAGAAAAGAAAAGAGATTGAAAGCTCAATGAGTCGAAAATACGGAGATATGGCTCCGTGCCGCCCACAGATTTCCATCTTATTTCCTTTCCCTCCGAAGGACTACCGTAATGGGCTCAATCTTTTTTTTTGGTGAAGTCATAAAATAGCCTTTTCTTTATTTCAAGAAAATAATTGGTTCGAGAAGAGAAAAGCAGAATAAGATAAATGGCGAATTGTAATGGAATGGAGCCATTAGAGGGTTTAAAGAGGATTTGGAGTTTTGTGGGCGAGGACTACGGCAGGGGAAAGGAAAATAGAAACAAAATCATAGGGAATAGAAAAACGTCATCCAGAAACTCTATACTGATAGAAGAATTTCAGGACAAGAATCTCAACGAAGAAGAGCTTAACGCTCTCATTGCTCATGCTCACTTGAAGGTGGACCAACTTCGTCGTCAGCTTTCCGATCAACAAGTTCGCGAGGAGTTGCACATCTCGAAAGCTCTTGAAGAGCAACGCGCTGCCGACGAGCGTATTGCTTCTGAGAAGCTGAGCATTGAGATGAGCCGTGTTGGACTTCAAAAAGAGCTTGAAATTGAGAGAGCTGTAAGTTAAGCGAGCAGAAATTGAGAGAGCATCATTGCTATGAAATAAATCTGTTTCCAGCTCGTCGAAAGCCGCAGCTCATGGGAAGGAGAGCTTGAGGACAAACTGAAGCGCACCGCTTCTGCTCACTCTGAGCATTTGGAACAAGTCATTCGCACCCAGAGACAACTGTTCGAGATTGAGCAAAACCAGAAGGTCGAGGAAGCTGTTCTCAAGGAGCGTGGACTTCATAGCAAACAAGTTGGAGCTGCTTTGAGCAGATTGGCTGGAATCGAGGAGGCACTCGGAAGTCGTGTGGCACTTGACAACGAGAATCGCCGTGCTAAGCAGTTTTGGATCGCGTGCCACAACTTGATCGACACCTTGAAGCATGGAAACAAAGCTGGAAACAATATTGATGAGAGAAGACTTCCCTTGAATGAGTCGTTAAACCTGCTCAAGGAGGTTAGTGTTTGTTGGAGACATATGACGAAAATCTGGCAGCACACGGAAATTTATGCAAATTTCTGAGGCCCGCCAGGGCTCGGGTGCGGCCGGGCCTACATAATTCGTGAAAAAGCCCGGCCCGGCCTGTTACATGTATGCAAATTTCTAGTTTTTGATGGTTCTCGTTTGAGACAATTTCATCAGCATAATTTTGAGCAATGCAGTTAGATGCTCCAGAATTTTTCTGAAATTTACGTCAATTTACGTCAAAATGTAATTTGAACTGACTAGTGTGATGTAATCATCAATCTCCTTGCATAAATAATATTCAGTACCGCTGTATTGATCGTATCCCCTGAAGAAATTATAAAGTTCAGAAAATATATATTCGTAGTCAAGAACACAAAGTTCACACATCATTTTTTCAAAAAAACTTACTGTAGCGTTTTTAAGAGATAATTGACGAGACCAAACACTCGTGCCTTCTCAGTTAACGATTATTACACTTTGTAACCAGTTTTGACGGATTCATGATGACCAGTAAATTTTCGAAAAAGACACTTGAGAGATACTGTAGTTTGGAATATATAACAAAGAGTTTTAACCAGAAACTTGTTTCCAGGTAAACCCAGAGGACGAATTCGTCACCGCCATCATTGGATCCTTCCCAACACAAGCGACCACTGTCGGAACTTACACGGAACAAGATCTTAAGAATCGATTCGAGCAACTTTACAAGGTTGGCCGCAAGACTGCGACCATTGATGAGAATGGTGGAGGCCTCGGTGCTTACTTCTGGTCTTATGTGAAGTCGATCTTCCTAGTGGATATGCCAAGACAGTACAGCGAATTGGACGCAATTGATGTCAATAACGCTGACAACTATGAGGTGAGTATTTTGTTTTAGGCGAAGAAAAGAGTTAGAGAGGAGCGTGATCAGGTTGATCTGGTTTATTCCATTTCAATTTATTCACTCTAAAAATTGACCACTAGTGATCTGGACTAGGCGAAGGACATCACAGTCCTACCCCTCCGACCATGGTTTCATCAATCTTGCCATCCTTCAAGGATGGACCTTCCTATCACGTCCTGATCTTTAAATGAAGGTCCCATTCTCTAGATCAGGAGCTTGCTAGTTTCTGAACATTTCTTAAAAAGGAAATAAGACTGTTCCAAGGTTGTTGGGACCACGATCGTCGTGTTGGGAGCGCTTTATCAATTGGTGGGACCTCGTGGGTACCGATGGTCCCATCATCTCTCAGATAAATATAAAATCAAGACTTTGGTGATAATATAATCACAAGACTTCTACTCTTTGATTCGAAGAGATTTAATTGCCTAAAAAAACGACAGAAAGCGCTAAACGCCCATTTTCCACTTTGTACGCAAACACCGCGACGCAAAAATGCACAGCACGTTTTCCGGCAATTTGAAGTTATTTTTTTTCCTCTGAAACACAAAGTTAAGACAGTTTTCTGAATATGAACAGTGTGAAATTGTGAATTTTTTTGTTCAAAAACTTGAAAAAGTCAAAGCGGGGTGGGTTATAAAAAACAAATATTGATTTTCGAAATATCTTGTTTTAATTAATAATCTAAGTGTTTTCAGATCCTTTCCCGCGCTAAGCAGTACGTTCACAATGGAGATCTTGACAAGGCGATTCGTGTTGTGCAACTTTTGAAGGGACAACCCGCCCATTTGGCGCACGACTGGGTACTCGACACTCGTGCTTATCTCGAGTCGCGTCTTCTTGCTCAACTCCTCGTTGCTCACGCCGCCGTCTCTTCGATTCGCTCCACTTACTAGATCAAAATTCCCTATTTTTAAAGAAAACCTTGCGAACTTTTTCACGCTATCTACTGGTTTTATCCCCTACACTCATTTTGTAACAAAACTTACTACTCACGATTGAAAAAATCCTTAAACAGCTTTTGTTGGCTAGTATTTGTGCGTCTTTTAGAAAACCCGAATTCTGTGTTGGTAGTTTGTAGCACACGTTTCCCCCGTTTTCCGTTTATTTTGCCTTTTTTCTCCCAAAAATTTAAAAATGTGTAGTTTTTTTTTTCTCTGCGAACTTTGTTTGAGTAAATTTGAAGTTTTTTTGAGTAACTATATTTTCAAATGACATTCAGGAGACGGAAAATTTCTGAAATGGAGAGAAAGGGTCATCGAAAAGGGAGTGGCGCGCTGAAATGAATGGCATCGTTCTTGGCAAAATCGAGATAATTGAAAATTGACGTAAGGAGAGAGGAAGAGAATGAGCTATAAAAAATGCAAAAAATTTTTTGGGGGAGGCTACGGCGAGACCTATACAAAACAACGACTTAGAATTAGAGGGAACAGGAATTTTGGTAATGATTGTTGTACACATTTTTGGACACATTAAGTTTTGATTAGCAATTGAGAAGTTGGCGAATTTTTAGTTTCCATCATTGGCACTCGTTGGTTGGCTGGACCAATTCCCTGACTTTGGCCATGGTGACGAAGTTTTGCCACCAGAACTCGACACGAATTCCAAGCTCCTTCTCGATTTCAGCATTCTGGAACAAAAAACGAGTGATTATTTTTTGTGAAGTTACAGTACCCTGCTCAGATTTGCCTCCTTAACAGAAGAGGACCACGCGTAGAACTTTTCAACTTCTCCTGGGATGATGTGGCCCCAGCACTTTTGACTGGAATTTCCAAAAAAAATAACTGGCATTTATGAAAAAAAAAACTCACTCAACCCATTCGACGAAACCGTCCTCAATGTCCTCACCACGTGCTGCGAGAAGCGTCGCAGCGCACTCCACAATGTTACGCGTGTCCCATTCGTTAAGCGGGACCCATATTGTCGATGAGATTTTTGTCTTGCGAGAAAGACGAGTGAGCTGAGCCACACTGTTTTCAAGGAGAGCCGGACATTCGAAGGCGTGAAGAATGAAGAAGTTTGCAGGTGGGAAGAATTCAGGATAGCCGAGAATAGTAGTAGTGCAGACTAGAATCGCACTGGTCCTGACAGCCCGGAATGCATCGAGCTTCTCCTTAGCTTCCCCGCTGCGCAAGTCGCGACTGAAAATAATTTTGGTTAGCTGACCGAAATACAGCACCGGCAAATACAGCAAACTTTGGAGGGTGTAAAACAGACCTAGATTAAAAACTTGACATTTACAGGGTTTTTTGAAAATTTATAGTTTTTCCGCTCATTTCCGATTTCTGAAAAACACCCCATTTTTGCTCATTTTTCGTACTAATTTCAAAAATTCAATAATTTCTGAAAAATTCAGAATTTTCAAAAAAAAAACCCGAATTCAACATTTTCAATCTAAGACTGTTTTACACTTCCAAAATTTTCGAACTGATCGGAAAGATGACAACCGAGCTACGGACTCCTGAAACTGGGCTAAATAATCAAAAATCATTGACCGGTACTGTAGCTGAAAAGAACTTACTCGAAAATTTGAATAACTTGAAAGAAATCAAAGACTAGAGATGAAGCGACTGCATTGCACAAGGTCTCGTCTTCAGCAAGGATGACGATGCCGTCGGAAAGAATTTCTGCATTTTTTAGAATTCTGCGAAATAATCTTACCATCCTGATGCTGTGCCTCAATAAGACATTCGCGGTTGATGAAGCCTTCGATTCTGTTCTTGTAGATTCCCATTCTGTCATTTAAATCGAAGACATCATCGATCTGGAAAAAGGTCTCCTAAGTGATAAAAAATGTATTTCTCGGTTGATTTTCCGTCATTTTCACTATTTTTAATGGTCTGTAGCTCGGCTGAAAAAGTTTCCACTCTGAGAATCACTCTGAAATTTTCAGAGGGTGTCAAACAGACATTGATCGGAAACCTTGTATTTAAATAGTTTTTCAAAATTTCTAGTTTTTCTTAGTTTTTTGCAAAACTTTTCAATTTAAATCTGTTTTACACTTTTCAAAATTTTCAAAAGAATCTGAAACTTGACAGCCGAGCTACCGATTCCTGCAAATTTTCAAAATGACCAAAAATCGAAAGGAAATTTTTTTGTATATTTCATTTCCCGACACTTACTTTCTCAGCTTTGAGCGTTCCAGTTACCAGTTTTGGTGGCCAATACTGGACGTCGTATCCAGTATTTTTTTCAACTTCCCAGTAGATTTTTTTAATGATTTGCTGAGCTTCCTTCGGAGAACTGCAGGACCGGATGAAATTGTCGTTCAGCTCTTGCTCCGTGAGAAGGATGATCTCGTCCAATTTGATTTTCTCAACCTGATCTTCGGCGGTGAGCGTTGGAGCTACGGGGTAGAGTGGCGCCATCATTGCCCCGAATTCAGTGAATCTGAAATTAGAAAGAAAATCATTTCGAGTCATCAAGACACACTTTTCTTACGGTAATATGAAGATTCACTTGGTTTGGAGGATACTATATCTTGTTTTTCTCAGAATGGGATTACTGTAGCTATCTGAAAAACTATAAAACCTCAAGAGCAAGACAGCTAGATCAAACGGAGGGAAAACGGAGGGAAAACAGAACATATGCGGAATGAAACAATGAATCAATAAATGAGAAAAAAGAACGGAACTCACACGCACAGCCACGAATGCGCTCCTCAACGGGAAGACACAGTGAACGGGAAAAAAGGGCGAGACCCGCACAAAAAGGACTGCGAAATTCAAATGAACAGAGAGAAAGGAGTGAGGACGGCAAGGAATATGGGTAAAGGAAGCGGGAGATGGGAAATGGAGAAGTGGAGAGGGTGAACAAGAAAAATAGGAAGAAAGAAGAGAGGAGAACGGAAGGATGGAATGACGAAAGGTTTTTTGTTAGTAAAAACGGTTGGTTTGAGTCCATTTAGAAGATGAGAGAAATGAGAGGGAGTGGAGACACAGTTGGACAATATATACTTTTGCTAATTGATGGCAAGTGATAGCATCTGAGGAGGAAGAAATAATTTTTTTGAAGAAGATGACAGTTTTCTCCTTATTGTTTTTTTGTTTTGTTTGGAAGAAGAGAACATCACGAGGTGCGTTTTGTTTCGAAACGGGCGCAGCCAAAGAGGAGAGAGGGGACAATATGTTGGGGAGGGAACCGACAGCAAAAAGCCGTGGATGTGGTGTTGGCATGCTGACGTCGCACTTTGAATTATTGGATTGCATAAATCGACTAGTTAGGGTGCAAAAAAGGAATAAGAGGGTGATACGATCTGTTTGAGTTTGCTCATATTGAAGCATGGGCAACAGATGGCGGTGCCTGGAACCAACACATCGATTTTCTAGGAAGACAAATGCAGCATGTGACGATCTGTTTTGAGTTATGACTCACATAGTTGAGGAGTGACGAATTTTTGGTCAAATTAGGAAAAGAGATTCATAGCAAAATGTAAAAATGGCATACCGTATACATCATACTAAAGCAGAAAAATGGCATGCTGTATTTTTAGCCGGCACTTCCTAAGCAATACAATTGCTCCTATCCAAGTTTCTCAGCATCAAACACTCAGAATTTTTCTTTTTTCAATGGTGTCAACTTTAGAGAAACGCTAGAAGATGAACAAAAATTCAAATGGACAATTTGTTTTTTACTTCTCAGAGCAAGACAAGGATGAAAACGACAGATACATACATATACCCAGAAAGGATCATAAAAAATATAATTTGAATCATTAGATTGCATGAATTGAATTGATGGGATAGAAAAAATAGAGATGAGGTGATAAGATTTTTTTAAAAATTGCTTGGATGGAAACATGGACAACATCTGGTGGTGCCTGGAACCAACATATTGATTTTTCGGAATAAGAAATGACGATCTGTTAAAAGTTATGACTCATATTGTAGAGGGATGATGAGATGATATTTGGACCAAAACCAAGGGTTTTGAGAACATGGTTGCAGGACGGGCCATGGTAGATTACCGTCTACCAAACTGCCCGGTTTTCTTGGGCTGCTAGGCAGCCGACTATCACCTAACCCAGAAATACCATATTCAAAAAGCTGTGGCACAGTTTTTGACCGCCTTAACGAAAACTTGATAATATGGGGAAGGTGAGATTTTCAAAAAGACTTACAAGCTGGAAGAAATTCCACCACACCCCACACATTAAAAGCAGTGAAGAAATGCTTCTATCCAATTTGGTTAGCGTCAACCTCTTTGAAATTTTTCTGTTTCGATGACGTCAATTTTTGAAAAAAGCTAACAGATGAACGAAAATTCGAATGGAAAAGACCTTCATATCTCAGAGCAAGAGAAGCATGAAAACGACAAGGACATAAACCCAGAAAGGATCATAAAAGAATGGACCTTTTTGGGTGAAAAGGGCAGCTGTGTTTATGAGGGAATCGCTCAGAAAATTGGGAGAAAATTGATTGATTTCTGCAGCTTTCCTTTTGTTCAGGACTCATTAAAAGAAAGAAGTGAGTTTTCACACTTATAATTCATCAAACTAGTATATTGGTTCTTTGGCGAGGAAATTGGAAATCGGACGGCTCAACGAATTTTTGCAGAGTGTTGAGAAGATTCGTTGCGGCTTTTGAGTCGTTTCGGACACACGAAAAATACTTTAAAGGTGGGGTGATGGGAGATTTTTCGTAGGACTTTTGTAGCTAGGGTATGCATTCTACCGTGACGGTGTACAACGCTGATAAAATACTTCGGATAGTATGATGAACATTTTCTCAATTGACCACTTTTTGATACCTTTCACAGAAATCTAGATAAATTGGCTTAAAGTTGACTCTTAGGCACAGGTAATTCGCGGACTAACTGTCAGAAATTTATTGTCTATAGATAAATGAATCTGAAAGCAAAAGCATTCCTTTGTTTTTTGAACCTAATATTGTTTTTTTAAAATATATTTGTTTATTTGATTAAACCTGATTTTGAATAAAATCTTTATTTCATTAAGAAATAGAAATGACACAAGTAAGTATATGGTACAGAGATTTATTCGAGTTATTCCAGCTCCCAATCAAAACGTGCATCTGGGTTGAACATTGTCTCCTCCGAGACCATCTCGATCAAAGGCTCAACAGTTGTGTTGGGATCATTTTCCAAGACATCGCGGCATTTATTGAGAGTTCTGTTTTGTGTTGAAATCTCTCCTGTAATTGTCATAATATCCAAGATATCTTGACGAGATGTAATTGGATTCGCAGGAGCCGAACATCCAAAATCGTATAAAATAATCCGTCCTTTCTGGAATTTTTTTTTCATTATTAGAAATTTTTTCTTCGAAACTCACCTCAGCATTTTTTGGAATGCCCACATTTTTGGAGGACATATCCCCATGAGCGATTCCACGCTCATGAATAAACTTGATACCAACAAACGTATGATACAGAATCAGCGATGTTGTATTGGACGTGAACTTGTTGTTGTTGTTCAATTCTTTTAGCTCGTGCAGACTTTTCCCTTCCCATGAAATAACTGAAAACAAATTTGAATTTTCAATTTCGCAAATTGTGTGTACTCACTAAAAAATGACGCATTCTGAGGTTCTGCACCGAATTCCAATGGAGTAGGGCAATAAGTAAATGGATCCAAAAGAATCAATGTGTCGTATTCATGTTTCACTTCCGATTCATCCTCAAATTTCAACTGCTTAACTGCAACTTCTAAATTCGATTCCAAATCTTTTGCAGTGTAAATGAACGAGAAGAATCATTGATTGATGAAATCAATTACTTCATAATGACCATTGAGGATTTGTTGTTTTGCGAAGAGACTGAAAATACTGTTTCAACTTTCAAAATAATTTTAAGGCTTTACCTCATCTGGATCCAAGAAATATGTAAATTTGTAGAAAGAGAGTGTGGCGCCGGAGACTGGAAATTCGTTTTTTAGTTACCGCATTTCGTCTGATAAGAGCCCACTTTTATATGCAATTTGAGCTCAATTATCTCGGTTCATAAAAAAGATATCAATGATTTGTCAATTAATAAAATGTTTATGATGTTATGATAAACAATTTATCAGTTGACAAATTTTTGATACCTCTTTTAGGAACCGAGATAATTGAGCTCGAAGTGGACGTAAAATGAATAGAATTCCACTCAAAATGAATAGAATTCCATTCTATACGTTCACTCCGAGCTCAATTATCTCAACTTCTAAAAGAGATATCAAAAATTTGTTAACTATGTAAATTTAGCTCTTATAGGAACCGAGATAATTAAGCTCGAAGTGTACGTAAAATGATTAGAATTCCACTCAAAATGAATAGAATTCCATTATATACGTGCACTTTGAGCTCGATTATCTCGGTTCATAAAAGAGATATCAAAAATTTGTTAACTGTGAAAATGTTGACGATGTTATGATAAACAATTTATCAATTGACACGTTTTTGATTCCTCTTACAGGAACCGAGATAATTGAGCTCGAAGTGGACGTAAAATGATTAGAATTCCACTCAAAATGAAAAGAATTACATTCTATACGTTCACTCCGAGCTCAATTATCTCGGCTCCTAAAAGTGATATCAAAAAATTGTCAATTAATAAAATGTTGATCATGTTATGATAAACAATTTAACAGTTGACAAATTTTTGATGCCTCTTTTAGGAACCGAGATAATTGAGCTCAAATTTTACGCATAGAGTGGGATTCTATTCATTTCGCTGATGACCTAGATTTTATTTGACCCCAATTTCTTATTCAAAAGTTTGCTCATATCTACGCTATCTATTTCACTACTGAACCCTCAACTAGAACTCTTAGTTACCTATTTTCCTCCCCCCACAATTGCCTGAAACTCACCCTTGAAGTGAAGAAGGAGAGCTGTGGAGATCCGACTGCTCGGTGGAGAAGAAAACTGTGAGAATGAATTCTCTGAGGAGTTTTGCTCACAAATTGACCCTGCCACGTATGAAACGTATGAAGGGCAAGGTTATTTATTTATTTTATTTATTCTGTAACTTTTTTCTTGTCCACGTATAAGGACTGTAACTTTCAGGGATCACATAATGTTGCCTCGAGAATCAAATGGAAATTAGGTCAACAACCACTGGTGACCTAGATTCTCAGTTATAGGGGTACGGTCATGAAACTTTGTTATTGGGGTCCCTGACTAAAGACAATTCGAATGTAGGTCGCAAAAATTCGTTATATAGGTCACCAAAATTTTTTTGTCGGGGACGAAGCTACAGTAACCAAATTTAGTGTATAGGGTACCAATTAGATGACAAATTTATTCCAGGTCACAAAAATTCGTTATCTAGGTCACCAAAAATTTTTGGTCGGGAATAAAGCTACAGTAACCAAATTTAGTGTATAGGGTACCAATTAGATGACAAATTTTTTCCAGGTCACAAAAATTCGGTATCTAGGTCACCAAAATTTTTTTGTCGGGGACGAAGCTACAGTAACCAAATTTAGTGTATCATGTACAAATAAGATGACAAATTTATTCCAGGTCACAAAAATTCGTTATCTAGGTCACCAAAAATTTTTGGTCGGGAATAAAGCTACAGTAACCAAATTTAGTGTATAGGGTACCAATTAGATGACAAATTTTTTCCAGGTCACAAAAATTCGGTATCTAGGTCACCAAAGTATTTTTGTCGGGGATGAAACTACAGTAACCAAATTCAGTCTATATGGTACAAATTAGGTGACAAATTGTTTCTTAATTTCCAGTCGCTTATCTTATTTTGTGTTGTACTCAAATTTTCATATTTCATAGCCCTCGAACCTTTTCTACAACGTCTTTTCTCCAATGACCATCTCATCTTTCAAAAACGAAAAAAGCTATCAAGCTTCCCTGTTTCCCACCATTATCAATATTTTTTCTTCTTTGATTCATTTCTTTTTTTCTTTAAACTAAAACATCACGCACACACACACACAAAATTCTGGTGTTGGCCCTCTTTCGAAGACTGTAAAGTTTGCTGTCAAGGACAAATGTCAAGTGTTCTCCAACCATTAGATGATTCAGTGCTCCGCCCATTTTTCAAATATGATTTGGGCCGTTGGCTCACTGTTTCTTGTCATTCTTGATTTCTTCTGCTATCGTTTGTCTTGAGAAGAGAGAACCTGGTTTTTTGAGTGATAGATATGGAGTTCATACTTCTATCACTCCTATTCTTCGGGATAGTTCCATTTCTTATATCCCCATTCGCCTATCACCCTCGCCGTGATCTAGAGCTTGCCGTTCACCTGGACCACTATCAATCTGAGAATTTTACAGTCAAATTTTCCTATATTCTAATTGAAAGTAAGCTTTATAACTTCCAAAAATTGCAGATTTATTAATTTCAGCCCACCTCCATCACGATACAGTACTCTGTGTTGAAAACCTAGTCAATGCAAATGTCTCCATTAAGCTATGGAATTTCGATGGTCCTGGTGCTGATCGATATTTTAACATTAGCCAGAGATTTACGGAAATCGAAAATCACGATTATGAGCTCCGTCAAGAACTGGTGCGGAATGGAATTGGGATTACTGTAACCGCCAACTATTCCACTGCCGATGGGATTCTGATATTCAAAAGATGTCGTCGTGACGTTTTTACTTCTCTTGGTGAGTAGACAAAATTAGAAAGTTACCGTATAGCTTGAGATAGAAAGGTCAAGATACTAATCTTCTTTGTTCCTAATAAAATATCAAAAAATTACCATAACCCTTCAAAAAAACGTAAACACTTTAATAGAAGGCAACCTTATACTTGCACTTTGAGCTCAATTATCTCCATTTCTATGAGAAATAATACAATTTTGTTAACTTATAAAATATTTTTCATGATATCACCAACATTTTATTAGTTGACAGATTTATATTACCTCTTACAGAAATCGGAATAATTTAGCTCAAAGTGCAAGTAAAGACTAACCTTCAATTAGAGTGTTTGTGGTACTTTTCTTTGAAAAACACCACAGCAATTCTTCAGAATACATGATGTTAAAATCTACAATAATTCTTCAAAATTCTACGGTAATCCTTCGAAAAATCATCTGTCATTTCGACAGTAACCGATACAAATTATATTAAAGGGAACTTGTCGGTACCCGTACATCACTGGTCTTACGGTACTTTTCATTTCAAAAAAAAATACAGAGAATAATGAAACATCATCCTTGGTACCATTCACAAGTTGGGACAATGCGATCCACGTGCCATTCGATGTCAGCTATCTCAATAGTACCACGGAGTACGTCGATTTCTCCACAATCATGCCAAGACGTGAGGCAAATGTTCGGTTTTCAAATGTTCGGTTTTCAAATATTAGGTTTTCTGAGAATCAATGACTGGACGCGACGAGGCTTCTGCTTGAACTTTACCATCAACGATCATTTGAAAATTGAAATGTCACGATGCAGAAACTCGCAACCGTTTACCATTATGATTTCACGGCTTCAAAGTACACAAGTCATACGGTACTGGGAGGCAATTTTTAAAGCGGACACGCTGTGTCCAATTGATGAGGAGTCACGACCGGATTAGTGAGTGATAGTGGGAATGATAAGTGTGGGCTTATAGAGTTTTGCGGGTGCTCCATGATCTGGCGAACTCTTGAAAGTTAAGGAATGCAAAAACATCTTAAGCTAGCTTTTATACCGTTTTACCTCTAATAGAAGCCATCCTATAAGTGCACTTTGAACTCAATTATCTCAATTTTCGTAAAAGATTTATAAAATTTTTCAGTTATTTCATAATATCACTAGCATTTTATTGACAACCTTTTGGATCTTTCTTAAAAATCGGGATGCTTGAGCTCTAAATGCACGTATAGTACGGGCTTCTATTAATGAAATTTCGGTATGCATCGGGCTAACTTGACCTAGTCCATGCCGCTTACTAATGTTTTTCTACGAAATAACTTGAATATGAGAATCTGACCTAGTGATTCCGATGATACTTATATGGAATCTTTCACGAATGTGCCAGCGTGGCCTAATGGATACGATTTTGAATTCCTTATCCGGGAATAGGGGTTCGAGTCACACCAGTGGGCTTTTTTCACTCTCACTTTCTGAAAACTGATATCTACAAATGTTAATTAACAATTGAAATTACAAAAATTTTAGTTTCTGGCTTAAAATCATATCCACGGGCCATGTTGGAGTCGGAGACTTGGTTTTTTTCAACTGTCACCACTTCTGGATCAGAAACCATGGAGACGAGGATTATCCTTACGCTGAAAAAATGAAAATTGTACCGACCATTGACAAACCAGACGGACGTGTCTGGAGTTTTGACTATGTTGTCTCTCCAAACCGTCGGAATCCATACTTTTCTCCTGCCAAACATCTCATTGATACAGGTAACAGAAACGATTTAGACAAACTGATATATTGTAAAACTTTGTAGCTCTTGTCACGGGTACGCCACTCCACCTTCATCTGGAAAAGCAACTTCCGCACACTCTGTCATTCAGTGCTTGCTACAATAGTCCCAGGTACCCGATTAAGCTGAAAGGAAACGTGGTGACTATCGAGAAGCAAATGTTGCAAACCCTCTCGGATTCCACCAACATCTTTGACTGTGAAGAGGAGAAGACAGTACCCGGATTCTATATCAGTGTGGGAGCTGACAAGGATAGTGTGATGGGAAACGCCTATTTCTATCTTGATGAGAAGCAGAATGGCGCGGAGACTCCAGAAGGGAAATTGAAGAACGATATGTTCACCACTGTTGCCTTCAACTTGAGAAAAGGAAATAAGATTTCTAGGAATGTGGATATTCAAAGATTGGTTATTGAAGGTAGGGTACTTGGCCCAAAACAGGTCCTGACAGGCACTGTCATAGTCTCTTTTGGGATCATAATTTTTGGACCAACCAAATCAGATATAATAGAACACAGGTACTATAAAACGGCATTAATTGAAAAATTGTATCTTGTCTATAGACAATTTTACAATCCAAAAAGTGGCTGATACGGGTCGTCCTCTTTTTTGGTCCGTTCTTTCTTCTGTTAGTAGACAATATACAGTTTTCCAAATACTATCATTGTTTAGTACTCTTCAACTTCCAGCCTATCTGATTTAGTTGGTCCAAAAAATATAATCTTTCGAAAACAATGGCGAGGACCGTCTGGAGTAGTTTTATTCAAAAATAGAATTTTCAGGACTCTACAACTCTCGAGTCAATCTTCATCACTATTTTAATTGCACTGGGCTTGTTCAACTCTCCATCAGTCGTTGTGAATTCACCCCAAAACTCCAATTGTTTGGTCCTAGGAACTCCGGATCCGCTGTTTTCGACTCACCAACTCTTGCCTTCATCGAGCAACTGTACAACCGGACTGACTGTCTTACAGACTTCCAAATGGACCGTGAAGAATACTTTTCGGATGACAGATACGGGTAAATCATTTGTTTCAATTTTTAATAGAAAAATGCTAAATTACAGAGTCTACTTGCACATTGAAGCTCTGGAGGACTCGATTGGATATGTTGCTCTGTACGAATCATTTTCTGCAAGAATGAACTACTATGAGCTGACTGAGGAATACGAAGAAGCAACTTGTATGACATTGTAAACCTTATTCCAAAATATATCCAGATTATTTCAGACGACAAAAGAGTAATCCAATCATTCCACGTGTTCAATGCCACTAAGTACATCTCATCATTTGCTATATCCCATCTAGTCAACCGTGCCCAAATCAAACCAGCTATGTCTCTCCGTTTCTTTGTTGACAGTACCGGACCACTCCAGCTAGCCATTTCTGAATGCAAAAATGATGAGATCAGAGAATGGAAAACTGTCGGGTCCACCAACGGAAGTGTTAGTGCTTGGTACACATTTGACAAAGAAGGCCTTGAACTGTTGTCGGCTTTTTCCCAATCGCTTAACTGCTTCAACAAGAGATACACCCAGTACGCTATTTTTTTTTCAATTTTTTCTTTTTCAGTTTCGACTTTTCCAGAATCTTCGTACACATCAAGTCCGAAGCTAACATCTATGTTAATCTTGAGTTTTCAATCTGGAATGGAACCGATTTGAATCAAGTCAGCACTTGTGACATGGAACGCGAACGCTCAGAGTCTCTTCAACTGAAAAATGGTTCTTTACGACAGGAAATGCAAATATTGCTTGTGGAAATCGCCATGGTTGTAGTTATAATTCTAGGTACATTTGTTGGGTTTTGCAAGTTCTCGAATTTTTGATTTTTAGGATTCACTGCAATGCTCTACATCTCCCGAAGAGTGATTCCAGTTTATCAGCCGGTTGTTGTGACTGAAACCTTTTTCAAGACGTCTTCCGTGGATTTGTCTGAACGTAGCAGCACTGTGTGAACCTTCAACCCGTTGATCTGAACTAATTGAAATTGAATTGACACCTGAATTGCTCTTTTGAATTCAAAAAAAGAAACTACAGTAATCACTCTGATAGAATGGTCTCCAACCCATCAGCTTTGATCCCACATATCTTATTTCCTGTAGAAGATATCAAAAAGTGATCAACAGACAATATATTTTTTGAATCATGATCAATATTTTATCAATCAACCACTTTGCGATAGCTTTCACACAAAAGGAGATATATGAGCTCAAAGTTGACGGTTGGGCGCATTTTATTAAAGTTTTTCTTTGGTATTTGAATTCAAATTGATCCCTTTATCTCGTACTAAAATTATTTGACTATCAAAATTGAACTTTCTTCCAGTAATATTTTTTAAAGTAACAAATTGAACCCATATACACACCCTACACCTGAAATTTGCTCAAAAATTGAATTTTGTTCTATTAGCTATTTCTAACAATTTCTTGTTTTCTTTTAGTTTCTATTACAGTTCCCCCCAGGCAACCTTTCCCAGAATATACCTTTTCCAAAATTACTAGTTATTTTGAATCCAAATTTTACTCTATATTCTTCCCTCTGAAAAAATTTAAACCCCAAAAAAAATCTCAGATAGCCATTTCATTTATACATATTTTTCAAACTTTATTCGTCGAAAATCATTTATATTCAGAAATAAAATCGTTTTTCTTTTTAAATACATTACAAGCAATGTGTTAAACACTTTTAGTACCGTTTCGGGAAGTTTCTACAAAGCACAATTTTGAAAAAGAACAAAGCGAGAAGTGGAAGTTGAGACATAAACAATGTTGACTTTAGGGAAAAAAGTGTCACGTAAACTTACTAGTGTACCGCGCGCGACCTATTAGATCTCACCTCAAAAAATGGAGGAAGCATGAGGATCAGCACCATATAGTATGGTTTTACAAAGTAAAGCAGAACAGAAAGATGATAATGAATTGGTTTTTGTCAATCTAGAATTTTGAAGGGGGTGAGGCAGGAGGAAGCGTTCAAAAATAAATTATGAAATGGTACATAACTGTTGTGAATAGAGAAAGAAGAATTCAGACATCGCTGGCTTCATGACTGTCATTTCGTCGAGATCTGAAAATTAAGCATGAGCAATTGAAATTGAAAGATTCGTGCAGAAGATTCAAAAATCAGACAGCTTGTCAAAACTCATGCAAAAAAGGCTTGTTTGAAAGCAAATCGCAAAACAAACACTGAAAAGAGTAGAAGGAAAGAGGAAACTTTGGAAAAAAACTCCATGCGTTGAAATTTAAAATTGGAAAAGGTTAAGATAGTTCAAAATCACCACTTCAAATAAATAGAAGTTCAAAACGGTGTGAGAAAGAAATGAGAAGTTTTAGGAAAGATTCGTTTGTTTGTTTTTTGGTGTAAGTAGGGTTATACTCACAGAAGCGGTCGATAGCTGGAAGATTGGGTACGGTAGCGGCTGTAAACGCGCCGCGATAGTCAATAAGAGAAATGAATAACCTGTACGAGTGTGGCGTTTGTGGCCGAGTCTCTATCGATAGACTGTTGAGGGGTGAGTGTGAAAAGTGGCACGGATGGCGTTTTTCTAGGTTGATTTGGTTTTTGTTTGGGCTAACTTTTTGAGAAGAACCAACCCACCCAGTGGAACCCAATTTTAAAAAATGTTAACGGGAAAAAAACCCTTATTGCTTTTAAACTTACACAGGTGGACCATATCGGCTGGTGAAACTTTGCTGTCTCATGACAGTCTGCAGAGTAGCGCACCGGCATGCGAGCATTTCACGGAACGGTATCCGGAACTCTTTGTTGTATTTGCAATAGATTAGTGGGTTGACGGTACTGAAATATTCAAATTATCGTAAATTATCACATCTAACGGTAGAATTTAAATAGCAGTGTTTCCTATGATAGAAACCGACCCAAAGCGTTAGCTTTGAGTTTAATTATCGAGATAAATTGGCTCAAGGTTAAAAAATAAGATTATTATTATTATAATAGAGTGTTCACCGTATTTCCTGCCTTCAATATATAGTGGTCCTTTGGGTGAAAGTCTCCCTCATTTGTAAGCTTAATGCCAATTTTCTTGAGGAGTTATCGAAGAGTTTTCAGCTGATAAAACGCTTGCCATAATTTCAAAACATTTTTTTTTCGTTGTAACATTTTTCACAGAAATTGAGATAATTGAGCTCTAGTGAAATGTGGCACTCTATTAGAGGGTATATGATATGCGGTGCATCCATTAACCCGCGTAAGCCAAACGTTGTGTGCTAAAGATTCAATATTTTATATTTTATCAAAAACTTGATACCGTATTTTCTAAAAAGCCATTTCTGAGCTCATTCATTTCATTTCCTGTGAAAACATGTTGCTATTGTCATGATAATTAATTTATCAGTTGACCACATTTCGATATCTTTCACAAGAAGAAAGATACATGGACTCAGACGTAACATCAGAGTATTTACGGTATCCTCATACTTCAGTTAATTTTTTAACCCGCTGAGTGTCATATACGTTTTTTCAGTTTTCCGTTTTACCGAATTTTTTTTAAACGTTCTCATAACAAATAATTCAAATTATCATCAAAATCTGAAGCTTATCATCTTCTACTTGCACTATGTTAGGATTCTGGCAATTCCTCTTTAGTTGGATTTGAGTCCCCTCGAAGTCTTAAAATTTTAACTTTGAAACTAGAATCCACATGTTAATCTTTTTTCGACTTCTCTTCTTTGAAAATAAGGTGTCACGTTACCATTTTCCTTTTGTTTGTTTGCACCTTGACCTCTGATAAATTCTTTTTCTAGTCTCTTTCATAATAAATCCTTCATTTTTTCCTGGACGTCATAAATGCTTCATATTTTAAATGGAGTAATTTGAGATTTCCCTTGACTGCCATATGTTTTTTGGCGTTTTTTTCCAATGGTGCCTAAAATTGGTCGGCGGCTAAGCGTGGCACGCACCGATAATATTTCGCCGCACTATATGTCAAAACGGATGCATCTTCATCATAGTTTATGATGATTGAAATGGCATATTCTCGTATTTTTATAGACCTCTTTGATTGATGAAATGGTGTGACAGAATAGAACAAACCTATTGGAATAGCCAAGCCAGAGAGCTGTGAGATCCAACCATCCTGGAATCTTCATGCCGAACGATTTGAAAATGGCGAGAATGAAGAATGGGAGCCAGCAAATGATAAAGACCGACATGATGACCCCTAGCGTTTTTCTCGCCTTGCATTCGCTTTTCTCATTCTGACGAATCTGAAAAAAAAAACTTATAACAAGTGCGATGCACTTTTTATGATCAACTGTTTTTTGTTTTTGTTGCGTTTTGAAGATGAAACTGGATTTTTGAAGTGTTGTCCAATTTAGCTTCCAAGAGTGAAATTTTGTTTGCCCTGTGACGTCGTCAATTACTTTGAACTTTCAAAATTTTTGCACAATAGAAGGCTTCACATGTCTATTCTAGCCTCTATTCTAAAGCTGTACACAATAAAGAGTCCCTGCTAACTTTAGCAGAATTCGTACTCTATAGGGTCAAGAATTTCATGAAATTCGATCCCTGTATCTACTTTCTAAAAGCAGATGAGTGCTCCTGAAGATTCCTCTTCTTCTCTCACAAAATAATTCGCGTCACATGTTTTCAAAGAGTCGGGCAACACAAACCCATTGAATATGATTTTATTGGGAACGGCTACGATGCCCCCAACGTCGTTGCGAGAGCTTGAGAAACAAAAAAAAACAATGAAGAGCACAGCGATAAGGGTGGTGAGAGAAGAGATGAAAGAATTTCCACCGCTTCAGCTCAATAAGTGCCACTTTGAACATTTTAAGCACCATTTAGTGCATTTCTCTTAGCCATTTATACATCCGACGTTTAAAAAACAAAGACTACACATAAAACATGTTAACACTGAAGAGAAATCAACAGATGGCGCTGCTTTAGATGGTTTTGAGTGCTTTGGGATGAGTCATAAGGGAAGTTTGAAAAGAAAAAGAGATTTGTGTTTTTTAAATATTTGTAGATAGTACAAAAAGTAAGTAAACATGATAAGGTAATGAAAACAATTTGATTTCGATTTCAATTTTTGTTTTAAAAAATTGATACGGTAATTAGACAAGTATTATATGCCGTATTTGATATGATTGAAGAGCATCCTACGTCGTTTGAACTCAATTATCTCGGTTTTCATTAGAGATATCGAAAATTTGTCAACTGACGAATTATTTTTCAAATTATCACCAAAATTTTATCAGTCGACTAATTTTTCATATCTCTTATAGGAACCGAGATAATTCAGCTTAAAGAGCATAAAGTAGGTTCTATTAAAGGAAATACGGTAATGACCACAGACCATTTTGTAGTTTCAATCTTTCCGTAAAATTATTGTTTTCCGAAATTTTGGAAACTGTATTTTTACCTTTATTTGATATAAAAATTTAGGATGTTGCTCCGACCACACCTGCATCAGCTCTGAGCTACAGTAACCTTTATAAGCCTATTTTTATCTCAATACCGTATTTCCTATAATAGAGTCCTACCCGAGCGGTAAACTTTGAAATAAATAATCTCGATTACTGTAAAAGCTATCCAAATTTTGCCAACTGATGAATTATTTATCATAATATCGTCAATGCTTAATAAGTTGACAATTTTCTGATGTCTTTTACTGAAATCGAAACTTCTATGAGAAGAAATATGGTATTTTTGTTTTGCACTACATATAAAAAACCCTCTGAATAACTTGCCCTCTCCCTACCCCACCAAAAACACAACCTCCACTTTTATATGCCCCATCCCCTTCCATTCCTTTCAAATTTCTTCATTTTTTTTCTTATTGACGTACCAGTGGTCCTTTTGCAGCGGCCGAGAAGAATGTGCTGGGACGATGAAGATATTTCCGTTCCAACTTGAAGAGGCGAGAGTTGGTGGAGTTGGTTCGTTCTTTTTTGGGAACTTCAATCGTTTCTTTTTCCTGTGTGGACTCTTTGTTTTCCGAGGAGCTGGAACCTCCGTTGAGAGGTCTCTCGGATGCATCCACCGAGTTGCAATGAGACATCAATCTATCCTGAGCCGCCAATCGTTTTGCCTCCCTCCAAATTTTGATATTCAAAATGACCATAATGAAAGTTGGTCCATAGAACGAGATGAGTGTCGCATAGCTTTGGTAGAGGAAGTGTGGAAGGACCTGAAAGAGAAATAAAACCGTCACTTTTTTTTGCACACCGTTCTGTAAAATAGTTCAACCATTTTCCTTCTCTCTAGGGAACTATTCATCTGGTATAACTCCCGGCGGCAAGGGGATCGCTTTGTTTGGTATAATAGAATTTTTTGTAGAACTCCAAAAAGAAGAGGCGGCTCATTCTTTCTCTTTACTTTTTTGCTGGTGTGGTCGTTTGGTAAAGCCCCTGGTGGAGCTGGTGCGCAGAGACTTTTTTTATAGGTTCGGGAAATCACTTTGAGAAGACGAAAAGGGGAAGCGAACGAAAGCAAAAAAAAAGTAGAGAGATGACGGGAGGAAACATTGAGTTTGAACATGTTTCTCTCTTCAATTTTCGGTTTCCCAGTTGGGAATTCAAAAAAAAAGGCTGGAAAAAAAGTTCGGTCCCAATTGGCCCGCCATGTTAGATGGAATGTTTCAGGCGTTTTTTGGCGCGGTGTCAGGAAACGAAAATGACAAATGACAAAAAACATGTATGCGCTTTTGATTTTTTGCAATTTTTTGTTACAAGGAGTTCCGGGTAGATTTCCATAACTAAAAAAATACCATAAAACCTGTAATAGAAGGACTTCCACACTCTCATGTTTGAACTCACTTATCTCGGCTCCTATGAGAGCTATCAAAAATATGTCAACTGATGAAATGTTTGTGATTTTATGATGAACAATTTATCAGCTGAAAACTTTTTCATATCTCTGACAGTAGTCCAGATAAATAAAATTGCTCAAAGTAAAAAGTTAGAGTGTCTGCTATCACTGTATCTACGAAAAAGCGCGGCAAAAACGTAATATTTCAGACTTTCGCCTCGTTCGAGCTACATTCGCAAATGAGTTTGGTTTTTCAACGAAAAACAGATTCTAGTGATGCTAGTGATAATTTTCATACCAAGAATCTACATTTTGTCCAGAAAATCCCACTAAATTCCCTGAAATAAGTTTCTTTTACTACTGTAGTGATTTTTGGGCGAGGCTCCGTAAATCGAAACGTAAGCCGCCCGCGAAATTTTCCAGGTCCTACTTTTTTTTCAATTCGACAATAACTCGTTTAATTTTTCTTAAAGACGCAAGCAAACTACCTTATTTTTGAGCCTACGTTCTCAATTTTTCAACAGTTTACATTCCTTTTTTATTTTTGCTCGGGTTGCATTGAAAAACTATGTAAATCGCTAAAATTGAGAAAGAGGCTCTCTTGTGTCTTTAAGAAAATTTTTATAGATATTCGCACTCAACCTTTTCTTACTTTTTTAGACACCAATAACACTGTAATCTTCCATTCTGAAGTTATAAATAGAATATCCCAAAACCAGATGTTGGTCAAAAAATCGGGATTTTCCCTTCACTCCAGTCTCCCATGTTCCTCAACCCCTCAAAACATATGTTGAAACAAAGACAAAGAAAAAAAAACAGCTGTGAAAAATCTTCGTTTTCCAAAAAAACCCCAGAAGCTCTCCCACAAAACCCGTTCTTGTGTTATCTGATCGTCAAAAGAACATTAATGATTATTTATTGCCCGAGCATTTGTGTGCATTCTTCTACACACATACACACAACATGATCAGTTAATGACGCGAAAAAGCTCTACCTTTTTAAATCCCAAAAGATCGAACAACAAGAGTTCCGAGATAGGAGTCATCCCCCCAGAATGATGCTAAAAGGGTATCCCTCCATCTTTAAGTTTGAATTTGCATAATGAATGCAACATTTGATTCCCTTCGCATACTCCTACGTACTTTTGAAGTTTGCCCGTAGGATGAAATTTCGAAAAAAAAAATCTCGAAACCTCCCCTCTCCGGTTACGGAAAGCAATATTCTAGGAGTGCGCGCATGGTTCTCATGTTTCAAGATATCTTTTGCGTTGTGGTTATGAGACGTTTTCAACGTCACGAAAAAACGTTCAAAAAGGTCTTATTTCAGTGGTAGGGTCATAAAACTAAAAGTGGACTTTTTCTGCCCACAAGTCGTTCTCTAAATCCGAAAACCCACCCAAACGGCTTAGGGTATGTTTTATGGCGGAAAGCGTCACAAAGATTAACGAAACGTTCACTCAGAAACGTCGGTTTCGCTTTTGGTTACCAGGTGGAAAGAGAACTAAAGGGAAAACTCAGAGGTTTCCTTAAGATTTCGTCTACTAAAACGGAAGCAATTGGATTTTTTTTTCAAGGTCTGTATCTGTCAATCAAACGCACCTCTCCTAATTGCCGTTCGCACTATCAAGGAAGATTTATAGGCTGTCAGTGATTTTCGAATTCTTAGTCTTTGTTAGAAAGTCCCCGAACCAGGCACATAACTTGGGGGCTACAACGATTAGGCGGTAAAAGGAGGTACAACGTGATTTAGGACGGAATCCACAGTTCGGTAGTACAAATTTCAGAATTCTTGAGGTATTCTGTGCCCCGAATCAAATATGATGTATCCCTAAACTGCTTTCTAAATCATTTGCCCTCTAACCAGTTGGCGGCTCCCATTTGAGGTATTTTTTAGGCTCCCTGCAATTTCCGAGGGTTATGGAACCCGCCTGGTCCCATCAACCACCGGAGATTAAATTTTTTTTGGAATGCATTCCCCCTTCTATGATAGATTGCCTTCGCTAGCTATTTCCTGGTGAATAAGGTCCCAACGATAATTGATGCATCGCGATTTTTCTTCCTCCACCACGCGTCGGGGTTTTTTCGCTTCAATCCAAACTAATGTGCCTTTCTCTACTCTCGCATTTCGAGGTCGTTCGCAAGGGAAAAAACCTATTCTGATAGTTATTTTCACAATATGTGTACTCTCCCGCCACCTTTCTGCCGGGACCTCAACTTGCGAATTTCTTCGTGCCTCGAAACTTATGAATAGGTGAAAAAGTGTTGAATTGACAACACATGGAGTGAAAAAAAGCAAAAAAGAGAACGAGAAAAAGGCAAAGTGGGACCTTATAATGACAGGAAAAGGGCCCCTCAGCTGACCTGACACGTCCCAGGGTCCTCGATAAAAGTTCCATCGTCCAAAAAGCGAGCGATGATGTGCGAAGAGATGCTGACCACCGCAGCGGTGATCCAGACGCACGCAATGTACCATCCGATACGGCGTGTTGTGCGAATTGCAGAATATTGAAGAGGGCGAGAGATCACCAAGTAGCGATCCACAGAAATCGCACATAGATTCACAATGGAAGCAGTGCACAGAGTGAGGTCCGCTGTGGTGTAAACCGAGCACATTGTACTGAAAACAATTTTTTTTCAAAATTTTCTAAAAGATTGTTTGTCTTTTATTCCTAGCCCCCTACAAACAAATGGTCATCTGTTTCTCTCTGAAGGAATTTCAATATGCTTAGTGGTTGTGGACCTCCTTTAAGGAGCCGAGAGGGAGCAGCAAAGATGACACACGTTTTTGTAATACTTGCTCATTTGTCTTATTCGGATTGCTTTTTGGTTTTGGTTTCGGTGTATTTTATATATTGCACAATGAGGCTAATAATAGAAACCTTCTCGAAAAAACAAAAGAATCAACAATGCATCAAACAAAAAGTTCAAACATTTTTTTTTAGATTTTCGAAAGAGAAAAATTTTAAGGAAAGCCAAAAATTGCAAAAAAAGGATTCAATTCCAAAATTGAGGCTTGACACGGAAATGAGAGACACTAAAAAAGCGAACGCGCCTATTCAATAGGGGTAAACCACTTTTGGGAGGATTCCCTCAATTTATATTTGGGAAAATGAATTTTTTTGTGGTATAAAAATAAAAGAAACGGGGAATAAATTTTCGTAAAAAAGAGGAGGAAAAGAAAGATGACCAGTGAGAAGAGGACAACCCATAAATTACCTTCCAAGCGGCCATTTATCGAAGAGGAGGTCGATCAGAGCGAGTGGCATCACAACGAGTCCCACAAAGAAATCAGCCACGGCCAATGAAACCAATAGAAAGTTTTGTGGCGTTTTTAGTTTTCGAACGATCAAGACTGCAAGAAACACCAGCGCGTTTCCAACAATGGTCATCATCATCATAGCCAGAATGATCAGTGTCAACACTGCTTTTCCAGAAGTAAGCCCCGAGAACTGGACTCGCGTCGTTTGCGGATCGTCGTCCGGTGGCCATGCTGAGGTAATTGGCACGACTGTATATGAAGCGAATGGAGATATGTTGACTGCACGGGCCATTTCACCCTTCAGGCTTTGACTGACTGCTGCCGCATAGACCACAAGTGGTTGGCTCCTCGCTCTTGCCTCGGCGTCTCAATCATCCCTCGCCCAGAAAAATGGGGAAAAGGGGGCGGGGCTTCGGACACACCACCAACGCAATGTTCTTTTCGTCGTCCCGTCTACGGTAGAAAAAACGTGTCAGAAGGGGAAGCAGAAGAATGGAGAAGAAGAAGACGAAGAAGTTTCGGGTGCTGGTAGAAGTGCACCACCAGTGGTATCTCTAGTCTTGTCGTTCGCCTTCAATCCGACTAATGCGATTTTTTCCTTTTCTTCTGTTTGGAGGGTAGTAATCGTATTTCACGAAAAAACTGAAAATCAAAATGTTGATTGAAACAAGGAGAAGGAAAGACATTGAAACGCAAATATTGAAATGTAGAAGAAAAAATATGTGGTGGTGGGCATTGATAAGACACATAGGCTGTAAATCAAACCAGCAGACAAACACACAAAAACAAGACTCGTTGCCTACTCAAGTCTACATCAAAGAAAATCGAGGCGCTGAAAGTTTCCGGAATACTTTCAGTACAATCTGTCGACGTTTGTTTCCTCAAAGACCGAACAACCGGAAGAAAACAACATGATTTGTTCGCGGCAGAAAAGAGAGAAAGCATTTCATTACATTCTTCAGCTTTTTTTAAAGATGTACTTTGATTGAGATTGTTGTCAGCGATCTGTAATGCGAAAGAAACCAATATCGTCAAAGCGCATATTCATTAAAACTAGAATGTTCAATGACCATTTAAATTCTCCCACAATCTCGAATTTCGCGCCCACACAAACTGGACCACTGGCGAAAAGTTTAAAAACTTCACTACAGAAAAATAAAACTAAAACTTTGATGACACATCGTGAGGAGGGAGAGATAAAAAATGATATAAAAATAGGAACAAAACTGTCCACTGGAAATCATAAAACCACATTTTATTTCTTTGCTTCCGATCACTTTTGACACCTTGCAAAAACAGGAAAGAGAGAAAAAAACGTGTTTTGAATCTGGTTTACAATATATCTAATATACTTTGGCCACCCTCGGAAGCTTGATAACCGCGGAACGTTCTGTGAATCAAATTTACAAATTTATGAATTCCATTTCTTCAATATTCCCGAACACAACAAACCACTAAAAAACCTCAATAATTCACTAAATATTAGATTTGCATTTTCTCGGAAGGACCAGATTTTCAGATTACCGAACTGAATTCGCCGAACATTTCATGGTGGTTTTCAGATATCATGAAATCATCGCATCAGAGACGTATACACTCAATTTGAGAGTGCCTTGTACCAAAATTTTTTATAATTTCAATTAAACCTTTATAAACGCTCGAAATATTATGTTTCATTCAAATATATAGCTTATGAGTTAAAGCAATGAAGTTATTAAATAGATTTCAGCAATTTTGAAATCTTCGAAATATAGCTCGACAAGAAAACTGAAAAATTCAGATAATTTTTAGTGGGCGACCTATTTTTTCCGGTTTCAGATTTCATGATTTCCTGGAAGTTATTTTGCGGTTGAAACAGGTATAAGAAATATTTCTCAAAAAAAACGGATACATTGGTTTTTTGCCAATACTTTTCGTAAATGCTTATTGGGTCGTAACAACAGTTAGTGGTTCAAAAAATGTATATTAAAAAAAAGAGACTACAAAAAAGCTATGATCTTTTATAAAAAATACGATATTAAATGGATTGAAAAAAAAATTAAAGAGACAAAATAATTTTTCGAATTTTTTTAGAAGCGAGAGTATATCAATAGTTTTTGAAATTTTTTTGGGAATTCCAATAGAAACATAATTCTACAAAATTAAAACATTTAAAGGTGGGGGGACATGAAAAAAATAATGTTCTCGAAATTCCGTTCAAAGATGCCCCTCGAGGAGTTGAACTTGTGAGGGCGATGAATGAGGGTGCGGCGCCGCCACCGACTGAGCCACGCGGGCAAAGAGAAAGCGCACGCCCGATTGCATACATAAAGGCGAGGACGACAGCTGTACGCAGAGTGTCATTAAGCGTTGTACACCGTCACGGTAGAATGCATACTCTAGCTACAAAAAAACTACGAAAAATCTCCTGTCCCCCCACCTTTAAGAAAATTCAAAAACAACCAGAAACTAGAATGTTAAAAACTGGAAGAAATCCGTAATTAAATTCCACAAAATAAAGTTTCAGAAAATTCTAAATTAATGAAAAATTTTAAATTTTAAGAAACTTCAGAATCTCCAGAAAATGAAATAAAAAATGTGGCTATTTTCTAGTTTAGAGGTCCCAAGAAAAAATAGATTTTTGAAAAACGCGCAGGTATCAAAATAATATGCCAGAATTTGGAGTTTTGATTTTTGAGGCTCTATAGGATGATAAAAGCGAAAATGTGACTTCTCCTGATAGTTTTGGCTCCATTTCTTTTTTGTCTTCTGACCCCAATTTACATATAAGCAAAATGTCGGCAAACAGTAATGCCTCCGTGAATAAGCTTTCTTTCAGGCTTAGTTAATACAGTGCGCGTCATAATGATAGCACCACCCCATTTTTGAGGTTTTCAGAAAAACTAAAAAACTAAGATTAAAACGATTGATACCATTCGATTTCCAAAAAACCTGTGTTCCCTAAATCAAGTACCAGTCAAGTGTATTAGGGCTACAGCAACCAAAAGTCAGTCTGCACATCGCGTCATAATGATAGCACTACCCTGGAAAATGAAAAATCTCATGTTTATTTGAGAAAAAAATTGAGTATGTTTTGTTGAAATTCGTTGAAATAGTCTTCAAACAGACTATTTTGACAGTCTACACAAAAATTGATGCTTCTATTCAACTTTGAGAAAAATTTATTTTCAGACAATTTCGTCATTTTTTTTTTGGGTTTTTGGAATAAATCTTGAATAACTTTCCTCCTGGGTGAACTGTTGAGCTGAAACTGATAGAAAATATTTTTGCAGTGGTTTGGAGTGTGTATTAGTTGTTTTTAGGCTATTCTGAGCCGTCGTTCGCAATTTGAACAAAACGGAAACTTCGAAAACGAACCTGGAAATTCAGTGAATTGATTTTCTTTAAAAATACTGGATTTCATAAGTAAAAATTATTTTTTTCCGTACAGAATCATAGTTTCAAAGTCAATTTTGGTAATTGAGAACATCTTTGGAGCTTTTTGCACACCTTTAAAAATTTTCACTGTGGAATGTTTTTTTCAGTTCAAAACTCGAGTTCAGTTATGAGCTACCAAAGCTCATGAATGCCATGGTGGTGCTATCATCATGGCGCGGTGTGCAGACAGGCTTTTGGTTACTGTAGTACTAATACACTTGACTGGTACTTGATTCAGGGGACACATAGGTTTTTTAGGATGCTGAATCGAATGACATCAATCGTTTTTATCTTAGTTTTTCAGTTGTTCTGAAAACCTCAAAAATGGGGTGGTGCTATCATTATGACGCGCACTGAATTCAAAAAATATGCATCTCTAATGTAAGCCTATTATAAATGTAAAATATACCGTCAACACTTATTTCTTTAATAAGAAAACAGAATATCAGTTTTTACATAGTTCAAATTCTGTTACACTGTTCCAATATCTGTGCGTTTTTCAAATATCGGACCTCTATTTTTTCTTGGGACCTCTAAACTTTTTTGGGACCTCTAATTTTTTTTCGGACCTCTTTTTTATTTTGGGACCTCTAATCTTTTTTTGGACCTCTTATCTAGAGAAGAGCCAAAAATATTATGAAAACGAAATTTAAAAAAGACAATTCCAGAGAGTTCAAACATTCTGAAAATCGCTAGTTCGAAAAAACTAACAACACTAATATACAATGTTACTAATATCCAAAAATGTAGAGAACCGACAATGAACACCTATTACAGGTTTCATCAGTCGGCAGCAGATGTCATCGCCCGCGTAGCTCGGTACTTGTTTAGCTGGGAACCTTCCTCCTGGGAAAGACAAAGTGACAGATTCCACTTTATTGATTCATTATGAGTGTGATAATAAACCTGCGGACTGTAATAAACCAAGACGTCGACCGCATATATTTTGTTGATGGTGTGAGTCGATAATCTTACCTTTAAGTATTTTGCCACAACCTGCCTATAATTAGATAAACCAAAAAACCGTTTGTATTTTGCACACTGTCCATGTCATTGATTGTTTTAGATTGTTCTTCTTCAATCAATTTTTTAACCTTTCTGTTCTCAAACTTTTCTTTTTGAACAGTATCAGCAAGCCAAGCCGCTGAAGGGTTTTGACCTTTCATCCTTTTTTATATTTTCCATTTCAAATACATTGTGATCATGGATTTACAGATAGCACTTTGGGCTAATGGATATTTTAGAAGCTTATCAACAAGTAAAGTCATATCACGCTGGTTTTATGTTCGAACATGGGTGATATTCTGGCTTTTTCCAATGCTTTTTTTAGTTCTCTATCAAATTTACAAAATGGAAAATGTGAAATTCGATAATTGTCCCAATTTTGATCTCTCTCGAAATTTCAAAATCAAAAGGAAACATTTCTTTCATAACAACAAGTCTCGGTCAAGGTGAATATTAATATTCATGGATCGCCAGTTTCCGTTGCGCGTGAGCTCTTAAAGAACGAAGCGCGCATCCGCCAATGTCGTCAAGTTTCCAGTCTTATTTTGTGTTAGAAAAAAGCGCTTATTTTCAGCCGAATGGAATGTGTCTTACACTTTTCTAGTCTTATCCTCGCAAAAAAACAAGTTGATCTTAGATTTTTTTTTCTTTTTGGCTTGGCAGTTTTAACAATTATCAAAAAATGCTTAACATGCTTGCTTTGAAAAAGATTTCAAACACAATTTGTTACATATTTGAGGTTGACTGTACTTTTGCTTATTTCTACTTATTTGTAGTCCTTCTGAAAAATTCCAGCCAGCGAACCATGGGTAAATATTTTTCCAGACTTTTCCAGTATAAAACGTATTATGCGAACTTGATGAGACCTTTTTGTGTGTGTTTTGACATCCAATGAACTCTAGAGATTCCTGATGTTTTGGATCTTCTCGTCTAAATCTAGACATTCCTCGTTTTGTCGCCTTTTCTCTTGACGACAACGATTCTCTTCAGCATGTTTTGTTTTCCGGTCGTAAAACCATCTGTGCGAAAACTGAGCCTTTTATGGGTCACTTCCAGACACGCCATTTTTCCGTTGCTTTTCCCGCAAAACGTTCACCAGTTTCCCGAAAAGGCGAGGTCCTTCATACTTTTGTTATTCGGACGATAGAAGACGATCAGTGTATTTTCATCTTCTTCTTTTTTCTCAAGATATATGATGGTCCTTGTCTTTGTTCATCAAACAAGAACTTTGAGTTCATGGACCCCTTCCCCATCATTATGCATTTGAAAGTTGACATCCGACGCGTTTCTGGTTTCTGCTCATCTTAGCTTTTTTTACTATGATCTTCTAAGATTTCGATTTTCGAAAATATTGTCTCATATCAGCTTTTCATTTTACTCTTCCATCTTGATCTTCTAAGATTCTGATTCGATGTCGTTTCAGCCAACGCAGTCCCTTATCGATGCTCTCCGTCTGGCCGACCAAGTGTCGTGCCCATACGAACGCAGGTACAAGAAGAACACGAGGTACCAACGAACCCAAAGAAGCTCCATCGCTAGATCTATGCCAACATTGATTGAGGATAAGAAGATTCCAGTATTCAATAATGCTCCGAGAAAGTCAATTGGGGCAACCAGCGATCTTTATGTTGAGAAGGAAGAGGTTAGTTCAAGAAACCAGTTTCTTTTTTTCTGTTTTGTTTAAAGGGGGACTCCGACCAAAAATTTTTATTGCATTAAAATGTGTTAAAAGTTATCTATTTTCCGAATATTATTGCGAAAAAATTCAAAAAATCCGAAATTCCCAAAAAACGGCGTTGAAAAGGAAGAAAATTCAAAAAAAGGTGCCGCCGGGGGACGAGGATTTTCAGTGAGAAACCTAGGCCACGGCAGCGGGCGCCTTTCCTATGTGGCAAATTTTCCGGATTTTTTTTAAATTTCATGTCCGGCAGGTAAAAACGTAAAAAAAAACCACTGTCGGCAACTTGAAAAAAAGGCTGTCAGGTGCCGTGGCCTAGGTTTCTCACTGAAAATCCTCGTCCCCCGGCGGCACCTTTTTTTGAATTTTCTTCCTTTTCAACGCCGTTTTTCGGGGATTTCGGATTTTATTTGAATTTTTTCGCTATAATATTTGAAAAATAGATAAATTTTAACACATTTTAATGCAATAAAAATTTCTGGTCGGAGTCCCCCTTTAAGGGATAGTTCAAAAGTTTCTGATTTTTTTGTTCTTAGAAAATTATTTTTGTTGGTCAGTATACCATATTTCTCCTGCAAAGAGCACACTCATCAACTATGAAATATCGGTGAAAGTATGATGAAGATTTTATCAGTTGACAAAATTTTGATATCTTTCGAAGGAACCGAGATAATTGAGCTCAATGTGCACATATAGGTTAGGATTATACAATTAGAGCAGGATGAAGTGTTATTTCTGGAAAACACTAATTCAACACTTTGAAAATTCAAAAAAAATTAGTTTCTAAATATATCTCTTCCGGATGTTACTACTGTAAATTCTCTAAAAGAAGCCTAAGTGCAATTTTAGCTCAATTATCTCTAGAAATATTCATTCTGGTTGTTTATATATGGACATTTTATCTCTGAAGACCTGTCTTTTGTACCGGACTCCTCAATTTTCAAGTTTTTCAATTTGACACAAAGTGTCATAGATGACATGTCAAATTTAGAATCTCTTTTTAAATGTATGAGTTTTTGACAACCACTCATATCAAGAACTACTCATTGATCTTCGAAACTCAAATTTCTGTTTACTTTCCTTCTTTTTTTCTGGGCCCATTTCTGAGTACTGTAACGACTTGTTGAGCTCATCAAACCCATCTCATCTCTTTCCACTTTTTTCTATCTTCTCCGAATAATGTGTCTATCGTGTGTGAAAGTGTTCGATTGGAATTGGACTCTCTTGGGGCCACCCACCCTCAAGTTTTGATGCTTCGAATGGTTTTTCCGGCTTTTTTGGACCAAGAGGAGAGGAAAATATAAGATTTTCGTCTTTTCTCTATTGACTTTTGAGTTCTTCTGTGAGCTCAGAATGCTTGATGAACTCGATGTTCTCGATCTTTTTAAGATTTGGATAATGCTCATCCTGATATTTGATGCTTGTTGGGATGACAGAACATGCGTCTTCTCCAAATCTTCTTAACAGTTCTTATCTAAGATTTTTATCCTGCTTACGTCACGCGCGAAGGATTCTTCGATTGAATATCATGTTCATTTTGTAGTCTTGGTTATGGCCGAAGAGAGAAATTTTTAATAGAATTTATCTTTTATTCGTTTGTATTCTAGATAATTGAGTTACGAATATAAATAAGAAGGTTTTCAGAAATTTTGAGCATTGAATTGAGTCAGAGAAATTACATATAGAAATTTTTTAGCTGATTTTCGTCAATTTGGACCATTTTTAGTAGTCCGGAGCTCGGTTGTCATATTTCCGACCATTTTCAAAATTTGGAAGGGTGTAAAACACACCTAGACTAAAAACTTCAAGTTTAAAGAATTTTTGTGAAATGCCGATTTCTGAAAGTCACATTTATTGCCCGCTGAAAACAGATGTCTCCTAAAAACTGGCAATAAGCTGAAAAATTAGGAATTTTCAAAAAAAAAAAATCTGTGAATGCAAAGTTTTTTTTGTTTCACACCCTCCAAAGTTTTCAAACTGATCGGAAACTTGGCAGCCGAGCTCCAAACTCTTGGTGAAACTGGCTGGAAATCAACTGAAAATACGTCGTTGTAGGCTGTACTGAGACAATTTTTCAAATTTTAAATTAGAATTTTTGTGAAAAAGTGTCTTATAAAAAATCCGTTCTTTTCCATATACATTGTTTGAACGACTCTCTCTCTCTCTTCAAGTTTATTGAAATATTGCGTTCAGTTCGATTCTCAACAACAATTCGTCGCCTTCCTCCTTCAAAACTTGGTGAATCGCGTCCGGATTTCTGCTTCTGAAGTGGATTTCTCCTTGTGCCTCATCATCATCTGCTTTTGCTGAAAAAAAGCCACAAGAAAGCGGGGAAGAGGAGCCGAAGGAGGGCGCGGGGAGGGCCATCGTGTCAAAACACTCCCACACACGAAAAATTGTGGTGCCAATCTGCCACTCGCTTCCGAAACTTCAATTAGGCCACAACAAAGGGCATCACTTGCACATTGCTGTCAAGAATCATCTAATTCGCGCCAGGGCCAGCCAATCTTGGTGCTTTGGGCGCATTTCGTTTTCTCCCTTTCTCGAAAAAAAGAAATCCGTCCATGTGCCGAGCTCTTCGAGCTCTGACTCTTCTGGTGATCTTGTCATCACCATAACGTCACTCTGTCTCCAGCTGAATTAATGGATCGTACCAGGGATGTGGTGAGTCTAAATGGTCTAGGGTCAGATTCAGGATTCAATGAATCTTAAATAATTTGTCTATTTCTGTTTTTTTTTCATGGCACCATATTTTTCATTTCTGTCTCCAAAGACTGAAGAAAAGTAGAATGACATTTCAACAAAAAAAAAATAAGAAAATGAAAACTTGTCGTTGAACACATCAACTATTAATCCGGAAACTCGGAAGAAGACGAGGGGTTCAAGAAGAGGCGCGAAAAGAGATTTTTTTTCTATATTTTATTTGCGTAATTTTCAAAATGCATTGTGAATTTTGTTCAGTAATTGAGCAGCTGAAATTTCTAAACGTTTGGACTATGATTTCATGAACGGTGTTTTCTGAAGGAGGATTTTCAGAGCGGCATATAGAATTTTAGCAGTCTGTTAGAATGTTAGAATTGGTTTTTTGTGTTACCCGAGAATTCTTTTTTGTTGGAAAATTCGAAAACTACTATATCACCATAAAGTCAGCAACTCATTGAGAAATTTTTAAAAGGTATTCGGTGAAAATTTTCATAACTTAATTTTATGCAATATTACGTTAAAACCTGTAATAGAAGGACTGCCAAACTGTAAAATTTGAGCTTATTTTTCTAGGCTCCTTTGCATGGTATCAAAAGAGTGGTATTAAGCAATTTATCAGTTGACAACTTCTATATTAAGCAATTTATCAGTTGACAACTTCTTGATATTTTTTCCAGCAATTGAGATAAATTGGCTAAAAGTTACCAGTTAAGGTTTATTACCGTGTTTACGGGATTTACGGTTATTTGAGAAAAATTTTTTCCAGAAGTGAGCCGTCAGAATAATCAAGCTTAGTGGGCATAATTATAAGCCTAAGTGTTTCCTGAATCTAAAACTTATTGCTCATTTCACCGTTCCCTTAATCTGAAAGTTTTTCAGAGAATTTTTTCGGTTATCCAACTCTTCCAAAATTAAAAAAAATTCCAGACTTTAATTTCTTTGGAAAATTCTCAATCTTCTGAAGTTTATACTGCGCAACATGAAAAGAAAACATTTATTTATTTGGCGGGGATTTGAAAACCCGTTATTTTGAAGCCCACCCAATTTCATTTTCTACGAAAAGTTCACAAAAACATTTAAAAATTAATTGGAAATTAATTTTTAATTTGAAAACTGCTTTTTGTGCGGCACAACGAATTTTTCAATTAAATGGAGATTTCTTTTGGATTCATGTATCCCAGAAAATATAAATTTCGTATAATTCTGATTTTCTATATTTCCTTTTCTCTATTATCCACCTATAGAGTTAGCTGAGACTATCGCATCTTAGAGCATTCTGACCTTCTTTTCTTTTGTCGTCATAATTTATTATGCTCACCTGAATTTGAACATCGCTGAACTCTTGACAAACAGTGGGCGTAGTGCACTCGATTCCAGTCAAAAATAAGAAAAAAACTCATCCAGGTGTTAATAACAAGTGATACAACTTTTTTTTCCAGTCAATGTCTTTTTGTTTCTAAGATATCAGGTTAGAGCACTCTTCAATGCTTTCTTCTCTGACTTCACAAGACACATTTGTTATTTTTCCACTCTTTTTTTGCTCCCATTTTTTTAGAAACAAAACTCTAATCTTCTTCTCAAAACGTTTTTCGATCTTTTGTGCTGAATATGTTAAGAAACATTGTCTCCTCGTTTTCTCTTCTCTTGTTGCCAATTTTCCAGGAACTCGGTTCTCCCAAAGGACCACAATTGAATAGAAAAGAGTTCAAAACTGGAATTAGTCGCCCACTCAGTTTCTGTTAACAGTACTAATAATAATAAGTTAGCTTATGTTACATTTAATCCGTTTTTACTCATTTCATAGAGCGAAAAAATAATAAGAAAGTAGTATGAGTGTATCGTTTCCGTAACTTTTGATAATATCCTAATCCTCTTGACGCACATACATAATGCAGCCTATTCTATTTTTTTTCTGGTGTTGCTTTCTCTACTTCTTATTCTCTATAGAATCTTGTATGTACTTTTCTAACTGGAACCTCTCTCTTTTTTTTCTCGTAATTTTGAAACGTTCTGATTGAAGGAGCGTTCTGATGTGAGTAGCCAGTTGATATTTGGTGCAGAATGTTAAAACCACCTGAAATTAGAATTCATCTGCCTGAAGAAGACAACAAGGAGGTGAGTATTTGAGTCAGGCTTTGAAAAACAGATCTTCCTTATATATAAAAAGCTACACGTGTCTGTTGGTCCTAGTGTACGGCTGTCCGGTTTTGGGTTTCAAATAAGAATTAGGCCGCCGCCAAAACTTAACCCGCGGCCCTTCGGACAACGAATGTGCATGCACCCAGTTGTGCCATGAAGGCCACACCAGGAAATAGAAGGGAGGGCGTACATGTTCTACCCTCTGAGAAAGAGAAAGCGGAAAGTGAGGGGTGGAGCGACAAACCAGTAAAAAAACATTGAATTGCGCCGAAGGCGCAGCAGCCAGCAGGCTGGTAACGAATAATAAGTCAGTACAAATGGTCAGGTCATAGAAGTAAACAAAAATGATTTGCGTCAGAAATCAAGAAATTGTATGAGTCAAAAATATCAATTTCAAAAATATCAAATTTTCAAACCAAAAATTCAATACACAAAGTACAAAGTTGTCTAAATGAGTTTTAATCTGCATTTCTAGGTTTTAGATATTTTATGCTTGTGGAATGAAGGCCCGTGCTGGTCTCAGGCTCTAAAAATTGTTTAAAAAACAGCTCAATTTTTCAAAAAGTACTCATTCTTCAAGTTTGTTGAGTCGATAACTTTTCAAATAAAAAAATTCCCATCTCTTATGTTCCATAACATTCTCAAGTGTCCAAGTAAAAACGACTATCAAACTAGACACTAGAAGATGTCCTTTTTTTGGGAAATTAAAGATTTTTTCCGCATTCCATATCATGTTTTATTCTCAAACCCATTGAAGAATACTCAATTTTTTCAGTTCTTTGTTTTTCGCGATTTATTGGAAACAAAAAAAATTTTGTAGACTCTAGAGGATATCAGAAACTTTACCATTTATTATTCTAAATGTTAACGTTCCTAGCAAACTTGGTTATTGTTTTTTTTTCTCTTTATCTTAACGGGCTGTTTTAAGACTACATCTGGTTCTGGAACTCAAACAAATCAATTTGTAGAGAAACGAAAATTAGGATTACAGTATTCTTATTTCCTTTCTGATTTTCGTTTTCTTATTCATGAGATTCTTGTTATTTTGATTATGTTTTCGCATACCACTAAATACCGATTCCAGTTGTTTTGAATAGAACCGTTGGATTACTGTAGTCGGCAAAATTGAACTTTCGACACTAGCTCATTTTCTAGTCTGTCACACTTGCCAGGACCACAAAAAGACAGAAGGAACAAAATTTCCAAACTCTATTTCTAAAATAGTATTTTCAATTTTTTTTGAGGCCACTGAATGCATAACAAAGCACCCAATTTTTGATATTAAAAGTATAAAAGGTAAGACAACCAATTTTTAGAAAAAATTGGAATGTCTGTTCCAATGCCAATTTTAGAAAATAAAAACACCACCTCGTTTCTCTTTTTTTTTCCCGGCTCACATTTCGATTTCTATGTTAATGAACACCAGCACTCAATTTCGAAAAGTCTCTTTAATTTTGTGAAGTGGACCCTTTACATCAATAGCCATTTCCATGTCTCATTTTAAAGGAACATACACCAGTAAGCTTCCTTTTGATAACCGGCAAACTTTCCCAGCTTAATCTCCTTTTTCGATTTTTGCTTTGGATAATAAGCTCTCTGACCACCAAAAGTTTAAAAACCGCGAGGGCGGACATTGAATTGGGACCCTCGAAAACAAAAAAAAAAAGAATCTGAAGACAGAACTATATGCGTGTGCTCTTCTGTGTACACGGCAATATGGGATCTCTCCCTAAAAAATCTCAATAAAAAGAAATGAGCCTAAAAACGACAAACCACCACCAATATTACGGCAATATGTCTCCCGTTCCATTCTCAATGAGATACATGTTTTTTTCGGCCTACACTAGCTCAATATATCCCTCCCATGGATTCTTTCTTTTATCCACATATCATAACTTGGTTCTTCTCTTTTTTGCTCATTTTCCGCTTTTATTGAGCTTGTCAAAAATAAAGAGCGACATGAGTTGAGAGAGGATAAATAAAACTTGATTATAATTTCAAGTCATTCTCTATTTGATTTTCTGGTTAATTTCTATTCTAGGGATCCAGATTTTTGTATTCAAGTCAGACAGATAAAAATATGTCCGTAAACAAGCCAAATATTGGTTTTTTGTTTTATTCTTGTCGTCTGAATTTGAAACTTCAATCTCAATAAGCTAGTTTATGAATTCCAAAAATTGAAATTCGATATTCTTACTCTAAAACTGGCAAATAATGTTATTGCGTTCATATTTTCTTTTCCTTCATGTTCAATTTTTTCTATTACTGGTTAGAAAAACGGCACAAGTTTAGAAGCTATTTTGTCCAAAAATTGTCTACTCAATGGAACTTTGTTATTCCGTAGGCTCCCAATTTAACTCATTCAACGGCGTCTTTAAAAAAAGGGCTCCCCAGCTTTGTGCTTGTTCAGATTCTCTAAAAACTTTTCATTTATTCATAATCTTCTGAATTCTGCCTCCTTCTAGGATATTCGTCTCAATCCCCACTTTTCCTTGCTCTGTGCTCTTTTTGAAATTCTTTTTTTGACGTCTTTCTAATAGCAAAAATATGAAAGGCGACAGAAAGATGCTTTGTGCAGAAAAAGAAACGCGCGTTTTACTCTTCAATGACTTTTTAACTCGATGAGTTTTTTTTCGAAAGTTAACTTGTGAAGGTTCTATTCTATTCAGAAAAAATTATGTTTGAGCTGATATCGTCGCATTTTTGAAAATTTCAAAACTTTGATTAGACGTCTACAAAGTAATTTTGAAATTCCTGCCTTTTTTTCACTAAGCAATGTAAAATCAATTTTTTTTTGACTTAAAAATGTGCCAGAAAAATACATAGAATTACATAAATCAGAGAAGAAAATAATGTAATATGTAATTTTTCAACATTTTTCGAACACTTTCCAAAACTATATTTTTTTGTCATATTTTGAAAAATAATCTTCTAGAATATTCAAAAAAAAATTTTCCAAATGGTTTCTTTTTTTCATTTTTAAACATACAAAAGGCTGCGGGACATTTAGCGACCGGACGTTTCGCCAATGCGACATTTCGCCACTACGACATTTTCCCACCGTGATAATACAGGCGAATGGATTGGTTTCAGGCTACAAAAAATAATTTCAGGGTTTTCAAACGTGTCTTTTCTGATAGATCATCATGAAACACATCGTGAAATTAAATTATTTTTTTTTCAAATTTTTTCAAGAAATATTTTATTTTATTTTTGAGGATTTTGAAATGTTAGATCAGAAGAAGCACATTTAAAACCACTAAAACTGATTTTTTGCCCTAAACCAATCCATTCGCCTGTATTATCACGGGGGCGAAATGTTCCGGAGCCATACAAAACATCAAAGTCCATCCAGGTGAAACAGGTTCTTGAAGTTTGAAAAAATCTGAAATTTCAGAATTTTTTGGGCAAAAATATTTTCCATGATTTCGCAGTTTTAATAAAAGATGAAATTATTATTTTTAATTTTTTTTTTCTACCATTTTTTTTATTTCTGTTCAGAATCAACCTTGAAATTGCTCCCCCAAAAAAAGCAATCCCCCCAAAACAGACAGGTTGTCAGGTTTTTTTGTTTTCCCAAGGTGATTTGTAATTCAATACCAATCAAGTCTCTGTCACAAAGCTGTAGCGGTGGTCTTGCCGATTTTCTGAACCTAAAACAAGCCCCAAACATTTCATTTTCCGAAAAAATAGCGAAAGGTCAATTGTTCCAAGTCCGAAACTTCATTTCCCACCTTTCATCACTTTTGGTCAAAACTAAAAATGTCTATCCTCTTCTTTTTTGTGCAGTCATAATTTAATTTGAAATGCGCGGGAATTTCCTGCGCGACATACTGCACCAAAGTCACATTTTCATGCCCATACTCCCCGGGGGTGGTTAATTTAGACGAGCATTTCCAGAAAATGTGAGGAGGGGGGGGGGGGCAGAGCGGAAACAAAACATTTCTTTGTTTTTTTTGTTCTCTTCACCCTTATGTTTTTCCATCTATGCTGCTCATCTGCCCGACACTGAGAGCAGTTTCCATTTCCGCATTTTCAAGTGTTCTCCTTTTCAGTTTGGATTCTCTAGCCAACACCTAAATCTTTATTCATGACCGGGTTCCATGCGGGAATAGAATATTTGAGCGAGAATTTCTGTTTCCTCTTATCTCGTGACTTCAGGAATCTCAAAATTTTCCATAGTGATAATTTCTAAAACTTTCTTTTTTCTTAAATTAATTTTGTTCAGAATTCGTGGTTGGAACATTTGTCTAACAAGAAAAATGAATTTTGCTACGGAATTTTGACAAGCTTGAGTGATTAGAAATATGTGTGGAAAATTAGATTAATCAAGATTACTGTAGAAATCAGAAGACATAAAAAATCTGGAGCTAATTCGGATAGAAAGTTCTAACGAAATCAGTTCAAATGAATCGAAATGCATTTTTCCTGCATTGAGTCAAAACTAAATCTAGTACTCTTTTGTTATAGCATACATGAAAAATGGATACGCATCTCGAAATAATGCAACATCCGCAGACAGCGTACCCCCACATACACGCCCATTAACTAATCTCATTTCTTAACGTCTTCTTTCTATTCGTTACCCCCCTATTGACCGCATTTGTCCATTTTTGTACCCATCCCATTTTTCCTCTTTTTTCTAAAATTATTTTAATTTCAATATAGTTACCTGAACAATTTTAGAGAGTTGAAAATTGTTGAGTGCTGTGAATTGGATATCAGAAAATGCCGCGATCATCGGTTGATGAGAACATGCTCCACGTGGATTGGAATGAAGAGGTTCATGAAATGGGCGGAGTCTGAAAATAAAAAGAGAAGAAGTGTGAAAGTGACAATTGAGAAAGGATTTGAAACTCAATCAACTAACATAAGTAGATTCGTCTTTTCCGGGGAAAAAGTGCATATTGTCGGTTTTTAGTTTCTTTTAGATAGTTTTTCTGGATTTTTGTGCCATATTTGAAAAATCACTTCCCTTAAATTTTTGAAAATGTTCAAAAATTCCAGCAATTATTCCAAATTTTTTGTTTTGCAAAATTCTGTTCATTTTTTGACCCCGCAAATTGGATAATTCTGAAAAAAGCCTATTTGTCATCTGATCTCCGTTCTGTACACTATTTTTTTTCTCTTTTTTTCTTGAAAAATGGAACCTAACTGTTTGCATTTACTGAGAATTCAGATGATAAATGTGCGAAGACGATGTGCAACGTTGAGAAACTGAGTTCCTCTTCTAGAATTTCCAATTTCGGCTCTCCAAAAAAATGGATATAGGTTTTCATAGGAACTCAAGGAGAAACATAGTTTCCTGTTTTATAAAATCCATTCTGTTCCAATCGAAACTTTTTTTTAAACTTTTGAATTTTCGAATTTCCCTGAATTATTCTGAAAAATTAGTTTGTGTTTCTTTTATTCTAAGTTTGTTTTTTATTGGATCTGAATAAACTACAAATTCTTTTTGAGCTAAAAATTTGCAGTTCGAAATTTTTGTGGTTTTCAAATTTCTGGAAAAATTTGCTTATTACAGTTTCTGAATTTTGGCAGGCCTGGAAATTCGTTTTTTTCTTTTATTAAATTGACTTCGCATAGAATCTCAAACCTATCATTCAGGAACTTAATACTTTTTGAATTCCGACTTCTTATTTTCAAGTACAGTATGATTTCCCACTTTTCTGATTCCATTTTAACAAAAAAGTTCAAAAACTTGCACTGATCTTGTGGCCCCGTCGGACGGGGGTCCCGTCCTCAGGGGAAGTAAAGTTCCGCGAGCCCCAGACAACGTCATGTCGACGTTATGCTTCCTTTTCCTTCGACTGAGTAGTATCATCCAGTAATACACAAAAGAGACAGAGTTTCTATTGGAATCAATTGTCGCTTCGCTGCACTTATTCTTTTTTCCCATTCGCCCTTGTCGCCGCCATTCGGTGCCCCCGTACACCCCCGGATTCAGCAAGTCCTTCCTGGAGTCATCAGAGAGAAAAGTTCATTTTGCTCATTGTCATTTCATTATATTTTTCTTTTTTTCTCCGCTTTTTATTCTACACACGCTGCCTGTTTTTGTCACATTTGAACCAACCGATCGTTTGAAAAAAAAATGAGAAAAAAGCAAAGAAGCGGAGTCATGAAAAAAGAGAGAAATGGAAAAAAAGATTGAATTGAAATGGAAATAATTTGAGATCGAATAACAAAAAGTTTTTTTTGTTAGTTTGCAATTTTTTGAGAACAAGGTCCCAGATTTCAAAGAAATCTAGACTACAAAAGACTTTTGGTCTCCAGATTTTGATTTATATGTCTCAAATCTGAAGAGTCTAGAAAACTGGGTTAACAAGTTCCACTTTCTTGAAGTTTCCATGATTTTTTGTCTCTCCAGGCAGCTCGCATTCGAGCTATGGAAAATCGCACTGGATCGGTTGGAGACTGTACCAAACTTGCAAGTTATCGTTCGAATAAACCTGGGTTTTTCCGGAGAAGGTAGTTTTGAGAAAATGCGTTTGAAAATGTCTGAAATTCTAATTTTGCAGATCTACAAGACGTCGCATTTCTAACGCACAACGTCTAGCAGACCTTGGAGATTTTATCAATACCAGGTTAGTTTTTTTTTGTTTTGCGAATTTTTGGAAGGTACGGTCTCTTAAAAGTGTGTCACTCTTGTCTGAAATCTATGTGCAAATAAGTCAAGAACAATTTAAAGTTGTGGAAAAATGAATGAGGATGTATAATGAAAATAAGGAAAAAGCTTTCAAAGGCGCATGTATATTCAGAAATATGTAGTGAAAGGGCCCCACACGTTCAAGGTTGAGCTAATTTTTCTCGGTTCCTATGCAAGATACGAAAATGTGTCAATTGATAAAATCTTGGTGATATTATGATAAACAATTTATCAGTTGACAACTTTTCCATATCTTTGACAGGGAACAAGATAAAATGACTCGAATTTGGAATACCCGAGCCGAGCCGGGCTGGACTTTTTCCCAAATTTTGAGGCCCGACAGGGCCCGTCATTTCACAAGTTTTGAAAAATCTAAAAAATACATAATATGTCTGAAAATTCTTGAAGTTTAGTCTTCAGAAAAAATATATTCTCAAGAACAAAAACTTGCAAGAAAAACTATTCATCACCCTTACTTTTCAATTATATATTTTTTCAAATTGTATGCTATTGCAAATTAGGTGCGACCCTCCGGCTTTTTGTTTTTTTTAGAATTGGTAAATATGCAATTCTCCCAAAACCATTCATCAATATTTCCCAATGTTTATATTCCGAATCCATCGTTCAAACTGAAATCTCATTCTTTTTTCGAGATCTTCTCCCGTAAATTGTAGCTTTCCGAAATCACGGAAATTGTGAATTTGTGTCGGACCTATAATTCCTTATCCATCTCCGTCTCCATTTCCTCCATTCTCAAGACTGCCGATGGGAAAGCACCAGTACGAGAAGCGAAAGCGAGTCAGTGTGTGTGTGAATAGCAATTATTGGAGCGCATAGGAAGAGAAAAAAAAAGGAGAGCAGGAAAATTCAAAAGCGCTAGAAATATAAAAATCACACCACTCCAATCTGTGTGAAAATTTTCGAAAATTCGCTAAGAAATGTATAAATTCATGCGCTACGAGCATGAGAGGCTGGTTACGAAACTTGTCACCAAACAGTCCAAAGAGTGAGTTCATTTTCTTCTTTTTTGATTTTCAAAAATTTGCTTATGTTAGCAGAAATCACATAAAATTCTATAATTATTAGTTTTTGTCAGTTTTTCTTACTGGAAATCATGTTTTCATGTTGTTGTTTCTAAAACATCTCATCATATTGTTTCCTGGTTGTTCCAACTGAAATTTGAATTTTTTTTTCTCTTCAAAGTTTTTTGTAAATTTTATCTGTTTGCCCTAAACTATTCTCAAAAAACGCAAATTCAAAACTAAATCTCTCCATTCCAAATCTATCTCTCCACATATTCTCTCTTCAGTCTTTCCAAAGTAAAACGGACCAAAAAACGACAGATGAAAGTGTCACAAGACCCAAAAAAGTGCCCTGTTATAAAACGAGATTGGCTTTTGTAATGAGTAGTCCCTTCCCGAATTTCATATTTTAGTGGATTCACATAAAATGGGGCGAGGCGACCAGATTTTTGAATAAATGAATCTCGTCGCCGCACACGCGCGAGCGTTGCTCATCTCCTAGGCTCATCTCCAAGGAGCATCGCACTCATATAAAAGTTGAAATTTCACTTTTATTCTCGAATTTCGCCAGAACTTCAGGTCTAAATTTGAAGTTTATTTAGAAAATTTTATTCTTTCTGGTTATTCAAAAAATGTGGGCAAAAATGAGGATAGAAGATGTCACCCAGTACAGGTATGATGATAAGAGCTAACCATGTTTCTTTTGTGTTCAAAAACTCATATACTGAAAATATTCCTTCTCACTGTTAAAACAATAAAGATAATGAAACAATTTTTAAATTTTAAAGATTTGGTGTTATACAAAAATCAAAATTCTGAGTGTCGGAAATTTAGTATTTTCAAGTTTTCAAAAATAGAGCTTTTGATATTGTTAAATATTAAAATATTGAAGTATCCCGAATTAGCGGGATCTCGTCATAAAGGTCCATCCTTGTTTCAGACTGCCGCGTGAAATTGTTCGTGACTAGATGTCGGGTGTTAAAAAGCCTGAATCACCATGAACAGTTACTTAAGAATAAGTAATTGTAGAATTACATTCAAAAATCCTCCCAAGTTTCGAAAAAAAAGCGCCTTTCGATACTTTTGCCCAGTCATGTAATAAATGGTCCTGAACAGGATTTTTCTCTGAATCGATCCATTCGAATAATATTTCATTCCTGTCAAACACCATAAAGGTTTTCTTCTTACCATAACCTAAATACTCGTCACAAAAATTTTTTATCGGCCTCCAATCTGGAGAGCAGATGATCCGAAATATGGGTGCTGTATCATGGCCGACCTACTCTCCCGATCAAAATTTAATAGAGAACGTGTGGAATGTCCTTTTTTAACGGTCATGGTGAAAAGTACAACACCATCGGGATGGTCAGGAATTGAACCATTGCCTAATCGAGAGATTTGGAGCAAAAACTCTAGTTCCGGACCACCCAATGCGTCCAAAATCTTATATATTTATAGTTCAACTGCATTTGTGATTACTAACATTGGGCTTATGGATATGAAACGGTTGCGAAATGCGCATCTTTTGAAACAGGTCAAGATTTCGAAATTTTGTTTATAGCCCGGGAAAAAAAGAACTTCAAAATCGTTTTTTAAAAATAAATTCTATGTTGGAATTTCGCATTCGAAACGCTTTTCAAATTTTTTTTAATGACCTGAATTTTGAAATTAAATTAAGTTCCGTCATTTTTACTTGATGTGAGTTAAAAATGAGTGTTTGAGGTTCAATCACTTTTGAGAATCAATTTTTAAATATTTGAAAATCCTAACCAGTTTCGAAATTCTAACAATGTCAAAATGGAAATTACCTATCTTCACTGTAATAGGAAAACGAGATGTTTCACGTAAACCTAATCTTCGTTAGAATTATATTGGTACATAAACAAGGCGAACAACAAAAAGAAAGAAAAGAAAAAACTAATATCTTGTGCTGTATTCCTATTTCCTTTACTACCAAACAGCCATAGCTCAGTAGCCACCGCCATAATTGAAAACTAAAAGAGCACTCAGCGCGTTGGGTTTTTTTGGCGGCTCACTGGCTCTGGGCGAATGTTACAAATATGTGTGTTACCAAAAAAAGACACGCGGTTTCTCGTTTTTTCTTGTCGCTACTTTTTCTTTTTCCAAGATGGATATTTTTTGTCCCTCATATTTTTTTTCTCTTTTCTCTAGCTATATCATTGTATTCCAAAGTTCTTGTAAACCAATAAAAAAATAATAGCAACAGTCCAGAAAGATTAGAAAATCTATTCTGAATATAGTTCAATAAGAATAGATTATCCTGATCCTTGAAAAAAATCATGTTATCCATCCCAGAGCCACTTTTAGATATCATAATTCCTCTCAGCTTTTTCCGATAATTTTCTTATTCAGATCACGCATGAACCCGGAATTTTCCGGATTCGCTGTAAATTTCTTATTAGAGTGTAGGAGTATAGTAGGATACATTCATTTCATCTGCAGCCAACTCAAGAGGGAGCTCTGGCGTTTAATAAGCTCATTTTCAATTCACAAGACGTTACATGAGACGGATCTAGCAAGTTGGTCAACTTCACATAAACTCTCCTTTTATTACTTTAGTTTCATTTTTCCTCTTTCCTTGGACAGAAAAAGTTTCTACATCGCTTTGTTTGAGCTGAACATCCTGTCATCTGAACTAGCTCTGTTTGTCATTCATTGTCACGCACACAGACATCCTAATGAATGACAATTACTGTTTCTTCTCTTTTCCGGAAACCCAGACACGTCATTCTGAGGCGCATATTTTAGCTCACCCGATTTTTTCAAAGCTAACTCTTGAGCTAACGTAACTCTATTTTTTTCTAATAATGTCTGCAAACCTCCAATTTTTATATAGTATCGCGTGTTCGAATTGATTGGTTTTTTTTCTCAATATGTGCGAAACAAAAAACGGAGCAGAATAATGGGATATCAATAAGTTACGACTAGGGTAGAAATCTCTAGTTATACTCAACTAGTCACCTGACACAATGCCTGTTAGGTCAAAAGTGGTTTGTATAGTAAAAGCTAAAAAAAGAAACCGGTATCGTTTCCCACTAGTATTCCATTATACCGTCTATAAGCATGCGATAGTGTGAGTTGAAATTTGGGAAAAAACTTAAAATTTTAAAAATAACTGAAACGTTTCGACTCGAAAATTGACATTAGGGGAACATAATATATACATTTACCGTATTCTTGAGCTCATTTATCTAGCTTTTTGTGAAAGATATCAAAAATTTGTCAACTGATAAAATATTGGTGGTATTGTGATAAATGATTTATCAGTTAACAATTTTTCGATATCGTTTGAAGGAACCGAGATATTTAAGCTCAAATTGCACATACAGGGTGGGCTTCTATCAGAGCAAGTACGAAATTTCAGAATTGTTCTAGGTTTTTGATATTTTGAAAGTGTTTAATCTGCATTTTCCGATTTTTAAATTATTCAGATTTTCCACTTCAAGCAAGTTCTCCAGGTTGATGAGATTTTGCAAAATGTAAATCTGAAAAATTGGCATAATTTGAAAAAGTTAAATGAATTGAAAACTTACAGAAATGTAACAATTTTTAAAACAATTTCCTAGATATTGTTTATTGACTTCAAGAAAATAATTTTCAGCTGTTTCTAATCTTTCTAATTTTTCTATAGAATTTTAAAATTGTATTCTTCAAAATTTTCGACGCGTTTGCGCTTTTTGAATATACAGTGTCAATGTTACAGGATCCAGATTGATTCGGGTTCCGGCACATAATTCAGAGCGTACAATCATTCGGGAGTATAAGGGGTACAAAGTGATTTAGGGGTACAAACCCCGCGATTCGTGGATACGAAGTTTAGATTTTTCAGGTGTTTCGTACTCCCGAATAGAAGATTTTGTACCCCAATGACCCCTAAATTGTGGTACCCTCCGAATTATTTGCCTCTGGTTCCTACTTTTGTTTTAATTAAAAAAGTTATTCACAGAGGATATTCAAAAATTCTGTCCTCTTGTATTCTAGAAAATGACCATCTATTGTCACATGAGCCAACGTGTCCATGTCATCCATAAAATATTAATTGATGAGCAATGTTTTTAGAGCGGTCACAAACCACCATTTTAAAAGCAAAACTTGAGAGAGAGAGAAAGAGAGAAAAGAAGAAAATCGAAACGAAGAATGAATAGTGCATTTGTCTGAGGCATCATTAATCCACAAGTCCCCTCCGTGTTGCATGTGAATTCATCCGTACCTCTTCCTCCCAAAAAACATTCATGTTTTGCATTCTGAATCCATCAGAATGCACATGTCCCCGAAATCTTGTAAGCGTGGTCCATAGAGGAGGTGGAAAAAGGGGAGAGTGAGGGGGGGGGGGGTTTAGAAAAAAAGACGGCGGCGTTAAGAGCGGAAAAAAAGAAACATTAGTATCTCCTTTACTTGTCAATGCATTAATTCTGTTTTGTGTATGCTGTTTTTGCCGTTTCACATTCGCGTTATTTTTCTAGAAATTCCTAAGAATTGGAATTGGGAAAAGAATAGGATTAGTTTTTGAATTAGACTGGTGATGACAACATACGCAACATGAGAAAAAACAGAGCTTAGAGTATCAGCGTTGTCGATCAAAGCGTATTATGCGGCAAGTTAAGAGAGAAGCCAAAACAATACTTTATTCCTTCTGCTCGTTTCCTCCTCTTTTCCTCTTTTTCTCGCAGATTCGCCGTTCCAATCTTTTCTATTCTTCTCCTTTCTCTTCGAGATTTCATTTCTACATGAGGCATTTTTTCTGCGTAATCCCATATTTCATTCTTTTCTCTTTTTTCTCCTTTTCAAAAGAGCGACGCGTGACACGTTTTGTTTTATAGTTTCTTGGTTTTTTAGACACCTCTCTTTCTTTTTAAACCTTTTCTAAAACGTCTCTATGCATATTTCATGCGAAACGCCGTGAGAAATGCCACCCGTTGCTTGGTGATGCGCCAGGAAAACTTTTCGACATGCATTTTTTTTTGCTCTTCCCGCCTTTCACAACATTTTTTGAAACAAAAGGCAATGAGGAGCATTCGTATCGTCACGACGATCATTTTTTCGCTTTCGCCTTCTTTTTTTCTTTCTCAGCTGCTCTTTTTCCTTTTTTCTTACTAGCCTTCTCCTTGAAATAATGAGTTTCACCGCCTGACAGTTGTGAGTCTTTGTCGAGAGTTCTCTTTTTTTGAAAATTCCCACCCCAATTTTTTTCGAACTTTCAGAACTCCAGTTTTGTGAGAACCTTTCCGGCGGATATGATATACTTATTTTCATTCTCTTTTGATATATTTTTTGAACACTTTTGGAGCAAAAGAGCCAAAATGTCGTTTCATTGTTTCCCAGAGCGTTTCAAATTACAAAGAGGAAACTACAAAATACGCTCTGGACCAGGATTGTGATGAAATACTTTCAAAATTATGAAATTCTCTAGCATTCTGTTGTCTAGATTCTGGTGGAAAATTCAGGGTAGGTTACGAATAGAATGTCTAGACATTTTTGGAAATTTCAGAGGCTGCTTGCGAGTTTCAGCCAAGATATACGAGTTTAAGTACCAAAAATAACTTCATGACTTAAAACTTGTTCTGTTATACTTAAAATTCAATAAATTTAATAATTCGGACATTTTCTCGATTTTTGTAAATTATTTTTGAATTTCTCCACATTGTTGGATGAGAGATTTATTCGAAAATTTTTTAAAAAATGTTCCACCTATTTTTTAAATTTTTTGTCAAAATCTGGGTCACGAGGCTCCCTTGTTAGAACACAACTTCGAACAATTTTTCCTTGAACTTCGCTGTCAAAAATCCTAAAAAAAACGAAAATATGTATTAACGAACGTATAAAAACTAGCAAATAACAAATTAGACGTTCTCTTCTCATAAAAAATTATATGATTTTCTAATTCCTCTCCATTCTCACTTTCTTTTTTGAGGCTCTCTCCAAAACTCTTTTGAAATCAAAATTAGAACTATTCTTATTTCAAAAACGACCAAAAATCTATAGAAGTTTTTCAAGCCATATTTTCTCTACTTTCTCTATTTCCCCATCAAAAAGTTGTCAAATCCCCATGGAAAAAAAGAAAAAAAGGAACCAACTTTTTCCCTTTTTCCTTCTATTTTTCTTGTTTCTTTTTTTTCGTCTCGTATACCATTTCCAGTTTGTGACCCCATGAGTATGAGGCCCTTCTTGTTTTTGTCTCAAGATTCCGTTCCGGATGCTCTCATCTTCTTCTCCTGGGCAATAAGACGCATACTGCTCTCCCATTCAGAAAAATTTTCCAAATCGAGTTATTGCAAGCAATAGGCCAAGACAAAACAGGCAAATCAAATTTTCCTAAATTCTTTTTTCTGCTCAGAATTCACCAAACGTTTCTAGCTTCACGTTAGACATTTCTGGGTTTTTAAAAAAATATTTTAGAATCCTATTATTTATTTTCAATATGAAAAAAAATAAATAGTATTGTTTATTCTATTTTATAACTTTTATCATGTTCCTCTTTCTCATTGAATCCGTAAGTTTTGCTCAATTTCCATTTTTCTTGCCTCTATTCCTTTTTTTCTCCTCCACTAAAAGCTTTAAAAAATACAGGGCAAGCCAAGAATGTCTGTTGAAACGGTGGTCGGTCACAAGTTCGCCGTTGGGCAGAAATTCATGACGGGCCACGTGGACAAAATGCGAAACGCGCAAGCTTGGGCTGAAAAGCAGTTTAATAAGGCTCATCAGTTCATTCGAGAGCTGTCGGTCAGCCAGGCTGATCCGAAAGACATTTTTGCACAGTAAGTTTGTGGATTTAAACTGAAACCCCAATGGAATTCATTTTACAACAATTATGAAACAGTTCAAACATTTTTCCAACTTAGTATAACACTTCTGGTAATTATGAAAGGTGCTGTCGGTATTAGGAAAGTCAAACCTGCAAAGTAGACAATAAATAGTGTTTTTCGTTTTTGATTACCCTTCAAACATTTTTGTTTCCTCATCTCAAACCGTTTTTATGCGTCCTCACAGCGATTATGTTTTCCTTTACGCTGCGTCTTCTCCGTTCGCCTTGGGTATCGTCGGGAGGACCACGTTATACCATAGCGGGCTGCGGAACCCGTGAGATGTCGGCCGCTCGCTGGGAGGACCCTATATATCCGTCGTCGTTTTTCACCGTGTTTGGGGGCCTGGCTGGCTGTCGCGGATAGCCAGGGTAGGCGGCGTATAGATAGATTTTTTTGAAACTTGGTTACTTTTTGTAATCGACTATTTAGAATTCAACGAAAATATTCTTGTTTTATCTGAATAGTAGTAATTATAAAAAAATCATATGATCTCCGTAAAAATGATTATGTTAATATGGTTAACGGTATCTATGGAACTAAATAGAATACTCAGACAGTTGTTGTGATGTTTTTTTTTTGAGTAAAAGAAGTTTTTTTTAGTGTTAAATGTTTCACTATCCGTTTATAATTTTTAATTGTGTTTGAAAAAAGCCAAGAAAAAAAAAACTAATAGCGTGAAAGCTCTTTTTTGACAGGTTATTGCAGAACATGCATTTTCATGGTTTCTATTCGGTTCCATGATTTCTAGATGTAACTTGCGTTCTGATTTTTTGAAACTAAACTGGTTTCTGAAAATGAGCTTCAAAATTTCTTTCTCGGACCAAAAAAATATGATTATAACGCTTCACTAGAGTGCCACCCAAACATTTTAACTTTGAGCTCAAATATCTTATCTCTTGTAAAACCAATCAAGAAGTGGCTGATTAACAAAATGTTTATCATATTCTGATTAATGTTTTTCAGTTAACCACACTTTGGTAGTAATTCATGGAAATGAGATATATCGTCTCAAATTGGGAGGTTCGAGTGACACTCCATTAAAGTGTTAAAGATAAATTGCCGTTTTTGGCGCGAAAACTCCCCTCTTCCACCAAAAATCATATTTGGACCATTAATACATAGTAGCTTTTGTACTCTACTAGTTACTACTGTGCTTCTCTACACATTTATTGCTCATCTCCTGAGTATGAGTACCTATAACTGTTTCCGGAACCATCTTATATCATCCCTCAAAGTTATCGGTGCAGGATTTGTCAGGGTTCCCTGCCAAAATTACTTTTTATCCCCTTTAGTTTTTTTTCTCGTTTTTGTGTCCAATATTTCCATCACCCACGCGTTTCCATAAGACATTTCCTTCTGTAGAAATTGTCCTTTCTGCTAAACCCCTCAATTTTATTTCAAATAAAATATCATGAAGGGATAGAAAAGATAAATGAAGATCCCTTTACGTCTAGTATTACCCGAAGAGCCCCCTGAGGCGTTGTCCTAATATGACGCCATATATAACGACAGGAAGGAAACAATGCCCTCGAGGAGTCAAGAACAGGTCTAGAAAATTGCACGTAGAGCAAATAAACATGGCGGATTTCCTGAATTAGAAAGTGTTCAATTGCTAAGAGTGTCCCATTTGTAATTGGCAAGGGTTCGAGAACAGAAAAAATTCTAAAAACTTTAGTTTTTCTCAACAAAAACCCAGATTTTCAGCTGAAAAACAAAAATTGTTTTCATAAACAGGTGAAATTTGGATGACAAGAGTTTTACAAATTTTTAGAAAACCCCCCAAACTGGCTCCCGAGAGCCGAAAAAAATATTATAAATATTTTTTGACGTAGGAAGAATAGCTGAAAAACTGAAAAACAATCGGCAGGGGCGTGATCAGATATCAGACGAACCCCGGGCCAGTTCGCAGATATATAATTCACTCAATGAGCAATTTAGAAGGTGTGAGTGACGCTCTCTCACTTGCTGCACATGTAAATTACATTTTCGAAAAAGAAGATGTGAAAAACCCCGCTCGAAGTTTCGTTTGCACTCATAAATTATTTAATCGAGAAAAAAACCTTCATATACTTCACAACTCACTACTCATGCCCTCCGGATGTCACCGGGAAAGAAGTTTAATATCCGGAGTGCTATAGTTTATACGTGCGTATGAGTTTCCCGTTTGAAATTCCATTATTCTAAGCCTTCCGTGTAGGCGGTCGAGATTTCCACATTGACACTTTTGAATGAAATTTGACTAGTGTGTTTGGGAACGAACCAGATGTGACCATGATGGCGACGCACAACTATCGGGTTTCGAGGAACAAAAATAGAAGAAGAGAGAAGATATTGAAATTGACTCTGTGTGGTCCTGAATTTTGGAACGAAAAAAAGTGACTTTTTTGTTCATTTTTCTGTTGGATCGGTCAGAAGTGGGAGATGTTATTTTCAGAAAAAAGGCGCTGAAAACTGAGTTAGACACTCGCGACAAGAATGCCACTGACAATTCTCTAGAAGAAAAAAATAACACGAATATTTATGAATCTTGTAAGACAAGAAGTTTTTTTTTCCTTCATTTCTTGGACCACACTTTTACAGAAATCTCCTCAATTTCAGTAATTCCGTCTAGAATCCAAAACTGGAAAAACAAGGAATTCGTCCTTGTTAATTACACGCGTGACCGCCCATCGTGAAGAGATGAGACACAGCTAATTAGGCCCCCAATGTTTTGAAACCGAATAAGACGGCGGCGGTGTCTCATCTGGAAGAATTATGAGAAGCGCGCGCGCCTTGCTCGAATGACGCATTCGGAACTTCTGAGCCCTCTCTCCCGAGTAATTTTGTCTTCCGATAATTTTCTGGATATATGGTATCATAGAAGGAGAAAAAAAACTCCGAAGCAGCTGAAAATTGCTTATTTGGAGCGCCTTCTGAAAGTTGTTTGGGCTTGAGTCGCGGTCTCCTCTCCGGTGGGCGGGCCGAAGGGCAAACACGCCTGCGGCACACTCGACTCCACACTGAATATTGGCAGTTGTCCGCGAGACAGGGCTCTCTTCGCGGATGCGTTTCCATTTCTAGGTGTCTTCATGATGAAGCCACGTCGGACCCGAAGTGCAAAGCTTCGTCGACGTCAACAGTAAGTTGGTTACTAGATTGCTTTTAATTTTTAGCATCTAAATTATTTGGTTTGATCTTCTATTTTTTTCGGATCTTAATTCGTTAAATTTTTTGTATTTGACTTTTTTATGGGATCATATCGATACTAAAGATTCGAAATGTGAAATTCATCGGTATTTGGTGAAAATCAAATTTTTTGTATGAACAAAAATTTTTAAAGTTGTTTAGTTTTTTTCAATAAATATTTTAGAGCTTTGGAAAGCTATAAAGCTCAAAACAAGCAAGTATCGATTTTGGCACAGAAAGGTCTACCGAAATCTAAGTTATTCATGAAATCCAAACGATAAGCCAAAACAAAACATTACCCGTCAATGAGATATACGAAAACAAAATTTTCAGTTGATTTCCAGCATTTTAGATCACTTTCAGAAGTCTGGAGCTCAGCTGTCAAGTTTCCGATGACTTTGAAACTTTTGCACGGTGTAAAACAGATCTAGATTAAAAACTTTGCATTCTAAGAATTTTTTGAAAATTCCTAGTTTTCCAGCAACACTCCTTTTTGCCTGTTTTTGCACTGAGAATGAAAATTTGAAAGTCGAGCTCTAGACTCCTGAATATAGTGAAAAATTACTAAATGTCGATTTGAATAATTTTTTGTTTACCGATTGAATAATACTGTAGCTTGAATGTTTATCAACACTATTTTATATCGTTTCTTCCATTCTCATCAATTTCAGCTCCACACTGAACACTACTATTTTCAGTCTAAATGTAAAAGCGCATACATATTCTAGCGAACCAGAATTCGAAGTGAACCCCAACGAAAAACAACGAAGACCCGTGTCCATTGAAATCGAATGGATTTCCTCTCCGGTCTTACCTTACCTTTTCCGTTCTTTTCCTTTCGTTTTGCTCGTTTTTCTCGTTTTTCAAACGGCCAATACATATGTTTCGTTTGAACCAACCTCTCGTTTCCCTCTAAACAACACCACGTTCGGTTTCAATGTATTTTTAAGTGGGGCTTGTTCTCTGGATGTAGGTTTCGTCAATAGCTCCTGGCCTTTGAAAGACTATTGGAGCTCATCTCTTGATCTAGGAGGGGTCACTCATTAAAGAAGAAAATGGAGAGGGTGGGAAGTGCAAATAAAATAAGAAAATATATATTTAGAAGAGTATAAACTATGACGACAAAAAACGTATAGTTGCAAGTAGAGAGCACAAGAAAAATGAAATTAAAAATTTTTAATTCGCGTTTTCCAGAGTCCAATCGTCGGATGGCAACTTTTTCGAGAAGGTTACAGCTCCAGGTGATGGAGACGTAGACAGAGATGACGAGTTGTACACTATCAAGAATTTGAGCATTAATGGAGACAAGAGGCAGATAGAGGTAACTAGAACTTAGAATATTTCTCGGGTCTTAAGAACCCAAATCTTCTGAACTTCTTTACTATCCATTTTTTATAGTTTCAGGTATATTTGCTAACAGCCTGCTATAGAGAGCTCCGGCTCTAGGAAGTTTCTAACTATTTTTGAGTTTCAGTATATATTCATATTCAGTATTCACACACAAAATGTAAAACACCCTACACACTCTTCCCAATGAGAAACTCATCTTTTTTGGTTTTCCCCCTTTCCCCGTACTCTAACTTGTTACTTTGTTATTTTTGCACACACACAAAAAATCTTCTTTTGGTTTTTTTTCCCGTATTTAGTCAAGTGCTTCTTCTTTTTCAGGCTCTCTATGTGGAGGCGTTGTACACGATTACCCACAAACTAGGACAGGGAGATGTGGAAGAAAGTCAGGAGAGCTTGTACAAATACGTGCGTAATGCGTTCCAAGGTGATGCCGCGCTTCACACAGCGCTCATGGAAAAAGCCAAACAAAACAAGGTACAGTATATCTAGTAGCAAAAAAGTCACCTGTCGCAATTTCAGCCACCAAGTGTTTTGCTCAATATCCTTCTTCTCGAGGCCAAGGACTTGATTGCAAAAGACGTAAATGGTTAGTACCAAACTTTCAGAAGGCTGAAGCATAAAATCGGCAATTTCAGGCTTCAGCGATCCGTTTGCCATGATGGGAGTAGTTCCTGGAACACGCAAGGAGAACCAACCAATGACCGAAACAGCTCACCCGGAGAAGGATGAGCAGGAAGCAAAGTCGCCAAGAATGGTAGACATCTAATAATTATGAATAATCAAAAATGTAAGATTTTCAGCTCCATGGAAAGAAAGATGGTCTCATGCATCGATTCGGAGGATCGTTCCGTCGTAAAGTCAACAAGAAGGGAAAGCCCCAAGACACATGCACCATCCCAGCCAAACTCATCAAAGCTAGCTCGGTCCAGAAGAAAACGTTGAACCCAAAATGGAGTGAAAGATTCCAATTCGCTGTCGAGGATGTGCATCGTGATCAGTTCCATATTGATATCTGGTAAGAGATAAAACTTAAAAATTCTAGTTTGTCATTTTGAGCTCAGTTATTTTAATCTAGATTAGTGATATCAAAAAGCCTGTCAACTGATAACTTATTAATCATAATATCACCTATATTTTATTGGTTGACTAATTTTTGATGTCTCTCATGGGAATCGAGATAATTGAGATCAAAGTGCACGTATAGGAACAGCTCGTTTTAGAGCGGTTACATAATTTTGTCTGATGTTCAATTGAACCTTTTTGAGCATAAATCTGATGTCAGGTTTTATGAACAATGTCTAATTTTGGTAATGGCGAGAAATCGTCTCAACAAAGTGTCTGAAAATGTCATAGAGTTAAAATATAGGTCTCGAAAATTCAGAAAAGAGAATCAAAATTCCGATGGGGAGTTTTGCGGGAAAATGAGCACAAATCATTTTCGAATGGACATTTAAACTAACTCTCTTGAAAATTCCAATTTTCTTTTTTCAAAGTAAAGTTACAGATATTTCCAAATTCCTATTTCAGGGATCATGATGATGAAGAGCAATCCGTTCTGGACGCAGTTTCCTCCCTCAATCAGATCACTGGAGGATTGAAAGGAATCGGAAGATACTTCAAAGAAGTCACCCAAAGTGCTCGTGCCAACTCTGACGATTGCACCGACGACTTCCTCGGATGCATCAACTTGAAACTTGAAACGATTCCACCGGAAGGTTTGGAACAATGGTTCACTCTTCAACCAAGATCCGAAAAGAGCAAGGTCAGTGGGCAAGTAAAGTTGAAGATCTGGCTGTCGACCAAAGAGGAAGGACGTGCTGGAGACGATGATGAGACTTTGGATGTGAAGGAACACATCGAGCTTCTCCGTCAGTTTGCCCTATACGAAATCCGTCAGACTGGCCAACCAGTTCGCTTCTGGGATGGTGTCTATCCTGAAAGAGCTATGCTCATCCTCCGTCAACATGCCATCCAAGGAGATCTCACCGATGTTCATCTAGCCATGTGCCGTTGGCTTGCGTTCCACTCCATGATCCACATCGACATTTCATTCTCCCTTCTCTATAAGACCCTCCAGAAGATCATTGACAAATGGCAACCACTTACTTTGGACAAGGAGGAAGAAGACATGCTCACCGACTCGTTCTCTTCCTTCGATTCCTATTGCAAACGTATGATGATTGAACATCGCGAGAAGTTCACTCCAAGCAAGAGAAATAGCGGCGAGGAATTCTCGAGCCTAATCAAGTGTATGCGTGCTCTCCGTGAATCACCATTCTACCAGAAGTATCTCCCATACAAGCGTCCATTCCATGCACACCTAGAGTCTCTTGTTGTCAAGAGTGCAGAAGACTACATTGACCGTACTATTGAATACGTTCAGGATCCAGATCCATGCAAAGAACTTCTCAAATTGCTTAATATAGTAAACGTTCAATGCTCTCGTTTCCTGCACTACGCTGCAGTCATCCGTGAAGTCGCAAGAATCGACTATTCTCAGTTGACTTTAAACACTTTTGATCGGCTTCTCACTGAATATTTGACTTCTGAACTGATGAGCGAGAAGAAAATGGATCTCAAGTCTCAAATGAGAATCTCGGCTGCACAGGATCCACCAAACGATGATGACTTGATTGATCTGATGCGCATTCATATGGCTTTCATTGAGCTTCGTAATTATAGACTTGCCAATCGAGTGTAAGTTATTTTACTACAAAGTATGACATTAACAAATTATTGATTTTTCCAGACGCGTCCGTGATGAATCCGAATGGTATGCAATCTTCAACAAAGGTATCAAAAAGTTTCTAGAGGTTGCGAAAGATAAAGCACTTGCTCGTGTGAATCTCAGTTGCCAGCTCGATATGCCGATTTCCACATCATCAAACGACATGCGTCACTCAAGCAGCCATATTGATATCTGTCATATTATTGAGCAGGTATTATGAAATCGGAGAAAATTTATGGAAACCTTAAACCTTTAAATTACAGTTCACGGTATTTTGGGAGCGAGTAGATATCAATGATGCCGGCTTGAAAATCGAGTACACCAGTCTTTTGGTTGACGTTATCTGCGAAATTGTTACTGTATACTGTCAAAAAATTATTTCTGGTTTGGAAGCGGAAGGATTTACACAGGAGCTTCAGACTTTCATTCCATCGCAGCTTCTACATTTGGTAGGGGTGTACGGTAGAATATGAGACATAGAAGTTTATGTATTCCAGCTCTGTGCCGCCATCAACAATTGTGAACAAGTGCGTCGTAGTCTGAACATCACTGAGAAGCTTCATATGGATGATATGTCGCTGGCTTATGAACGTGATGCAAGTCGGCTCAATGTAAGAATGATTCTGAATATGAATAATTACTGTAGCGGTCAATAATACATACAAAAACGGATTTTCCAGTTGATGTTTGACAATTTTGACCATTTCAAGAGTTTGGAGCTGGGTTGTCACATTTCCAAACATTTTAAAAATTTTGGAAGGTGTAACAGACCTAGATGGAAAACTTTGCATTCACGAAATTTTCGAAAATTTTCTATTTTTTCGATTTGTCGGTCTCTAAATGAAGCCTGTTTTTTCAAGTTTTCAGTAGAAAAAGGACCAAAAAGGGTCTTTCAAAAATTGCTGAAAAACTAAAATTTTCCAAGGTTTGTAAAAGCTAAAAAACTTGGAATATGTCTAGGTTTGTTTTACACCCTCCAAAATTTTCAAAGTGGTCCTAAACTTGATAACCGAGCTCCAGACTCCTGAAATTGGAAATAATGGCCGGATAACAACTGAAAAATATGTTTTTGTATACCGTATTTCCTCTAATAGAAACCCACTTCTAATAGAAGCCCACCCCGCGAGGTGCTTCAAAAAATAGAAGTTCACTCTCTAATTGAAGCCCTTGGGCTTTTATTGAAAAAAATAGAGTAATTAAAAATTTCAGAATTCTTGGAACTGTGATTTTAGAACTCAAAAATTTCTCAATTTCTGATCTACAGAATTCTTTAATTTCGAATTTTGAGATTCTGGAATCTCAGAGTTTCAGAAATTCGAAATTTCGGAGTTTAGAATTGCAGAATGAAAACTTTGAATTTGAAAAAAAAAACCGAAGTTCAGAATTTTTAACTTCCGAATTGTCAAATTTCTGATTTTTTGAGCAAACATTTTTTTGAAAATTGATCCTTGAAAAACTGAAGCCCACCCTCTAATTGAAGCCCGCCTCTAATCGAAGCCCTCCATGAGAGAGTGGTTAAAAAATAGACGCCCATGGGCTTCTATTAGAGGAAATACGGTATCTTATCGGCAGCTACCGTATATGAAACCGGTTTACGGGACCTTCAACAATGGACTCACAATGGGAACTCCTCGAAAGGAAAAAACGAAAATTCTATAAATATATTTTCATGCCCCTACCCCCTTCTCAATTCCAATATGTAATTTCAGGGAAATCATCTCTGGAAGTCTGAAATCGAAAACCGTCTCGAGCAGTGCGAAAACTTCATCTGCTCAGAAATCGATCGAATCGTTGGATTGCTTACCGGACGTCTTCTACCACAGATGAAGAAGCACGTGTTTCATCTCGCGTGGAGCCCGACCGCTCAACTCGTTGAAGACTCACTAAAGCCGTTGACTGATATGGTAGCACACAATTCACCTATTTATTTTTTCGAAAGAATAATGTTTCAGTTGGACATTGAGCTCTCTGCTGTCCACAAAAACTTGCTGCACAGAAACTTCTTGAGAGTCATGAGTGCACAAGTCTCAATCGTTGTGAAGCTTCTCAGGGAGTGTGTCTCTGAAAATGTCGGAATGGAGCCATCGTTTTATCATCGACTCTTCGAAGCGTGGCACGTGCTTGTTGAATTCTTCCATGCCGGCGGAAAAGGGCTCTCCATGGAGGCTCTGGAGACAAACCCAGATCATATGGTATGGTTTAATTAAGCTTTATCAAAATTACTATTTTAATGAATTAAATTCAGAAACTGGTCAAAATCCTCTCCCTGAACCAAACAGCAACGGAACAACTCATTGAAAAATACTACAAGGATCTTCTCAAACAGCAGGTATCGTTTCATAATCTCAGCAACAGAACCATTTTTCAGACATCTGTCCCTTTTATCTATCGCTATCTTTACTAACACTCACTATTTGTCTTCGCACCTATTCACACAAAGTGTTTTATATTTATATTTTTCATTTTCTCTAATTTTTTCCGGCTTGATATCTAATCGCTTATCCTACTTTTTGAGTGCACCCATTGAGGCGCGCATCAATTTTTCATTTTTCTTAACGCTTTTTTTCATCTTCCAACACAGACACGCACAGTTTGTAATTGTGACTCACGGCCCCCACTCACAAATACTGACAATATAATCCTCCTCAGTTACTAAAAGAACTCACACCCACCCATTTTAGGCGCTTGCTGATCACCAATATGGAGTAAGTTGGCCCACAAAGAGAGGAGAAAAATGAAAACCTCTCTTTTTTTAAAAAACAATAATGAATGGATTTTCCATAGTTATCACCTGCCTCTGCGGTGCTTCTTCTAATAATTCAGTTTTTTTTTTGGACTGTGATTTTTTTTCAAGCTATTCTTGCTAGTCGCGTTTTTCCCCGATTATTTATATTTCAATCAGCTTCTCCTGAAATGCTTTCGGTGCTTAGAAAGTGCAAGAAAAAGATATTATATTTTCAAAAAAAAAAAAATGTGTTCCTTCTCCTTTTTGTAGTATATCTATTTTGCATGCATCACTTGGCTGAAACTCTGCTGTCTATAACTGTGTAATTAGTATAGTGAATGACAGGTAGATGTGTTCGATTAATTATAGAATCTTCATTCAGAACGAAGTCAGCGAATGTAAATATGGAATTCTTAATGTGCGAGCGTACTACAATGGAAATGCACAAACTCTTGTTCTTGATGGTATTCAACTGAATCTCAATTCATACAAACTAATTTTTTTCAGTTATTGGAGCCAAGCAAATCATTGCGCTTGATTCAAACGGTCTCTCCGACCCATTCGTCGTTATCGAAATCATTCCAAAGTTCCGCTACCCAGCAGTCCCCGTCGTCAAGACGAAAGTAGTTTCGAAATCGTTGAATCCGATATTTGACGAAACCTTTGAATTGTAGGATTCAAAATTTGAGTCTGTTTTAACTCTCGATTTTCAGCCACATCCCACCAAACCCGCCATCCACCGCGATGCTTCATTTCACTGTAATGGATCATGATTACTTGAGATCCAATGATTTTGCTGGAGAGGCATTTCTGGAACTTAATGATGTGGGAAAAGATTTTAAAAATATTTTTAAAAAACTATTATTTAGGTCCCGGGATTCGGCGCTACTGGGGGAAGCACTCTCCGACAGTTCAATCTCATTCTCATCCAACCAGTGTCTAACAGTGAGTTTCATTTATGACCCTGGCATACGGTAGTTTCAGGATTACTAGGCATATCAATTCTGGCGTTTCCTAAGAAATAGTATTTCAAGGGGGTTCCCTGAATTCCAGTTTTTTTTCAAATTACAGTAATCTTTAGCAATCAGGTTTTCTACTCCTTGTAATTAATTTTGTAATATCCTAGATTACTGTAATATTCTAGATTACTGTTGCAACCTTCATTACTGTAATATCCTAAGCTACTGTAATATCCTAGACTACTGTAACATTCTAGACTACTGTGATATCCTAGATTACTGTAACATCCTATATTACTGTAAATTTGATGACTGTAAAATACCAGTTGCTTTTGTCTGCAGCCTTTCTAAAGTCATATTTTTCAATAACTGCAGCTTCCATTGTTCCGTTGTATTCTAGATTACTGTAGCTATTATGAACTTTCTGACTATCCTTTTTTATTCCCTTCGGCACCTGAAATTATAGTTTCCTAAATATCTCTCGTTTCCCCAATTTTCCCAAATTACTGTACTCTTTCAGACTATTGTAGTTCTCTATGCTAACTGTGCTTTACGAATACTGTCTTAAAAAAACAATTTTCAGCCAAAGACGTGCTGGATGTGTTGAACAGCCGCAAGGAAGACAAAGATGCTGTGGAGTTCTTGCGATCTATCAGCACCGTCTACTAATCTGGATATAATTCTTTTTTTTTCTCGTCTCCAATAATTTTTTTGTGAACCCCCACCCCCAACGAATAGCATTTTGTGATCTCAACTCCCCCCTCCCCGAATTCCCCATTTTCCCATTTATTTGTCTTTTTGGTTCTGCCTGAAAATCTCCCATCTTATTCAGAAAAAAACAATGCTTGGGCCCCTTATTTTGCTTCTTTCCCCCGTGCCGACTTTTCTTGCGTCTCCTGATAAAACTGCGTAGTTGCTTTTGACCAAACTATCTCGATTTTCTTTTTGTTTTTCTCCCCCGGCTACATTTCTCTCCTTCTCCTCTCTAAACGATGTCCTGACGTAGAAAATCTGAATGTGGCAATATGCTGGTTGTAACCCGTTTGATGATGACATTTTGCTTTTTTTCATTCGAAAAAAAACACAAACTTACTTCTTGAAACCTTTTTTTCCGTCGACCTTTTTTCCATGGATAAAAATTTTTTCGGCTGTTTTTTCTGATCTTAACAACCAGCCACTTGGCACAATATAAGAACAAAAAGCAAACCTCATAGAGATGGAATGTGGAAATGACAGAAAATAAAACTTTCTGGCTCAAAAATTCCGGATTTTTTTCAGATGTTGCAGCTCATGTAGAGTTCTTTTTTCTTAGCCCAATGACAGAAAGTCATTTTTCAGGTTCTCCTTTTAGTCCGTTTTCTGGATTAACGCTACACAGGTAACTCAAAAGAATATTATTTATAATAATTTCAGGACGATGTTACAGGGTGATGCACTGGTTCGAGTTAGATTTTTTTTTTTGACCGGTCAATTAGACCAAAACCTGTTTTTCAATCAATTTTCGAGCATTTTGATGATTTTCAGGAGTCTGGAGCTTGGCAGTCAAGCTCTCGATCACTTTAAGAATCTAGAGGCGTGTTAAACAGATCAGAATTGAAACTTTGCATTCACCAGATTTTTTGAAAATTCCAAGCTTTACAGCTATTTGCCGATTTCTGAAAAACACCCATTTTTTCACAATTCTAGAACAAAAACGTGCTAAGAGGGGCAGCTTTCAACAACCGGCGAATAACAGAAAAACTAGGAATTCTCAAAACATTTTGTGCATGGAAAGTTTTTAATCTAGGTTTGTTTTAAACTCGCTAAAATTTTCGAAATGATCTAAACATTGGCAACCGAGCTCCACACTCCTGAAAATGATGAAAATGACCGAAAACAACAGAAAAATACGTTTTTGTAAGTATAAAGTGGCGAGAAGTGATGAGGAGAATTTTTTCGAACATTCATAACTCTGTTCAAAATTGCTCAATTGACTTGAAATTTCGCATGAGAATAGCTGTAAAATCCAAAAACATAAAAATCGGTTTTTTGAAAATTCTCATTCTCAGGATTTTCAGAGTAGTTAAAAATTTATCTCATTTTTAGATTTTACAAATTTTCCCTAGAGGTGAAAAAAAATGTTCCTACAATTTGAAAACGTTTAACATAAAACTGATAAACAGCTCAAAACACATCATTTGTGAAATTTTAAGCATCAAAAATACATTTTCAGCTGAGTTACGGCAAAAATGCAGACACATACCTTTTATGTTCTGAGCATCATAGCTCGAGAGCCCAATTTGGACACTGAGAATCATTTGACATCTAGAATCGAAGCCAGAAAAAATTCCGGAAATTTTTTTTTAAATTTTCTGACCATTGTTACAGCTGAAACTTCTTTGAAAATTCTAAAAATGAGAAATTTTCAAAAAATTGATTTTTATGTTTTTGGATTTTACAGCTATTCTCATGCAATATTTCAAGTCAATTGAGCAATTTTGAACAAAGTTATAAATGTTCTATAAAATTCTCCTCACCACTTCTCGCCATTGTATCTTACTGACCGTTACTGTATGTATTCAATTAAGTGAAACAAAAACTCATAAATCAAATAAAATCAGAACCGGTAACCTCAAAACTACATCCGTTCCATCTATTGTTCATATTCTTCTTTTGTAGCAACAGCAAAACGCCCACATCTACTCAACGCGATTAATTCTTTTAAACTAAAAATCAAAGCAAAAGTTTATTTCTCCTCACAGTTTCATTTTATGTCTTACATTTTCACAATTTACTGGAGCTTTGGTGTTCAAAAATTCCAAGATTATTTGTACCTATCAACACCACCCACCGAATTCCCCCCCGCCCCCCCCCCCCACCGATCATTCATGCATTTCCGCTGCCAGGATCACATCCACAAACATACACACTCTTCCACCTCCCTCTCTCAATCTCCACTAACACAGTTGCCATCCATCCCAGAAGACAGATAGAGAAGATACGCAAAAACCGTGTGTCAGCTGTTACTTGCCACAATCATTTTGTTATACACTTCATGCTCTTCACTCAGCCAGGAGCCCTCGACACAGATTTCGTACTAACCGTTTGGACTTTTTTCTTTCATCTTTCTTCTCTCATGGCCCTCGTTTTTCACAAGTGTTTGTTGAAAGTTTACCTTTTGATCTATGCCTAAACATAGTGTAACTGTCCAAATTGGTAGTTTTAGAATACTGTATGACTGAATACATCATTAGATAATTTTATATCTTTTTTCTTCTTCAAAATAATTACCGTATATTTCAATAACCTAGATTCTTCTGAAAGATATCAAAAAATGATCAACTGATAAAATATTCATCATAATGTCACCAATATTTTTAAAGTTTACCAATTTTTGATATCTCTCATAGGAACCGAGATAATTGAACTCAAAGTTTACGTTTTGAGAGAGCCTCTACCAGAGCACCATCTCATAGAACTTGAGATAATTCTGTTCAATTTAAGAGTGGATGGAAAAGATCACTACATATTAGAAAGGATGCAGTAGCTCTCTTCTTAATAAAATTATTTGAAGCCTACTTTTTTTCCAGATTATTGTGAATAAACCCAAAAAACTTTTCTCGAGGTAAAAATTGAGATTAAGCAAAATTTGTTTTGTTTTTATTGTTGATACTGTATTTCCGCCAATGGAATCCCGCTCAAACCGTTTCAATTACCGTGTTTTCACTAATTGAAGCTCATTTTTTACGTACATTTTGAGCTCAACTATCTCGGTTCTTATGAGAGATATCGAAAATTTGACAACTAATAAAGAATTGGTGATATTATGATAAATCTTTTATCACTCGAAAGACTTTTAAAATAACTTATAAGATTCGAGATAATTAAGCTTACTGTCTACAATAATTGTTGCCGAAATGCCCAAAAATACATCTGGTCTTATTTCAAAAACTCTTTCCGTCGGAAGTGAAATGTGAGCTTCCACTGCTTGATTGAACAATTTCCATATTTGGAGCAGCCCCCCCCCCTTCTCCATTTTTTCCTTCTATTTTTTTTGTCCCATAAGACTTTCCCATAAGATTTTCCAATCAAGGCTACCTTGCTAATCAAAATCAAGTTTACCCCACCCCCTTTAATTTCTCCTCCCCCATCACTCATGTCAATTTCATTTCATTTCATTTAAATTTCCATCGTAACCTTGTCGGAGTTTTGAAAACGCAGGTTATCTCCGGGGGAGAAGAATCTTTACTCTTCTCCATCTAATCCATCGGGGTTCCGCAATCAGATTCATCATATTTCACGTCTGGCGAGTTGGTTCGGTTGTCGTCCCGCGCACGATTACACGTCAGCAGTTTTGCGCAACAACTGTTGTTCCAATGCTTCCAGAATCGTTGTGTAACGAACACCGGTATCCATTAAATCCGTTGTCAATTCCCTTTCAACTTTTGCGCACTCCTTACATCCGGAGACTGGTGGTAAAAAGTTTAAAATTGCAATTGTCGCTTTTTATCGTGCCTCATTCTATTTTCTCTTTTGCTTTTTCACCAGAAATCCAAAAACCCCAAATTCTTTCCCAGAGGAAAATTTTGGTGTATTTCGTATTCTCATGAACACAGAGTGCAAGAATCTGAGGAGGGGTCGGCTCCCGAAAACTAATCCCCATGGCGGAAAAGAACACAACTATGAAATGACTTAGTAGCGGAAGTGGGAGAAGAAGAAGAAGCGGTTCACTCATTTAGTCATTGCTTCTCTTGTCGCATATGCCGTAATCTTAATTTTATTATGGCAACTCACGCGACCACCCTACTGAGAGGGGGGGGGGGTCGGATGGGAATTTTATAACAGAGAGAATCAAATGATTTTGCATGGTTTTCTTTGGGAATGTTCATAGTTTTGAATCAAGCATTTTAAGTGGGATTTTCCTTAATAACGGTAATTTTTGTGAAATTATAAGGATTACTGTAGTTGTTGTTAATAGCACTGTACTAGTTTTTCTGATAGAAATTCACCATATGTATATTTTAAGTTCAATTAACTCGATTTCTATAAGATATACAAAAATTATGTTCACTGATAAAATATAGGCAACACTATGATAAAAATTTCATCTGCTATAAACTTTTTGCTATTCTTTAAAGAAACAGAGATAATTAAGCTCAAAATTGTGCTCAAAGTACACATAGGCTTCCATTAACGCAAACACGGTAAGTTGGACTTTCGAAGTGTTTCAGACTATCCGTAACCTGAATATTTTTTATTTTCAGAATTGATTTTGAAAAAAAGCGGAGCTTAATTTGAAAACTCCATTTCTAAAAAATAATGACATAGTTTTAGAAATTTCGAATTTCAGAAAATGGAAAAAATTTTACGACGGTTTTTTTTACATTTCCGATTTATTCAGAAACTAGAATTTTTTGGATTACAGTATGTCAAATGAGTAAGCAAAAGTTTCCTTGCGGGCTCTCGAGCAGATTACTTGTAATATTTTTTTGTGTTTTGAAGAAATCTGCTTGTCAAATCCTTTCAATTTTTTTAAAGTTGTGATGAGAAATTTCGAAATTTTAGAAATCTGAATATTCTGAACTTCCGTATTTTCAGATTTTTGAAACTCGGAAAATTACCAAATATTGAAAAAAAAATCCGAACACTTCTGGTTTAATTTTTTTTCTTTATCTCAATTTTTTGATTTTTCATCCCATCATTTTGACATACTCTCATTTTCATTTTCTTTTCCCCATACATGTTTTGGAATGATTTGCTTCCCCCAAAATTTTGAAGATTTGAGAATCCCAGTGAGAAACCAAAAAAAAATCATTTCTCAAATCAATTTTCCGCTCGTCCTCGCCAATTTTCAATGGACGAAACAAATGAAAAAATCCTTCTCCGCGAGAGTCTCGATTGATTACTCTCCTCATGCGAATCCCATCCGCTCCTGAGACCTTCCTCATCTCACCGAGTCGTTTTTCGCTTTGATCTTCTTTTCTTCTTCACCCATACTTCTTCACTGCTGCTTCTCATCGTACTTGCTTTTGCTTTTTACACTCAGTCATCGTTTTTCACACCGGCAGACGATCTTTCTCTATCTCTCGTTGTCTCTATCTGTCGAATTTGCCATTGACACTTAATTTCAAATTTTCCACCAGGATTGACACATTTTTCCGACCAGATTTCATTTTTATTTTTTGAGACAAGTCTGGCCAAGAGTGTATGTACTTTTCACATTTTTCTTGGGTCTTTTGGGAATCGGGACACTGATTCCTAAAAAGAGACACATGTAGGAATGTGTTCTAAAATATTCATAGAAAGTCGAAAACAAGCATTCAAGTCTTCTGTTTTTTCTTCTTTTCTCAACCTGTTGGAACCCAAAAAGTCTCCTTCGCCCAGAATTTTTTTCTCATGCTTCACTAGATCTTCCTGAAATCGTCATATCCGCTTGAACTCTGGCGTGTATCTTCCCGCCTAGGGGACCTCTCCCATCATATATCTATCTTTTACATCTTTTGTGTTCCCCATTCGTTTTTTTTTTGTCTTGTCTTTTGTTTTTGTTTTCCAACATTGTGTTATTTTTGTTGAGTGGGCTCTTTTTCACCAATAATTGCTCAATTCCAGATGAATCTGATGCTAGTCCTCCTTGGACTGGTTGTCGGTGTCGCCGCCGTCGTTCGGGATCCAATTGGACAGAATCTCATCGTCATTCTTGCTGATGGTTACGGTGCAACGCTTCTGAATAATACCAAGCCAAATGCGTCTTTCGGTATGGAACAGTTTTGAAAAATGAAGAAAATTCGTGAACTTTCAGGAATCCGACACCTCGCCGCAAACGGTGTTCAGGTTGACTATGTGACACCATCGTTTCCAACACATACATGGCCTCAGTGGATGAGTTTGTCTACTGGTATGATTTTTTTTCTGGTTAATGGAGGGTAGACAATTATGGGATAATTAGAGTCTAAAATACTCAAAGTTGCTCCAAGCTCTGAAATTATCCCAAACTTCCAAAATCAATATAAACAAACCGGGTCGTACTTGAGCTTGTTTTGAAGCTTTCTTAAGCATTTTTCAAACGATTTTGTGCTTTTGCAGCCGTTTTTTGGAACCAAAATCATTCATGGGAAATGAGAAAATATTTTTCAAAAATGATAATTAATACTGTACATTTTTAAAAGCTTTTACACCAGTACATGTTGTCCATACTTTTAAGCTCACAGTACCGGTCCACAAGATATATAAAAAAGTGTTTTTCAGTTGACTTTGACCATTTCAGGAGTCTGGGGCTCGAACGTCCACTTTTGGATCACTTTGAAAATTCAGGATGTTGTAAAATAGGCTTAGATCAAAAACATTGTATTCACAGAATTATTGAAAATTTCTAGTTGGTTCAGCTATTTGCCGATATCACCAATTTTTGTGCCAAAAACGTGAAAACAGATGTCTTCCAGAAATCGGCAAATAGCTGAAAATATAGGATATTTCAGAAAATTTTGAAAATACAAAGCTTCCCATCTATATTCGTTTTACATCCTGTAATATTTTTGAATTGATCGAAATCTTGACAGCCGAGACCCTTACGAAAATGGTCAAACTGGTGGATAGTCAACTGAAAGATACATTTTTGTATATCTCATGGGCAGATACTGTATATACTTGTTTGATTATTTCAATAATTTGCTGACTTAGCAACTTGGGACTACATACACCCAGTCATTTATAAATCCTATCACTTTTCCCCGACAAAACATACAACATGTTCACTCAGCATCATTTGTCATTTGGAAGATCAGATCATAGTTCTCGTATCTTTTCCTGCGAAATTATCGCTAATGACTCTCCACATGTTGGCATTGCGGCATCGCTACTCTGCGTGGGAAGTCATCTTTCAGAAAGCGACAAAAAACACTTTTAGAACAGGCGGCGGGAAGGAGCCCCCATGCGATAACGAGCCGTTTGAAGACGTTTTTTGTTCCTTTTTAAAACTCTGAGGCTGTTTCTTCTTCTTCTTTTTTTGTGGCAATAAAATAATGGGCCGTCGAGAAACGAGGAGAGATGTATCTTCGACTGCACACTTCTTTCCGTAAAATAAATGAGGGAACATGACCAGAGGGGGGACAAGCTGAGTGATATATGAAAACAGCGGTTCGGGTGATATCTTCCGAAATACATATGAATATGCTATGCAACATGTGTTCTGACAAGCGCAAGGTGCATCGAATTACAATTGAACGTGTTTAAGGTCTCTACACCGAAAACCATGGATTCACAGCTGATTACATGTGGGATCGAAAGACAAACTTCACTTTTGAACGAGGAACAGGTACAAGACTCTATGAATTGACAATTTTGAAATTGAGTATGTTTAGGACCAAATGACACTGAAGATGTTTGGTGGGATGATGCCAAGGCTCCACTTTGGTACACCGCTGGAAAGGCTGGCGTGGATGTTCACTGCTACTGGTTCGTCACTGTCATGTACGTCAACTCTAAAAACATTTTCTAAAATTCCGTGTCAATTTTTCAGCGCGTCTTCTACGATATGGTTGTTCAAGTACCGGAAAAACGTTGGGCCAATCTTGATGACCCACATCAGACTGATAACTTGAGAGACGTGTTCCCTGAAATTGTCAATAGAATTTCGAAATATCAAGTTTACAAGCAGCAAATGTTCCTGATTCGATATGCCAACATTGGAAATGCTCAGAAGGAGCACGGACCAGAATCTGATGAAGTCGAGCAGGAGGTTGCCAGATTCGATTTGTATATCAATGAGCTGCAAGTGAGTAATGAGAATTTTTAAAATTCTTCAATATCTTTGAGCAATTCAAGAAAAATATTGAGAAAAATGAAATTAACCGGGAAAACCTGCTATAAAAAAGCTCTCCACAATAGGAACTAATTGCATTTAAATCAGTTTGTGTCACATACAGTACCGATTCTTTAATATTCACAAAGATATGTTTTTCTGTTAAATTTCAATCATTTTGCTTTTTTTCAAGATCCTGGAGCTTGGCTGTCAAATTTTAAAACACTATGAAACTCTCGAAGGACGTTGAACAGACATGAAAATAGGTAATTTACAGAATTTTGGGAAAACTCCTAGTTTACCAGCCATTTTCGGATTTCTGATAGACACCAGTTTTTCACGTTTCCAGTACAAACAGAGACCGAAAAGAGGTGTCTTTCAGAAATCGGCACAATGCTGAAAAACTATGAACTTTCGAAAACTTCTGTTTTTGCAAAGTTTCAAATTTAGATCTGTTTTATGCCCTCGGAAATTTTCAAAGCGATCTGAAATTCGACAGCCGAGATCCAAGCACCTTAAAATGGTCAAAATGACTGGAAATCCACTGGAACATGTTTTTGTATACATAAATTGTTGGCAGACATTGTGTTAACGTTGCGAAACCCTTTTATCACATGTTTTACGGCTTCGTAAAATTCAAAAAAGAAATTGCATCGACCGGGAATCGAACCCGGGCCGCCCGCGTGGCAGGCGAGCATTCTACCACTGAACCACCGATGCTTATATACCAAACATATGCATTCAAAGCAGTAGCCAACAAGTTCCATTTTTTTTATTTTTCTCTGGACACTCTCTTTTTCCTCGCGCCTATCTCCCTTTATATACATATTACATTGCAGCAAAAACTAGAAGAAGCCAACCTATTCTCCTCCACCAATTTGGTTGTCATGTCTGATCACGGTTACACTCCACTGCAAAAAGAAGAGCAATTCTTTATGGAACAGTGTCTTCCAGACTACTCTTTGGTAAGGAACATAGAGTCTTTATGATTAAAAATTTGGATTTTTCAGGTCAAAAAGATTGTCAACTCTCACAGCATGATCATGGTGTTCACTAATCCAGAAGATGAAGGAACTGTCCATTACGAATTCAGCGTTTGCGAAGTGTGGTCACCAATGGGAGATTACGATGAGAACGATACTCCATTCGTTAAGACCTATAGAGTGGGTTTAGAACTAATGAACTTTCAAAATTTTGGGTTTTTACAGATGTCCGAACTGCCAGAGGAACTCCATTGGAAAGGATCGAGATTCATGAGCGGAGTGGTGTTAATCACCAAGCCAGGAACCAGCGTTGTTACGGTAAGGAAACCAGAATAGAGTTTTGAAAGATGCGACTAACATAAAAGCAGTGATATTATGCGTAGGAGGAACGGGAAATTTTTAGAATTTCGAATTAAAGGATTTCGGAAAGAAAATTCTTCCGGGCTTTATAGAACGGTCCTCATTGTCAAGAGCTCGCTCAATTATCTCGATTCCTATGAAAAATGTCAAAAATGTATCATCTAACCAAAAACTATTGATATTATGGTAGACATTTTATCAGTTGACAATTTTTTTATACCTTTGACAAGAACCGAGATAAAATGGCTGTAAAGTTGAAGGGGACCATCTAAAACAGGCTTCACGGTACCAAAATTGTATATAATGATAGAAAGCTGATGTACCAATTACAGATAAGCCTGTGAAATAATAAGTCCAAACAACGCTGATCAGATTTATCGCAGTTCCTGTCAAAAAAGTGATTCACCGACCATTTTAATGGAAATTCGATTATTTGATTAATTACTACTGCGATTTAAAAAAATAGGAATTTTTTTCATAGACTTCGATATAGTCGATTACGTTGAGCAATCCATTTTGATAAAAATCAATAAAACCAAAAAAGAAAATTGCGTTGAGGCTTTTTCTTGATGAGTCATCTTATACAGTCAACTTTAAATTTATTTATCACGATTAATGTGAAAGATATCGAAACTTTGCCATTTGATGAGCTGTTTATCATAATGTCAACAATATTTCATCAGTTGGTAAAACTTTAATATCTTTCACAGAAATTGAGATAATTGAGCTAAAAGTTGACGATCTGGAATCACGGTAGCTATAAAAATTATTCTTTATTTCTTCAATTTTAGGTTTTTGACAGTAAGCAAATTCGATGAAATTTTAACCAAAAATTTTCAGAAAGAACTTCCAACCGTGCCACACAGTGGTGATCCAACAATCGACGCCAAACAAGCTTCCGGATGGGAGCCAACTCATGACGATATGAAGGGAATCTTTGTCGCTCGCGGTCCAGCATTCCGAGAAAACGAACGATTCGGACCAATCGAGATTGTCGACGTCTACCAAATGCTTCTGAACATTCTCAGCATTGAGCCAGCTCATCCACACAACGGAACGTGGGGCAACGTGGAGCACATGTTGAGCGAAGGCTGGGAAAACCGCGGTCCAACTGAAAACTCGTCTTTTCGGTCATCTTGCACACTTCTTTGTTTTATTTCTGTGCTTTTGCACTTCTTCTTCTAGTTTCCTTGATCTATTTCCTTTTGAGATACATCAAAACAATATGTAAGTGTGTACGAGAGAGACCGAAATTCTGAATTTTTAAGGTGATTCGATCCCTGTTCTTTCTGTTCCCCCCCCCCCCCCCCCCCATTATTTTCCCGTTATTCTTTCCTTTTTTGCTAAACCCCCCTAAATTTTTTACCAGCTCAAAACTGCCGTAGGGTTTGTTCAACAGCATTTCCAAGTCATTTTATACCAAGTTTTCGCTTACTGCAGACGCCCGAATAGTGCAATCCGCAACTCTAGAAATCCCATCCCTTTTTTTTGAATTCTCAACTATCATTCATTTCAGAATGAGATATTTATAATTTTTTCATTTTATTTTCACCCGGTTTCATAACCTGTTTCTTTTCATTGAATTTTTTGAAGAAATAAAAAAATTATCAAGCCTTCGGACCTTATTTTTTGGGCGTTGAGTCCCTCTCCGGGGATGTTTGGAAGGATAATCATAATTCTGATAATGCCGAAAATTCATTTATCAGATTATCTCAAAATTCTAAAACCCCCAAATTTTATAAATCAGAACATTCACAATTTTAAAAATATGAAGTTTCCGCTTTTATGAAATTCCTTTTTTTCGAATAACATATTCCGTAATGCTGGATTTTTTGAAGTTTTGTTTCTTTGGGTTCCCGAATTTCAAAAATCTGAATATCTCAAAATTTCAAAATTTTAAATTTCGGAATATCCTAAAGCTTTCAAAATAGGAATATACCGAAAATTCCAAAAATAGGAATAGTCAAAAGTTGAAAAATTGAGAAATTCTGAAGTTTCGAAATTTTTAAAATCAGAATATTCCGAAATTCCGAAATTCTAAAATTGAAATAATCTGAATGCCCTGAAAACTCGAAAATCCGAATATTCCAAGAATTTTCGAAAAAGGAATATTCCGAAATACTAAACTCCCGAAAATTTTGAAAAACTTCGAAGTTTGGAAATTCCGAACTTTTGAAAATCAGTATATTCGAATAATCCAAAGTTTAAAATTGAAATTTTTTCAAATTCCAAAATTTTTAAATTTTTAAAATTGGAATATTCCAAAATACCAAAATTTATTAAATCCAAAAATTCGAAATTTGGTAATATTTAACAATCTTTCATCTTTCCGGGATTAGGAAATTCGAGGCTTCTAAACATCCGAAATTTTCAAAATAAGAATCTTACGAAACTACGAAACTTTAAAAACTGGAGTATTCCGAAATTTGAAAAACAAGAATATTCCAAAATTCCGAAATGTGTTAAACCGGAATTTTTCAAAGCTCCATAGTTTCTGAGTTTCGGAATTCTCCTGAAAGCCCATTCCGACTATCTTTTTCGGTGGATCTCCCCTCCAAAAGTTGGCATTATTCTCAACATCTCATGCTTTCTTCCCTTTATGTTGGATAATGGGCGTTGCTGGGGTTTTCATTCGCTTTTTTTTCATCCGAGCCAATACTGGTATATTGGTTGGTCTCTTCCGCAAATCGTAGGATTTTATTGCTCTCCTCCTCATATATATTCTCATCGTTTCGCTTCTTGTCCTCTCTGTCTTCAAAAAATGTAGACGCAAAAAATGAGACCAGTGTCGTAAACAGAAGAACAGAGAAAAGGACATTATCATACGGTTTTCATATAGGCGAAAAAGCACAAGCCATCCCCTCACGCTGCCTTGTCTCGCATTCCCTGTACTCTCTCGCTCTCTTACTTTCCCCCTTCTTCTGTACTATCAATTCGTGTGTGTTGCCATTCGACACTTCGAATATATGTCTCGCGCGGGTTCCTCCATGGGTGGTGGTACCAGTGCTATGAATTCGACTGGCGGTGTTCAAGACACTGCTCCAGAAGACACTGAATCCGCATTCAACACCGATACTCTCTATCCCAGACATCCAGAATCGATCGATTTGGTGAAGGATATCGAGAAAAAATGGGCATCGTTGGATGAGTGAGCTCAGTCTGCTTGGCTGAGAGAGGTAAGCGTAGCCAACTAAGAAAACAAAATCTAAAATTGTTTCAGCTCCCGTACATCGCTTTGGATCCACGTATCGAGAAAAACGTCCCAACCTCACCCGGGTTCTCAAAGAAGGACCTTCAGCAACACATTTTGAAGACTATTACGAAATCTGCAGTTCTTGATCGACATCAGGAGGTGAGTTTAATTGAGGAGAGAGTAGAACTAGTAACGAGCAGAAAAAGAAGAAGGTTCTCATTTGGATCGATGAAAAAACAGTCCTTCTCTACTCTCGCACCCGTCTCCCCTCGTGCCACCCAGTATGTTTTTCGAGTTGCGCCGTTCGAAGTTTGTCTAATTGGGAGACGACGAGAGGAACGACGGGGGGACGGTGGGACGGATGGAGGAGAGATGGTGTCTAATTGGGGTAAGACGGGGGACGACGGGATGGGTTTGGGAGATGGTGTGTGAGCAGCACCGGTGGGTACTGTAGGTAGGGAAGAACTAGTCACGAGCAGAGAAAGAAAAAGATTCTCATTTGGATCGATGGAAAAACAGTCCTTCTCTGCTCTTCCACCCGTCTCCCCTCGTGCCACCCACTATGTTTTTCGAATTGCGCCGTTCGAAGTTTGTCTAATTGGGAGACGACGAGGGGAACGACGGGGGGGGCTGTGGGACGGATGGAGGAGAGATGGTGTCTAATTGGGGTAAGACGGGGGACGACGGGATGGGTTTGGGAGATGGTGTGTGAGCAGCACCGGTGGGTACTGTAGGTAGGGAAGAACTAGTCACGAGCAGAGAAAGAAAAAGATTCTCATTTGGATCGATGGAAAAACAGTCCTTCTCTGCTCTTCCACCCGTCTCCCCTCGTGCCACCCACTATGTTTTTCGAATTGCGCCGTTCGAAGTTTGTCTAATTGGGAGACGACGAGGGGAACGACGGGGGGGCTGTGGGACGGATGGAGGAGAGATGGTGTCTAATTGGGGTAAGACGGGGGACGACGGGATGGGTTTGGGAGATGGTTGTGAGCAGCACCGGTGGGTACTGTAGGTAGGGAAGAACTAGTCACGAGCAGAGAAAGAAAAAGATTCCCATTTGGATCGATGGAAAAACAGTCCTTCTCTGCTCTTCCACCCGTCTCCCCTCGTGCCACCCAGTATGTTTTTCGAATTGCGCCGTTCGAAGTTTGTCTAATTGGGAGACGACGAGGGGAACGGCGGGGGAACGGTGGGACGGATGGAGGAGAGATGGTGTCTAATTGGGGTAAGACGGGGGACGGCGGGATGGGTTTGGAAGATGGTGTGTGAGCAGCACCGGTGGGTACTGTAGGTAGGGAAGAACTAGTCACGAGCAGAG